TCCCACACAGCCCGTTAAGCAAACGCCTACTCCGGAAGCCGAGACCGTGGAAGTAGCAAGGCCGAATACGAAATTCACTCTCAGGGAGGATAAGATTGCAGAATTGCGCAAGGCTTCCAAAATTCTAGCCCCAAGGCGTTCTGGGCCAGCTGCTACTAGATGCCAATGTGGCTGGAACGGAGAGGAAGAAGACATGGTGAGCGAGCAACTACGTTTTATACCTATAGAGGCCGTGCTAAACATTTTAGATTGTGTGTAGCTTCTGCAATACGCGGCAACACCGACTTTGCTATGGCTATGTGGGTGGGTATAAACATTCAGTTCCTGACATCCACGCATGCTACCGCTGCCTGCTTGAACCAAACGAAAGTCAGATTTTCAATAGCTTGGACAACGTCATTCTAGCTCGAAAGACTCTGAAAATCATCTCAGAAGAAGGAATCCTAAGTTCTGCTCAGGCATTCTGCGAGAAAATCCGTAAGAAGCACCGAATATTGGTTGGATAACCGCACCCTAACTGTCCCACAGACTGCAGTCCACCGGCCTTTTCCCGGGTCAAGGAATTTCTAAAGAGGAAGGCAATCATGCAACCAACGCCCGGCTACAAGCCCAAAGAATGCATTCGTAAGGGCCTGCCTACATTTATTGTGCCCGAAAAACCAAAAGTCCGCGAGATAATCCAAAGGGATATAATGAATCCTATGGTGAAGATCGAACACCACGTAAGTAGATCAAGTCTCATGCTGAAACTTTCCCCCCTCCTGTTTCTTGCTAAAAAAATGCCGCAGTACACAAAACAATACTTCACTGATTCTCTCGAGGCGCTTAGCCCGCCAGCCACCAGTGATGCTGACGGCTTGAGCAAACAAAACTCTCAAAACACTGTCATAACAGCGGTAAACAACAGCCAAGACGACCAACCCAGGACGACGAAAGATACTCGCGACGATGAGTCTCAGGAATTGGGCACACCGCAACGAGCCCTCAACTCTCGACGTCGCACAAGATCATCCAACGTCGTTAGTGTCATCGAAGACAGCCAACCCACAGATAAAAGCACACCACAAAGGTCCACTCGCAAACGAACCCGGTCCTCGCAAATTGGCCCCGAACCGGTACGCCCAGTAACGCCGTCACAGTCAACAGCTTCAGACGATGAAGTAGGCACGGACAAGCCTCGACGTAGCAGCCGCAAGAGGCGCAAAATCAGCAACTTCACCAAGCTCATTGACGTTGGGGCAGAGACGAGTGGGAACGAATAATAATGAGTCTGACGAATTACCACATACAGTATGTTCGAGCGCACATGCCATATAGGGTTAACTCGTTACTTGTCAACTGGAGCATTCTGCATGTTCGCCAGCAGCGGGTCTGTTTCATATGTCCCGACGGTTTCATGTTCGCGCTGAACTTGACCCTGTGGGCAATAGTTTGCACGGAACGGCAATTCGGCGAAATGAGACAAGCACGGACTACGGGGTTAGGGTCAAGCCGTAAACAGGGTCACAGATATCGGGGTACCAAGATGCTCTGTCGCAGGAGTCCAAGAATCAAAACAAGAAGCAACAGACGAATAATTGATGTTTACCGCAACTCACTCATTGAAGGAAGGGCTTGGTTTCCAGTCCAAGGTTCCAGGCTCCAGGTTCAAGATTCAAATTTCACTTTCAACGGCCAGGGGGGCCGTGCATGCAAAAGTTGTCAACACGTATTTCTAATTTTCTACGAGGTGCATACATATCTATCTAGGCGGGTCTGCTTTCCTTCGTCCAGTCTTGTCCAAAATTTCTTTGTTTCCACTTTCGACTCAGCGCCAGCGCCATAACCATTATCTAGTTCTAGTTAGTGGCTTATTCGCCCAAAACTCGGGGTTAAGCTTCTGCATGGAATAGGCTAACTAAGAACGTTTGCTTTCGGAGAAAGAGATCTCATTAATCGAGCCCCGGTTCCAAGCCCTCGGGGCCAGAGTCGGAGAATTCGTATGTGATGAGTCGTCTGCAGGATTTGGAGTCGACCAGTGTAGGGCAGGGTAGCGCAGGCAGCACAGGGATGGTAAAAAGCAAATAAAGCAACTAGTGTATGTTGAAGCAGCCGCAGCCCTGACTCTGGCTCAGGCCGGGTCTGGGCTAAGTAGGATGAACTCCCGTCATACCTACTCGAGTATGTGGTGAATGGTGATGATGTTTTCGTTTATCTTTTCTCCCCTCCTCTATCCGCATGCTGGGTGGGGTGTGTCATAGTAGCTCGTTGAATTAACTGAATGCACACAAAAAATGACGAAACTCAAACCAAGCATGAAAGCAAAGGATCAAGAGCTATTGAGGAAGGTCCACAAACCCGTACCGTGCGGAAGGGTGAAACTAGCCTGGCGATCATCGGAATCTTGTTAATCCACCAAGTCTCCATGATGGCTGGAAGCAAGACAAGGCCGAATGCGGAGTGACAGCTTGAGGTCGATGATGTTTTTGATCCTCGCACCGAATCAGATAGATCATGATCAGCAGTAGATAGGTCGCAAAGGGTTAGCGCACCCTCGTGTCATCGGACAAATCAGCAACGCCAAATGCATGCACTGTGTGAAACCGCCGTCGACAAACGCAGGGGGCGCTGCAGTAGCGCAATGTCAGGTGTTGTGCCAGCGGCTGGTGGCTTCTCGATTGTTTCGTCGCAGGCGCCAACCTGACATGACATGTCCAATTATAGCCGTGGAGCATGGGGGTTGCTGTTGGTTTCCGCCTTGGTTTCGAGGAATCCTCCGCTGAGTTGTACAGCAACGCACGGGAGCAGAGCACGACTGTGCGAAATAGGAGTCTCCACCATTTGAGTGCTGGGCCTGAGTGTTGACATCCTTCCTGACGAATTTTGACGGCTTGAAGGTTTCCTCAGGATGGGTTTCACTTACATTCACCCCTCCCTTCCCCGTAAATCAGTGCCAGGCTATCTTCAATAGTCTGGCACATCACTCCCAGCAACCACAGCGACGGGACACAGACAATTGGAAGTCAAACTCAAAAAGTCAAAACATTGTCAACCCCCAAAGGCGCTCGTCTGGGGCGGACTGCAGGCGTTATGATTGGGGGGTTGATTATTTCAAATTGAAGGATGGAGACGATGGTTGACTATTGAATCGAATCAATAATTGAGAATTCTGGACTCCAACCACTCCACCTTCATCCCGAGGCCGGCGATCAGCAGTTTTTTGTGCGCGTCTATTGGCAGAAAAGGGGGCGCCTCACGAACGAAGGAGTTAGACTCCCAAACGAAGGTTCTTGAAGACGTCGCCCTCCCGCGGGATCTGGCTCGATCGAGTGGGATACTGGAGTGCGAGCAGAACTCGTGGAGATCACGAATTTACGAGAGCTAACCACCCCCCTTTCGCTGACGGACTATGGATTGGTTCCTTCGCTTCATATGAGGGCGTCGTAGTATTATTATTCGATTCTTTATGAAAGGTGCAGATTTCTCCGGTCGGTTGCACCTGCATCTTCGAAGATTGCCCAGAGGTGTGTGTGTGTGTGTAAAGGGAGATTGCTTGTGTCGCGTGGATCGGATGCCTGTATCTCTGCTGTAGCCTGTGTCTCTGATCGAAGCCCATGAACCTCAAAGCTGCCTCCGAGACTGAGAACGTGGAGAGCAAGCTCAAAGTTTCACCTTTCGACCTCGGTTTCAAAAGTCAAAAGCAGAAGCAAAGTGTGCATTTGACGCGCATTCGAGGTGGGTGAACCCACTGTCTGACAGGCATCATCCTAGTGTAGCCCACTTCGAGGCGGAGATGGCAGCGGCGTCGCCGGCCCTGGTCCTGACCTTGACGAATCCTCGGGTGTCACGAAGCGAGAGCTGATCCCGCGTCTGTCGCTGCCGCTGAAACTCGCGTTGTGCATGTGTCCGGCTCCTGTTTGACGACGGAGCTCACCCCGGAGAATAGGCCGCCTCTGTGACCACGGTAAAAACACTCGTCCAATTGTCGCAGCATCGCGGGTCGCCATCCACAGTGTTCCCATCAGCCATTGCGGCTCACTTGCCGATTAACAGGACTCAGGAACAGCATCGAAAGGGTGATGATCGATGCTCCACCAGACTCCAGCAGCGGGCATTCATCGCGGATCGGCTGCTTCTGGTGCTGCCACCGGCCATCGTCTATTGATAGACTAGCCTCGTAGCCAATGTCAATGTTCGATTCCGATCTGGGGGGTTTAGCTTTGAGCCCGGTCGAAAGTCTGATCGCCCCTTAAAAACATAACACCCACACTGTCAGTCGATAGCCAGCGAGCGGTCTTCGGTTCAGGACGTGCTAGTCTGCCCCTTGGGCCACTGAACCACGGCTCTCGACAGCTGGAGATGGGAGGGCACAGCCGGATTCAGGGAAAAGGCAGGGGTGGACATGGTTGGGGGAATAATGATTGGCGGCCAGTGCAATAATTTCCAGGAACGTCACGATGGTGTTGCCAAAGAGTGGACACTCTGAGTCTGAGGAGTGCACTGTGCACGGGCGGATCGGGCTTGGATTGAAATAATTAAATTGGACATTTTGTCGATGGCCGGTCCCTGGCTGCTCGATGCCTGCTTATCCACTTAATCTCTTAAAACCACCTGTGCTGCTGTTGTCCCTGTGCCTTTTTCCACCTTCTCCCTCTCCTGTCCCTGTCGCTCTTTCGTGCTTTCCGTCCGCTCTCTCGCTACTGAACGCCTCTCTTCACGGAGAAGCAACCCTCGATCTTTACATCTACAATTCACTTCCGAAATTGGCAATTTACACTCCGTTTTGGCGCTGGCGCCAGCCGTCTCTATCCGCCCGATTCACCGACTCCCGTCGTGTGGGGAAGGTTTCTCTTTTTGAGGTGAAACAAACACCCGAGCCACTTTTTCATCTATCTTTAATAAATACCGAACGAACGACAGACAACGACAAATGACAACACTCCTCTAGGAGCATTGCGAACGACACGAACTATTCTACGAAAAGTATCCACTGGGCGTCGCTGACGGCGGAAGATCTCACCATGCCGCATAAATCTTTCCACATCCCGCTGCGGACCTCCAGCATGAAACCAAACTCTAGCGATGGCAGCAATCGGAAGGAGCACAAGTCTCGGTCCATCCCCAAGGCCCAGCGAATACTCGGAACAACCGGCATCGCCGTCGACAAGGATTACCATAAGCGCCCTGATCAAAAGACAAGCCGGAGCGCGAATTATCTGAATGCACCGGAAGCACAGCAGAACCCCGACGCAGACGAAGACGGACGACAACCACCGAATCTTCGTGTGCGCGCGTCGTCGCCGCTGTTAGGCCAAGATTATCGTGGCGCTCGCAGTCCGAAACCATCTCTGGCTCAGCTGTCAAGGAAGCTACATCTATCTCCCTCCTCCTCCGGGCTGTATTCTCGGTATAGTTCGAAGGACGCACCGGCTGAGCCAAGCACAGATCCTGGCCAGGACCATGGCGAGAACATGGAGGACCAGGAAATCTCAGATAACGGATTGAACCCAGCGTTCAAACAACCAAAGGGGCCAATGAAGGACTCGAAACGGAAGGCACGACCCCCAAGGATCGACCTCTCTTTGCTGTTCCCCAAACCACAAAACAACTCTACACCTCTTCTATCTCCGCAGCGCATGGTGTCCTCACCATCTGCTCTTTCTATGACCTCGGAATATTCTACGTTAAAGCCACACAACTCGGAGAGCCGCCTTGGAAAGAAATTCACCAAGTCGCCACGACCCAGGGCATCAAGCCGCCCAGAGGAGACCCAGCAGACGCTCAACAGCGTTTTAAATTCATCGCTCTTACAGGACACGCCCCCCGTGTGGAGCAATCCTTCGTTGGAGAAGACGGTGAGAACTAGTGAGATGGACTGGGCGCTGCAAAAGGATCTTGATGCCCAACCAACTCCACGGTCCACGGAACGCGCCCTATACAGCCAAATGAACTTCAGTCTGCGCGCTAGGCCCCAGACCCAACACAGCGACTCGAGGTCATATCTATCGGCGGGCGAATCGGCACATTCGTCCCAAAGAACTCTCCGGAAGGCCACATCGGCCAGGTCTCTAAATAAGGGTCCTTCCGTGTCTAAAAAGAGCAGTAAAAACACACTGAAGAACACCGATTTGAATAAATCTAGCGTGCTTTGTCTTTCCTCCTCCGAAGACGAAGATGATGAGCCGCAGCCTTTGTTGAAGCCTCCATTCAGACCAAGCAGAAACAAGAGGGACAGCGTCAGCACGTACGGGGGATATGACGCCGAAATCTGTACCGCTGCTGCCGCGCAAGCAACTAGAGGGACACTACGAAGTGTAGAACGTCCTTCATCGAGTCAGACTCAAAGTTCTCGATCAAGTTCAAAATACCTTCAACCCCAGCAAGACTCCAATGCTTCGATACCGCGAAAGTCCTCGTTGACAGCCGGAGGTGATCAATCACGCCGTTCGAGTGGTGTTCCCGCCATCCTCGAGCCCGGCTTCCTTCACGGTGATCCTATTTTTGAGGACAAGAGCCACGTTCGGACAAGAACTCCAACTATGTCTCAGCGAGAGATGAACAGGAGGAGCCGCGTGATGACTGTGACGAGACAGGAAGAGCGCCTGCTTGAAGTGATGAGACTGCGACACGGCAAGATGACCCCGAGCATCTTCAACGAACATGTTGAACCCGATCGCCGCTCGGTGGTATCAGGCCTCTCAGTTCCTTCTCGGGATTCATTCTACTGCTCAGATACCTCGTTCCTACGCCTTAGCCCTGGTATCCCTCCTTCGGTACCAGCACCGCCGCTTCCGCCATCGTATTATCAAAACAAGGCTGCTTCTACTCAGCAAGGCACAGGGTCTGATACTGAAGATAAGACTACAACTTCAGTCCCTTCGCCGCAAGCGAGTGTCTCTTCAAAAAGCCTCCCGTCTCCTGCCACCAGTGCCACATCTCCTCTCACCCCAACTCTACCTATTCACCGCTTTTCGCCCTTGCCGTCCCAAAAGCCTCCACCCCAACGACCCCCACCTCCCGTCCCTGAAGTTCAGAGAAACCACTCAAGGAGGCGGACGGATAGCAGTGGGGCCATTGCACTTGAGGATCCCGCGGAAGATCCAAGTGAGGGCAGTGAATTTCCCCCTTGGGCATTGGGATGGACCACTGAGGGCAGTCACTTAACGGCTGTGCACTGATCATCGTCATAGGCCGCCTGTACTTTCGTTTACTCCCAGGCCATGAGTCTACTTTTATCCCTCTCATTTTGTCACACACTCACACTCTCTACCTATTAGCATATTCCTATTATCTGTTGGCGGTATTTTTTTTTTACATTTCCTTTTTTTTTTGTCATATCCACGACGCTTTTTTTGACTACCTGATTCCCATTTGATGCATGGATTGGCTTTTTGGATGCATATTTCGGACGTGGGGGGCTTTCGGATAGCGATATGGAAGATTAGAATAATTAATGTGTATAAAGGGAGAACTCGAGCAAAGTCTCAGGGATTAAGATTTCTTCCTAGTGTCTGCCCAAAAACCGGAATTTTACTCTCCTTGCACAGTAAACCTGGAGCCTGAGGATATGGTTTCCGCTCCATTAAGCTTCAGCGACCCAGTGGAAGGCATAAACAGACAACCATGCCAGATGTCGTCATACCATTACGAGCGGTGGCATGCGCAAGAGCAAAAGCAAAGCAAGGGTAGGAGATAGACGCGCATCACAGTCAGCTTGCTTATCAGACCGTGGAGGCCGGGGCAGGAATCAGAATACGAAACGTGTGCGGTTTGTTTCAAAGACACAGGCTGTTGCCCCAATCGATCCATGGCTCAGACTCGAGGGCTGTGGTGACTGTGTCGATCCCTCCTGTTTCGGGTGGTTGGGCTTTGAGTTGGCCCAGCCCAGCCCAGCCAGCCTGAGGGCTGACCTGACGTCAGGACACCCAATGACGGACCGCAAATGCTTGCCGCTAAATCCAGGGGAAAGTCGTCTGTCGCCCGATCCCCGTGGTTTTCCAAGTCACACCGCCCTAGGTAAAGCCAGCCCCGAGGTAGACTAGAGTAAGACTGGACGACTCGACTTCTAGCCTTTCACACGCTCACTTCTGCATGAAATAACCCGGCGCGCTAACTGTTACCACCTGGGAGGACACTGGTGAAATTCAGTGTCTCATTCTCATCTTTGTTTCTCCTTTTCCAGTCATCTAGCGTGTCCGTTGGGAGGACACTGCTATCAATTCAATATGGGGGAAAGTGTCCAACGACGGTCGTCTGGGCCGGCCGGGGCGGGTGGGAAACACGCTTCTTGGATACTGGTGAGTTCAGGAGACGTTGAAACACAAAACGCATCGTCTGCAAATTCAAATTGTATGGGAGGATACTAACATTCTTGATTGTCATGTAGTTGACGGTTCAATACACAACATTTGTGCTCGTGAGTATTTCCCGCGGTCCACTACGTCAACGGTTCTATTGTGACTGACTGACTGACTCCTGTCGCGCCCGCAGTTGGTACACTACTCTCGAATGATGCCACCTACCGGTGGCAAGCGCTATCTCACATCCACTGCTGTTTTCTTTAACGAAGTTGTGAAACTCGCCGTTTCCCTGACGCTGGCGCTATACGAAGTTTCAAAATCAGCACCTCCGTCCGTGCCCGCCACTTCCCTCCTCTCTACACTCGCAACAGCCGTGTTTTCCGGCGATAGTTGGAAATTGGCAATCCCAGCTTCTCTCTATACTTTGGCGAACTCGTTGCAATATATTGCGCTCTCGAATTTGCCGGCAGCGACTTTCCAGGCGTCGTACCAGTTGAAGATTGTTGTCAGCTCTGTGTTTGGTGTTGCATTGCTGGGCAGGAGTATTCCATTGCGGAAGTGGGCGTTTATACTCCTGCTTCTAGGAGGCGTTGCTCTCGTTCTTGTCCCCATTAGCAGCTCGGAGGAGCTTTTGCTTGAGAATGCGGCGAAGCACTTCGATTTCCCTCGGTCTTTGGAGGAGTGGAAGTCAGCTAAGCAGGGGCAGAATTTGCATAAGCGTTCCGCTACTTATGAAGGAATTGAGGAAGATATCCTGACCGCGACTCCGTCCATGGACCGTGTTGTCGGCATTCTTGCTACGCTTGGGTCTTGTGCAGCTTCTGGCCTCTCCGGGGTATACTTCGAAAAAGTGGTGCGGGATAGTGCGCATTCCACTTCCCTCTGGGTCCGAAACGTGCAGATTGCGGTCTACTCGGTTTTCCCTGCGCTATTCATTGGTGTGATTTTCTTGGATGGCGAGAAGATTGCCAATGGCGGAGTTTTTGACGGTTATAACTGGGTGGTTTGGACTACGATTATTGTGCAAGCCATTGGAGGAATTGTAGCTCCGTTCTTTGCTGGTCCGACATTTGCAGATTCTAGGAATGTTGCGTCGGCTACAACGATAATCCTGACGTCGTTGGGTAGCGTTTGGCTTTTCGAATTTGAGCCAACTATGACTGTACGTTTACCTTTATGCGGAAATTTCTCTGCTCTGGGCTATGCTAATCTCGCACCAGTATCTTTTTGGTACCTTTGCGGTCCTGGTGGCTACCTATCTCTGTGAGCTTCCAAGCTCAGATGCTAAGCGTCCACCTCCAATTCGCATTGGGCGTTACGAAAAAGAAAGCATCAGCGACGAGACTTCTCCTGCTTCTTCGTCTCCCAAGGAGATCTCAATTAAGCTTCCGTCAACGCCCTTTTTGAATGCGGGCGTCTCAACCTCAAGGCCCACATCACCCGGCGTTACCAGGTCGGGGGCCTCGCGATCTGCAAGCGGGGGTTACTTCTAAGGCCTTCACGATTTACTTGATATTGACGATACGGTTACGAGAATCCGACTGATTGTGCTGATAACCAACCTTGCATTAGCTTCCTGATTGAGTGTGTTGGATGAAAGTGAGACAAGAGTGCATAGGATTCGTGTGCCTGTTCCATTGCTTTTGCCTGCATACGTGGCGATCTGTACCCTTGAAATCTACTACTATACCCTTTGATTGACTACTGTTCTGAATGATAGAGCAGACCTACTAGCGTTTGATCTTCGAACAAAATTGATTATGTTTTAGTTGCTGGATCAACTTTTCTTTTCCGCTCTGCATTTATTTGAACTTGACGGCCACCCATGCTAGCCTTGGAGGACTAGACATATTCCATATTCCATTAATCTTATTGTTGGCGTTTGATATACAGTCCACGTGCCCGCAGGTGACCTGCCTTCCGTAGACGTCTTGTAGAGCCCACCCCCATCCTCATCCCCTCACTGTACCAATCCCCATTCCATCATATTCCCAATGAAACCCCATCAGACCGACCTATAATCATCATGAGACGAATAATTAACAAGCCCTTTTCCATCCCCCGCCAGGGTACCAGCACTGGTCAATCCTGGCGACGCCGGGCCGAAGCAGAAGGGCCACTCCAGTTCCCACCATCTGCTCAACCAGCCTCCAACAGCCTAATTGACGAGAAGCTTATTGAGGGATCGCAAGTGTCACCATCATCGTCGTCCTTTTCCCGTAAACCTTATACACAAGAAAATGGAACCGTGTCGTATCAGCCCCGCTCCAGTATGGTCACATCGATACAACCGGATGAGGTATTTGAGGATGAGGATGTGCAACTTGATGCCTTTGGTGAGATTCTCAGTGTCCTAGTTATATACATATAGATACATCTCAAGGGTTGAAGATAGATGTCTGACTTCGAGGCTCGTATGCTCTTTCAGATCTTGAATTGCTTGCTCAGTCTGATGGGAAAGCGAATAATTATCAGCAACCGTTGATTTCTTCGTACCACCGACAAGTTGACCCAGTGAAACAGGTTTCTCGTTTCTTCAATGGTGAGTTGATATACTAATTGTGCCAAACAGCTACTCAAAGCTCCAAAGCTGTGTTTATTTTACTGGACGTGAGCTCATTTTGAAATCATAGGCCCGCAGATTACGCCCCATCGAAGTATACCATCAAGCTCTTCTGATATCGATACGAGGGAGGTCTCGAGCCCGTTAGCACGGATTCAGAATGAGAGGACGGCTGGTGTATTTCGAAATCACGATCGGGATCTTGGTGGGACGCTGCCTCAACCACATTCCCTTGGAGTAGACGAGCGACACCCCGAGCCCAGTACTGATTTTCTAACTTCGCACCATGGCCCGAACAATCCATTTCAAGATATACCTGTCTCTGTTCGAGGTATTGTGCTCTTGTCGGTCCGCGAACTACCGGATAACTATCGTTCGATGTTCCATTTCCCTGTTTTCAACGCCGTGCAGTCCAAGTGCTTCCAGGCCATCTACAAAAGTGATGACAATGTAGTGTTAGCTGCCCCGACTGGGAGTGGTAAGACCGTCGTTATGGAGCTGGCAATTTGTCGCCTGCTGAATACCCTGAAAGACGAACAATTTAAACTCGTTTACCAGGCTCCGACAAAATCCCTTTGTTCTGAAAGGTTTCGTGACTGGAGTCGAAAGTTCCAATTACTTGGACTCCAGTGTGCCGAGCTGACAGGCGATACGGACCATTTGCAGCTCAAGAATGTCCAGAATAGCCAGATTATAATAACAACTCCAGAGAAGTGGGATAGCATGACGCGGAAGTGGAAGGATCATGCCAGGCTTATGCAGCTCGTCAAGCTCTTCCTCATCGACGAGGTTCATACACTTAAAGAATCCCGTGGCGCTACCTTAGAAGCTGTTGTGTCCCGCATGAAAACGATTGGGTCCAATGTACGCTTTGTTGCATTAAGTGCTACTATCCCGAACTCTGAAGACATTGCTACCTGGTTAGGTAGGAATGCCACGAGTCAACATGTTCCGGCACACAGAGAACATTTCGGTGAAGAGTTTCGCCCTGTGAAGCTGAAAAAATTCGTTTACGGATATCAGTCTCATGGCAATGACTTTGCGTTCGACAAGCTGCTAAACTCAAAGTAAGCCTTTAATATTGCTGCATAGAGAAACAGACTCACCGTTGAACTGTAGACTTGCTGATATAATTGCCACACACTCGGCGAAGAAGCCTATTATGATATTTTGCTGCACCAGGAACTCTGCAGTCACTACTGCAAAGGAACTTGCACGATTGTGGTCTACATCTAACTACCCGGCACGGTTATGGAAGGGACCGAGTAGGCCGATAGCGGTTTGCAACACTGATCTAAAGAGTGAGTCGGAGAATACCCAGCTATATTCATGCTGACATTGTTCTCGGACAGCCACAACAGCTGCGGGTGTTGCATTCCACCATGCAGGCCTTGAACCCGCAGACCGGCACCAAGTCGAGAACGGGTATATCGACGGCAAAATAAACATTATATGTTGTACTTCAACCCTTGCTGTCGGCGTAAATCTCCCCTGCCATCTGGTAATTATAAAAAACACTGTAGGGTGGCAAGACGGCCGCTGCCAGGAGTACTCAGACCTCGAAGTCATGCAGATGCTCGGCCGTGCCGGCCGACCACAATTTGACGACACCGCAACTGCGGTAATTCTAACCAGAAAGGAGATTGTTCACCACTATGAAAAGCTCGTATCTGGATCTGAGAGTCTCGAGAGTTGCTTGCACCTTAATTTGATTGACCACCTGAATGCCGAGATAGGGCTCGGCAATATAACCAGTCTAGACTCAGCTACTACCTGGCTGGCGAGTACCTTCCTGTTTGTGAGGTTAAGAAGAAACCCGACGCACTATAAACTCAAGGAGGGTGCCAATCGGGATGACGAGAATGAGATGCTTCGCCAGATTTGCGAAAAGGATATCAAGTTACTCCAGGAATGTGACCTAGTTACGTCTAACACTCTCAAGTCCACGCCATTCGGAGACGCCATGGCACGGTATTATATACGATTCGAAACGATGAAAACCCTTCTTGCGTTAAAACCGCAGTCAGGAGTTGCGGAGATTGTAGGTAAATCGTCTAAACTCCTGTAAAGCTAGACTGATTTTCTGCAGCTTGCAGCTATATCCCAGGCCGAAGAATTCCGTGATGTGCGCCTCAAGGCAGGAGAGAAGTCGGTGTATAAGGAGATAAACCGCTCGAGTGACCTCACCTACCCTATCAATGTTGATATCGCACTGCCGGCTCACAAGATATCGCTCCTTATCCAGTCCGAGCTAGGTGCTGTCGAGTTTCCAAATAATGAGCAATTCCAGAAACATAAGTTTACCTTCCAGCAGGACAAGGGCTTTGTATTTTCTCATGTTAATCGTCTGATTCGATGTGTGATTGACTGCCAGGTTCACCTGGGAGATTCGGTGGCTCTCCGAAATGCGTTGGAACTCGCCAGGAGTTTAGCAGCAAAGGTTTGGGATAGTTCACCCCTTCAGATGAAGCAGATTGAGCAGGTTGGTGTTGTTGCGGTGAGGAAGTTAGTGGCAGCTGGGATCGATAGTATAGAAGCCCTTGAAGACACCGAGCCGCACTGTATTGATATGGCACTGAGCAAGAACCCGCCTTTTGGAGTGAAATTGCGAGCCCGTCTCGCGGAATTTCCAAAGTTACGTGTATCGGTGAAGATGATGGGCAAGGTATGAGATACTCAGAATCATGGTGGAAGCTGCTAATCTCCCCTAGGATGTCAAGCCCGGCCGTCTTGTCACGGTGCGCTTCAAAGCGGAGATCGCGTTCATGAACGATAAATGTCCGAGTGTCTTCCAGAGACGGCCGGTTTATATTTGTTTCATTGCAGAAACTTCTGACGGCCGACTGGTTGACTTTCGACGTTTAAGGTATATATATAACTGAAGTTGTATTCCGGCGGTACCGTATGCTGATGGCATTTAGTGCAACAAAGCTTCAGAAGAACCATGAGATATCTCTAAGCGGAGAATTAAAGCAACATGACCAATACATTATTTGCCATGTCATGTGTGATGAAATTGGTCTGCTCCTCAGTCCTACAGCGGCGTGTGCGTTGTGACTAACAAGTTGAAGCGGGAACCTCACGATGTGCAACGTTAAAACCGGATCTCCCAAAATCGTGGTTTCCGAAGCAGCCTGAATGCGAAAGGGGGGCTCAACAGGCTCCGGATAATGGAGAAGCTCCGGCCAGAGAGCCCTGCAACAATCAATTATCTAATAAGCTTAAACGATTCGATACTGATGACCTGTTATTCGGAGAGTGGTTAGGCTCAGGTAGACATACCTAGATCTATACCGGTCCAGTGATATACGTAATGAGTCTAACTGGAATGCAGAGATATTGGACGACTGGAATGATGAGGAAGCAGAGCCTCTACCATCGTTACCCTCTAAAACCACAGTGTACCAGAAAGCAGCATCACAGAGCGAAGCCACCAAGTCCAGCGCCGCAGTAAAGGCCAGTGTCAGCCTCGGCCGGGAACCTGGGAGGCTGGATAATGGTAAATGGGAGTGTAACCATAAGTGTAAAGACAAGACGTCGTAAGACACTTGCATCACATGGGAAGATAATTGCTAAACTCAGCAGGTGCAAACATTACTGCTGTCGGGAGGGCTTGAGCAACCCCCCAAAGGCCACGAGCAAGAAGTCTGACGGGGCTTATCACGATGCAGCAGGATCTAACCAGTTGACTTTGTCAGCAAGTATATCAAAGAGCGATGCGAAACCTGCTAAGCACCAGAAAAATACCAAAAACAGCGAGCAGTCATCTCAACTCAAGACCCCAAGCACGGATAACCCTATCTCCCTAATCGCAGATTCTTCGAGCGACTATGGCGACGAGAGCTTCAACGACCTGCCCTCGCCGTCAGAATTCTTCGGAAGTGTCATAAACTCATTGGATCGTAATTCTCAAAAAGCACCAGGCATCTCCAAGACCAGTCAAAACCCACTTGAGCTCGCAGACGACTGGATGGATGCTGATGAGGTCTTGTTCACGGGGCAAGCGGCCTTGGTGGAATCATCTTCGACAAATGATGGCTTTGCTAAGACTTGTCTAGTAGATCTTGTAAGCCCTGAGCCGCAGAAATTGTGTTCCATGCCACCACAATCCGACGGCTTGGGGGGACAGAAGCGAAAGCTGACTGACAGGAGCAACATCGCCAGTGACGATAGCAAAAGAGCAAGATACCGTGAGGGACCAGACAACATTAACATTAATTCGCCCGATAGAAAAGGACAAGAGATCGGAGAAGAAAATGAAGATAAAACCTCGCAAATGCATGGCGTACCTGTTGTTCCTTCTATACCATTAGGTTGGGAAGGAATTGACCCAGCCCTGCTGGACGATTTCAAGGACATAATTGATTTCTTTTAACTGGCTGCAATTTGAGGATAATGTCCTTGACAACTGAGATAGTGACGGTGTTATCTGCGTTTACATTTGCGTTTGTTATGTTGAAGATGCTTGAAACTGCAATGAAACTTCCACAGAGCTGACAAAATTCATTCACTTAGCTACTACTCAGAGTGTTATACGCACCAGTCTCCCTATTAGCGTGTGCTGTATCTGTGAACTTATTCTAATCCTGGAAGATTCTACCCTGTTCCCTGATAGGGATGCGTGGTTAAGTGAATGAGTGAATATCCCAGTCACGCCCCCATAAAACAGAGTCTTATGCAAGTGCAGCCTCTGCCCAGCAACAGTGTTGTCTTCCAGTATCAGAGGTCTGTCATTTGTTTGTCTCTCTCAGTCATCTGCTGGCCTCCTTTCTCTCCCACCATACCTACCCTCTACCTGATCCATCAAGAATACCATCACGAGGTCAACACAACCAAAGCAAAGCAAGGTGAGTACAGCTTTGTACTATAAACAGATTTATGATCCCTATCTTCATCCAATTCAAAAAAAAGGCACTTTCATCTCCAGAGAGCTAATATAACCTGAGAAACGCAGTGTTTTGCCCTCGTCCTGTATCTCCCACAACACTTTTTAACCCTATCTGATCCTATCTTTCTCAGCATTCTAGCTAGAGAAAGAGAGCCCCATATTTAGCTACATTTAGTAGCCTCTACCGAAAAAGCTTCACTGTCAAAGGTATGTCACTCTGGTGAATGAGCCGTGGTTGGCCGGACCAATTTGTATACCCTTTCTCGGCGCGTCAGGACCCGCGTGCATCTGCGTGCAGCACGCCTTATTTTGACATCTGCTGTTTGGCTGGGATTTGTTATGGCTTTATACTAAACATTTCATTATCTCTTATTCGTTTGCTTTATTTCGTTTGACTGGTGATTGGCCTGACTCAAGCTGATTCTTTTCGCGATGCAGGTTGAAGCAATACAGCACAACAAATCTACTCGTACCACCAAGGTATTGAGCCATCATAATGGGAAAGTTGAATTATTCCGCTGTATGTTCTATTAGATTTTGGGTATATATTCTTTGGATTAGATGAGCTGACGGTGTGGTGTTCTACAGAGAAAGATCAGCGGCGTCAAGGCCGGACACGTCGTTTCCAAAGATCTGGTAAGTCACTGTCTAGTCACTCTTCAGAAAAAAGCAGAGAAAGGCAAGAGATATTGATGGGCGACAGAAAAAACGCATGGCTCCAGGGTCTGGTTCCAAGGCTGCAGCGCGCGATCCAACTCTCGAAATCGATCTCACACGCAAAAATCTCACCGATGACGGCTTCGCTGAGTTTATCGACGACCTGATCAACTGTATTAACTGCCGCGATGAGGAACACCCATTCGGTCTTGCAAAGGCCACTGAGCTCCATCTGCAGGGAAATAAGCTCACTGTGCAATCCCTCCCCAAGCTAGGAGACGTCATTGCTAGCAGCGCTGGTGACCTTCGCGAGCTTGATATTTCACGTAATGACATCCATATTGCCACCGAAGAGGAAAAGGCCATTTGGAAGTCGTTCTTGTCTTCTTTTAAGAACTGCTATATGCTCAAGAAACTTGATTTGGCTGGAAACCCGATTGGAACTCTTGGCTTGGAAATACTTGCTCGCAGTTACATCAAAAGTGACCTTGATTTCCTTGAGGCCGATGCAGAGGCGATTGTCCGCCAGAACCACACTTTCTCCACCGATGTGAGCGACGGCGAGGGCGCGGCGCTTGCGGAGGAAGCTGCGGTGCTGAAGATCAATGCGAAGGCCACTTCTGATTGTAAAGGGGCTCGCGTGAAGAAGTCCCCAAGCAAGGTTGGCAGAGCGGCTCGTCAAAATGGTATGGATTTCCCACTAATCCAACTGGTGATCGTTGTATTGTAAGTTAACGGGGATATGGCTGTAGGAGTTGGATCCACTGCAGCGCCAGCCAGCAAGAACATCACATTGAGTGATCTGAAGCAGTACGCATGTACTCGAGGACTTCGCTCCATCCCATACTTCATACTGTCAGAAATCGAAGTTAAGAATAGCAGTGCTGTGCATCTATCTCGAATGCTCGCCACGCAGCGTGCTTCTGAACAACTCCTGGAGTTCCTCCCTCCTGGCAAAGCGTCTACTATTCCTGGGTCGGCGAGAGGAGACAGGAGTATCATCTGGAAGCCCAATGATGGGTTCACGGCTTACGCTAAGCGCCTTCTCGATGTGACCGAGGTGATCCGTGGATATAAAGCTAGGGCTCAGGGTGGTTCGGAGGGCAATAGATCCGATGATGAAGACTCGACTGACGAGGCCGTGAAGCGTAAATCGCAAAGTAAATTAGAGCTCGACCACACCAGACTTACCAAACGTGTGCGCATCGAATCTCTTAAGCAAGAGGGCCTTCACGCTAGTGAAATTGCCACTGTTGCGTTGAAGATGATGGTAGTTTCTCGAGCATTTCTCTTGGAAGATAGAGACCGTGCGGTTGAAGCATCTGAGGATGAGGCAGCTGATGAAGAGTTACCCATCGCTGAGGAGTATGCTGAGAAAGAGCAACAGCCGGAACGCATGGAGGAGGAAGGACACACAGAAGAAGAGTTGACCGTTGAGCACTCTCCATCATCCGTGGAATTCCACCCACTACCTCAGTACACAATTTCCACAGCTTTCTCCTCATCTTTCTCTAAGGGCCGTTTTCACCCAGGTACTGAGCTGTTTGACGAAGAGTTTCCTGCTCTCCAGCCGGTTTATCGAGGATCGGCCACACCCAAGGCAGCAACCCCAGAGCCCGAGAACAAGGGATGCCTCGAGCCAAATTTCCCGTTTGATGCTACTCCCAAACGTTCCAGCTTCGGTGCTGGAAATACATCCGGCCATGAGTTTAGCTCTGTCCAAACTGTTCGCCCCACTGGCGGCAAGGGTAACCCCCGTGCTAGTGTTTCTCAGAAAGGACGCAAGTCGAGCTGGCGATTCGGTCTTCCCTTCAACATCTGGCGCCGCATTATTTCCGACGCGGTCGGTGCGAATGGTATCTTGGATCAGGAGCAACAGGCTCGCATCCTGCACTATGCTTCTGATTGGGATTCCGTGGCTTACGAACTGACTATCAAAGGCGCGGAAGATCACCAGCAGATCTGGAAATTCTTGGATACTGTCCGCTGCTTCACTTACACGCCTCTGAATTGAGGTAGTTGCTGAAGTTTATGGGACGATTATCCAGCTTGATGCTGAGAGCCCACATGTACTACTTTTATATTAGGAGATCAGGGCAATATGGGGAAGAGAAAAGACCAAACAAAAAAAAAAAAATTAGGTCAGCTGAATTGGGATATGGATCAACTCAGGAATACGGATGTGACCGGCCTTGTATTTAGCAAATGCCAAGTAGCAATGAGATTTATGCAGTGAACGAGGCTATTCACAACGTCATACTAGGGCACCTAGATAGAGCCGCACGTGATCGGAAATCCCCCGCAATTTCTAAGAATTTGGACTTTGATCAGACTCAAACTCTCTGCATTCACCAAAAAGTCTTACATTTGGTTCGTGACACATTCTTTTCATCGTGCATTTCTAGACCGACATTTTTTACGCCGATAGACGCCCGTTTAGTTTGCTATTCGAGTGATAGATAGACAAAATGATTCGCGCAAGACGAACAAACACCACAGCCCCGATAGAAGACTCCTCCAACGCCCCCTCCACGTTCAATGATGGCTTGCCACTGCCGAAACTTATCGCCTTCGATCTCGATTACACACTTTGGCCGTTCTGGGTCGACACCCATGTCACGCCCCCTATCAAGGCAAAGGACAACAACTCCCGCTGCCTAGACAAGTGAGTGCATCCTCGCCGCCGATAATTGCCACAAACCGCTAGATATCTAATGATCGAGTTCTAGATGGAACGAATCCTTTGCGTTCTACCCCGCCGTCTCCTCAATAATCTCCAGCTGCAAATCGCGCTCAATCCCGCTCGCACTGGCTTCACGCACCTATACTCCAGACCTCGCCAGGGACATGCTGAAAGCACTGCACATAATCCCGAACTTCAGCGACAACCCGTCGACGAATAAATCCAAGACAACGAGGGCTCTTGACTACTTTGAGTACATCCAGATCTTCCCAGCGACGAAGACGCAGCACTTTGCGCGGATCCACCAAGCGAGCGGGATTGCTTATGAGGATATGCTGTTCTTTGACGATGAAGCACGCAATCGCAATGTGGAGACGGAGCTGGGGGTGACGTTTTTGCTTGTTCGGGATGGGATGACCAGGGAGGAGGTTGATAAGGGGGTGTGGGCTTGGAGAAAGAGGAATGGGATCAAGAGGGCGGACGAGGGGGACAAGGAGGTTAAGAATTAGGTTCTGATGTATATAATGTGCTATATGATTTGAGATACCCTGCGGGCAATAGAGGACTTGACTTCGGGTGTTCCTTGAGACTTTCAGGGACTGGAACGCCAAGAGGCACCAAAGAAAAAACACACGATGAATCATGGATTCACACCTGACAATTTTCACCAGACGGCGCGTAGTCGCTCTTGGCCCCCGACTAGTCCCAGACTCCGCCCCAGCGGCTCAATTCATTCATTCAAGAGACCTCGACTCTCCTGATCCTTTTTATTTCATGGTGCCCGCGATGTGCCAGCTCCGCCATCACGAAGCACCATGAATCCGCTTCGGATTCTGCTGCCGATCATTCTTGCGGTGGGACTTCCGCTCGGTTGGACTCTCTTCCCCTTATTAACTGTCTTGGATAGTTGCACAGCGCTAACCCCACCCCCAGGAATCCTTGCCCAAGAATGTCACACCAATGAATCAGGCTCCAGCCAAAACTCTGGCAATAGTGCCCTCACTGTGAATAACCAAGATGACTTGAACTCATTTTCTGATGGCTGCACCACCTTGATCGGGGATATTCTGATATCCTCGACCTACCGCGGCCGGTTCGTTCTCGATGGCGTCGCAAATGTTACTGGTCAGATCTCCATGGGGTCTAGTAATTACTCCAAGCAGGTGACTTCGTTTGAGCTGCCAGAAGCGAAATCTATCGGCAGAGTCGTGCTTCACGAGGTTCCTGATGTGCAGCTCCCAAAGGTCGAGAGCGCGGACTGGGTGACCTTGACGACGGCTTCTAGCGAGAGTAACGCAAGTTTGGGAAGCCTTGTCAACGCCGGTTCCGTCCACGTCCAGGGTCCCTGGAAGAGGTAAATTCCTTGAAACTATATACTTATACGAGTGATTTCTGATAGTAAATTACCGACAGCGTGGACTTACGGTCATTGGCGAATGTAACATCGAGCCTCCACCTCTGCAGCAAAGCCGGGTGCCAAAGTCGGGTGCCGGATGGAAGCCCGACAATAGATGTTGATCTCCCTGCTCTGGAAGCTGCACGTTATATCAGTGTCAACGGCAGTGTTTCGAAGTTCGACTCCCCCCCATTCCCAATATTTGCCCTAATTGATAGCTTGGGCTGACTGAACATCGCAGCTTTTCCATGCCTCAGCTACACACCGTAGGCGTGGAAAACCAGACTACGGGCCACAAGAGCGGACTCGGTCTACACCTTTACGGATCTGATTCCTTGATGATCAATTTAACCACATTGCATACACTATATGGCCGTCTCAATGTCTCCGGCGAAGTGTCCTGGTAACTAGCCCAATCTTAAGCAGCCGCTTCATAAACTAACACTCCGACCAGGCTAAACATCTCCCCCGTCGCAAACACTAATGCCCCAATATATATCGAAACCGGCGCAGACTCAGAAATCTACTCCACCCTCCAAGAAGGATCGACCATAGACGTCCGCGGCAACGTCAAACTGTCAGTTCACTACCCCATCCCTTCCTTTTTTTGCCGGTCAATATAAGCCTAAGCTAACCTCTGCAATCAGAGTCGACCTCCCATACATCAAAACCGTCGACAGAATAAACATCACCTCAAACTATAACCCGCCCTGCACGCCAGCCCTCCACAGCCTCTTCGATTCCAAAGCAAACTCCAAATCTGACATCCCGTCCTTCTGCGGCGGTCCCAGCAAACGCAAACCGGGAACGACTGTCCCCAACTGGCCCGACCCCTACAGATCCAAGCACAAGCGCTTGTCAGGCGGGGCCATAGCCGGGATCGTAGTCGGCTGTGTATGTGGCGTTGCATTGCTGGCGGGTGCCGTTTTCTGGTGGCTCAAGAAAAAGAAGAAGATAGGTTCTGGCGCTAAGACGGGGGATCCTACGGATTCTTCTGTCGGTGATGCTACGCCGCCGTATAGGGAGGAGCAACAGCCCATACCTTTGGTGAAGCGGTGAGTTTAGATATAGATTTTGATAGATTACGCAGTGGTTTTGATTAATAGAGCGGGAGTTGGTTTACCTTGTATAAGAAGATGTACATTATTACCTACATACAGACTGGATTTTTGAATACGAATTTTTCACTCTTGGGATGGTTGTTTTGTTTTGTTTCAATGGGGTGGGGTTTCCTTGCCCTAACCTTATTTGCACCATTACTTGCACCGTTACAGATATTCCATTATCTGGGTTACCCGCATATAGCGTCACCAAGTCATGGCTAAAAAGTGATACGTATTTATTGATTAACCCCTGCACCCCGCGGACACCAAGGATCATAAGGCTTGAAGAGTGAGGAGCCCTATGTAAGGCGGGAACGGTGCGGCTAGCCCACACCATCTCCGTCCAACGGCCACAGAACCACCATTACCGGCCCACCAAATTAAACTGTTTATGGGACCACCTCAATATTTAGCTTGTAGGACCCATATTTCGACATGTCCGCGTGACCGTCGGACCTTGGCCGTATCCAGAGAGAGTGAGTGCTCGATGATGCTAAATGCTTAGTACGGTGTACTTCTGCTAGTATACTCCGTCAGAGCCCGCGTCTACTCCGTCCAGTGTCCCGTAATCCACCGCAGAAGGACCGTGGATTGGATGTGATTCAGGTAGGGTTCCATGACCGTAGCAGTATCCGATTGTAGAACTGTCTACGATGCCAATGGTGAGTTGTAATGGGACATTTATATATGTCGGGTGTTCTTGGGAAGTGGCAACAAACTTTTAAGATCGACAACCGCAACATCCTAAGCAAAAAAGCAAAAAAAGAGGAAAAGGAAAAGAAACCCCAAGCATGCCCGAGCATGACTATATCATAATCGGTGGCGGCCTTGCAGGCAGCACGCTCGCCGGCAGACTGTCATCATCAACCTCTGCCCGAATCCTGATAATCGAGGCCGGATCTAATGTCTCAGGCCATCCACTCACAAGCGCCCCGCTGGCGTGCTTCGGTGCACACTTCTCGCCGCTAGACTGGGCGTATACGACTGTTCCACAGGCTCACCTTGGGAACCGGGAGTGCTACAATAGCGCGGGAAAGGCGCTTGGTGGCGGTTCTGCGGTGAACTACGGGACGTGGACGCGTGGGAGCGCGGCGGATTATAATGAATGGGCTAGGATTGTGGGGGATGAGGGTTGGAGTTATGAAGGGTTGTTGCCGCATTTTAAGAGGATGGAGAGTTATTGTATTCGTGGGGTTGGGGAAGGGGTTATTGATACGGAGGCCCATGGGTTTGACGGGCCGATTCATAATGTTTCTGTTTCAGGGAGCAGCGAGGAGCGAGTATATCCGCTCAGGGAACCGTTGAGAAAGGCTTGGGCCAGGTTGGGTGTGAAGGAGATTCCAGATGCGAATGCGGGCTCTCCGTCTGGGTTGAGTGAGTTGGTGGAGAATTGGCGTGACGGAAAACGGCAGATTGCGAGTGAGGTTTTTGGCATTTCTGAAAGGCCTGGCGTTACTATTATGACGGAGACGACGGTGCAGAAGGTCCTCATCGAGGTCAACGAGAGAGGCAAGAAAGTCGCAAGAGGAGTACAGGTTCTAGGAGGCCAGACTTTTCACGCAGCAAAGGAAGTGATCATATCTGCTGGTGCATATCGTACACCACAGGTGTTGATGCTGTCAGGGATTGGGCCACAGGGCGATCTCGCAAAGCACGGAATCGACACGGTCCTGGATGCACCACAGGTCGGACGAAACTTCCACGACCATTTTGCGTTTGCGCAGTGGTGGAAGCTGCGCCGCCCAGAAAAAGGGTTGTCGATGGGCACGCCATTGTGGAACAGCCCTGCATATGGGTTTGGCATTCCCTGCGATTGGGTTGCCACTGTAAAGGCTCCTCACGACGACCTGATCAGGGCATTCCGACAAGACGGGGAGACTGAAGTTGAGGGACAACATTATCTGACATCTAATGCTTGTCATGCAGAGACTCTCATCGCCTATGCGCCATCAGGAGCACTTATCTCGGGAGTTGATATCCCAATGGATGGTACACATATCGCGTCTATTGTCTTGGGAATGGCGACAACTTCACGAGGGTGCATCACACTAGCATCAGCATCGGCAACAACGCCACCTCTGATTGACCCAAACTACTACGCGACGGAGTTCGACCGCGCTGTAGTCCGAGCTGGGGTCCGACAAGTCGCGACCCTCCTTTTGGACATCCCCGAAGGTCAAGAGATCGTTGAGGCTGAGGCGCCGCGTCCCGGGTTCAAGCCGCTTGGTGTTGACCCCACGGACGATGAGATCGATGCTCGGGTAAAAGCAGGGGGTAACACATTCTACCACCCTGCTGGCTCGGCCGCAATGGGAAAGGTAGTTGATACAGAGCTTCGTGTGAAAGGCGTGGATGGCTTAAGGGTTGTGGATGCGAGCGTCCTACCACTCCCAGTGACTGCACACTACCAAGCACTGGTTTATGCAATTGCTGATAAGGCGGCTGATCTGATTTCAGCTAATTAGTTGTTCCAATTAGGCTGTATGTTATGAATCAACTGTCTTTGCTGGCCATGGCTTGTTTAGTAATCTGGATACAAGGCCAGTTTTCCATAATCTTCATCGAACCCAGGGCATCGTCAATCGGAAATTCATCGTAATCGAGGCTCTGTTGCCTGCTTTTATTCGGTTTGGGTAGCTTGCTTGACACGTATGCTATGACGTCTGGATCAGGCCGGGCCTTCAAATCTGCCTTTATTCGCTGTAAGGCTAGAAAAGCAATCCAGTTAGAATCAAACGCGCCCTCGCGGTGCGGCCAGGACTGGAGAGCCGCAATTGCACGGCATCGGACGCCGTAGTCTCGACACCACATGGCTGCGTAGTATAGCGGCGGGAGAATGGTGGTGTCTAGCGTGACGCTCGGGCGCTCCGGGTACTTGTCCAAGATTTCTTCTACCATTGTGAGCTGTTTCTCGTATTCTGGAACATAGCGTTCTAACGTAGGCTCATCCCGTATAAGCGCGGTTTTGACCGGGATGTTGAGACTACAACACACTAGGCGCACTATATCCGCCGCCCTTCGCCCCTTTTGATTAACTTTGTTGCGTGAACAAAATAACTCGAAGCGGTCGGCAAAACCGCTCAGCTGAGAGAGGAGTTGCAGTTGTCTTTGGTGTAAAGACCCGTAATTCGAAAGAATGTCCCTCTCCGATAGGTCTTTACACTCTGTGGAAAAGCGGAACGCTGTATGGGCAAGGGAATCAAGAACCTGGCGTGCCTCAGAGAGATTGCTAAAATCCCTGAAGTCGCCAAGTGGATAGGCTTGATGGTCAGGCTCGCTCATGGATGAGTCTCGTCTGAACCCATATTCCCAAGATTGAGTTTCTAAGCTTCTGAACGCAGCAATGATGCACTGCGCGAGAGGCCCCTCGAAGCGGCCCGCAGCTCTTGCCTCATTCAGAACTTTCAACCCACTCAGCAGATGTTGAAAGGCCTCATCATACCGGCCTCGCAGTAGTTGTGTTATAACAAACAGCAGACAGCATAGGAGCATTATCTCTCGGAATCTCGGATCTTGGGACGAATGGCGTTGACTGAGCAAAGAAAATGACCGCCCACATTGCTCGAGTGCGAACCGATGCCAGTCATTCTGCACGTCCTGCCCCGGTAGGGGCATTCCGTATTTCTCTGAGTCTTGGTGGACTGCACTCAAAGACACAACGGCATGGTAAACAGCCGGCTCTGATATGCTTGCTCGGAGGATTAGTTCCTGCCAGAGGGCCGAGTCGAAGATTTCCAAGAGCGTGGGGACTGTGTGGTACTGAAAGTATGAGTAGCATCGCCGCTCATCTGAGGTTATCGCCCAGCGTACGCCATCTGCAATTTTCATTGGCAGAACCAGCTGAGTTCCTTCGTTCCTCTGGAGTGGGGTGGCTCTGCCTAGGCGAGGGAGCCGCTGGAGGTCGTAGTCGCAGGTGCGGCCGGTGTTTGTGCAATTCCTGCAAGAACCCGGGGTTTCATCGCATTTGACATGGCGTACCCTATCATATGTGAGTCAGAACCACGGGCGAAATGCATAAAATCCCACCTACCGACACGTTCGACAGCCGCTCCGTGACTTCTTGGAGCTGGCTCGTCGTTGCTTCAATTGCGGGGTATCCTGTGTATGCGCCATCATGCATTGTACAAAGGATGATGGAAAATCCAAACGAAATCGAGATCCGCCATTGAAAAGCTAAAGGCCACGCAGGAGCTGAAGGAATGAATGGCGATCCCCTGGTCCTGCAGAGTAGATTAATCTGGGTCCCTGCGCCGCCCCCGTGACCAAGCCAAGCGGAGCTCCAAAATAGTAACACCAACAACAACCTTAACTACAAGCTTTAATAATATCGTAACCTCAGCTCATAATCTCACCTCGCCTCTAACCCAACTACGCCACCAATGGACCCGAGACAATCCCAGCCCCAGCCTCAATTGCGCCAACCCTCATCCTCGCAACACCTCCGACCTCCGCCGCACCACCGCCCCTCCGCAGCTCCCTCCCCATCCTCATCACAATCATCCACGCCTCGACCCCCAGCCGCGCAAATAACCGCCCATCCCACCAGTACAATCTCCGATAGCGCGAACTTCGTCGGCCCCCACACCGTCTCCATCGGCAAGGGCACAATCATCCACCCGCGCACACGGATCTGCGCAACCGAAGGCCCCGTGAGAATCGGCGACGGGTGCATTATCGCCGAGAAGACTGTTATTGGGGCTCTTCCTGGGCCGTCTACTCCTTCTTCCCCGAAACTTGGTGATGAACATGGTGATTCTGCGGAGGGACAGGCTATTGTGATTTCGCCGAACGTGACGATTGGGGCCCAGGTTACGGTTCAGCCTGGGGTGCGACTTCATTCGGGGGTTGTGGTTGATAATCAGGCTGTTGTGGGGAGGGGAGCGGATGTGGGTGCACATTCGAAGATCTGCGCGAGGTGCGAACTTGTTGATGGGGCGAGGGTGAAAGAGTGGGTTGTTGTTTGGGGTGCTGGGAAGGGGACTGGTGTGAAAAAGAGGGTCAAGACGCAGAAGAAGGTTGTTAGTCCGTTTGGATTAGGTGGTGGAGAAGGGAAAGGGCAAGATGGGGTGCTGGAGGGGAGGGTTATCGAAGATGCGAGAATGGTTGCGATGAAGAGGGAGAGGGAAGCGCTTTCGAGGTTTATTGTTGGGGTGAAGAGGAAGTGATGAAGTGCCTTCCATTATCCTGCAACTTGACCCTTTCCGGGGTTGGTGTTTCGGATTTTGCATTTTTTTTTTCAGTGAGGGATTGGCGTTTATATATGTTTTCATCCAATATACCCCAGCTAGAGTATTTGAAGTTGTATTGCTGTCCGAACGAGATCCTGCAAACATGGATAGTAGACCAACTAGTAATCCTCATCCAAGTTCACACTCAGTCCAACCTTCGCACAGAGCTCCTCCAGGGCCGTCTCGTCATCGTCCGTATAGTTCAGCGGACTCCCATGGACGTAACTAACCACCCCGTCCTCCTTTGGGATTTGCCATAGCATGCGTCTATCATACTCTCTTGGTAAGCGCCCATCACAGTACACCATATAACTTTCGCTCCGGAAACCAATGCGGATGCGCCCCTCGCTCTCAAACGGGGTCGAACCATGCTCCCACAAATTTCGCGCGCTGCCATACCGAAAGTGTTGCAGGCGCGGCAACTTGTCCTTGAAGGCGCGGAAATAATCCGCCCAGCGGCTGTCGTATCTTGTATAGAGCCTGGGTTGCTGGACGTGAGGGTGTGGTTTGAAGGCATGTGGTGGAAGATATGAGTGCTCTATGGTTTTGGGGTAAACTGTTGCTTCGAAGATAATTGCGCAGTCGTCCATGTAGAGCTCCGAGAGAGTCTCCCCATGGGATAGGATCCAGTCGCGCTGGGAGTCGTGGATGAAGGTGTGGTTTCCTAATGCTAGTGTTTTGAGCTTGGGGAAATGAAGGCCTCGGAAGTCGCACTTGGAGACGAACCCGACGTAGATGTTGGAATAGAGGGTTAGATGCTCTAAGTTTGAAAGGGCAGGCTTTAGCCAGAATGAGGGTAAGTTGGAAAAGAATGTATGCGGGACTTCTCTCTGTAAGACTATTAGCAAGGATTTTTTCATACCGATAACGATGCAAATCATCACTAGAGACATACTTCATAATAGTCAGAACTGCCATACGCCCCACCGTACAGATTGGCTATATTAAGTCGAAGTGACCGGAGTCTGGGCAAGAGCTTGTTGAGGTTGGCAATAGCTTCGGTGTCGGTGAAGTTGACATTTTCCAAATCTCGCAGAGCAAGGTCTTTCAGATGAGGCATCGCAACAAACGCCGCCAGACCGTACTTCATCACTTCTGCCCGGAAAGCTTGAGACTGGGGAACGTCGTCGTCAGCATCCTCGGGACATTCAGGATGAAACCGAAGAACCACCCTCTGCAACCGGGGAATCTTCTCTAGCGGATGAAACAACCGTACTGCCACATCGTCGTAGGGGTCGGGGTCGTAATAACCTGACCAAGCATTCTGGTGCATTGTTAGGTATCTGTTTTCACAAGCGAGCTTAAACAATCAACACTTACAACTTCCTCATCCTTCGGATCGAAGGTGTTCAGATATATTTTGGTGGTATGGGAAATAAGATCAGGTCTCTCCAGGATATGGTTTATACGTTCTAAGCTCTCGTCACTAGTCGTAACACTGACGGCCTGGAAGACGCTCCGTTTTCCGATGTGACCGAGCTGGCGGTTCGTGAGCCGGAGCGCCTTTTGCGAGACCTGATCTGCATAAGAGTAAATATGGCATATGATTTCAACGGGGAGGGTGTGAAGTTTCGCCATGACCAGGTTGTTCTGGGGTGGATGATGGCCGGAGTCGATGTCTACTTTATGCAGTTGGGGGGAAACAGCAGGAGCGACTACTAAACTGGGTAACTGCAGGGGGCGATAAGTCTATACAGGAGCTGGGCCTGGACAATAACGGCCGACCTAATGCGATATACGGAGATCTAGTTGTACCAAAGGAACAGGATAAGGTAAAGCTTAGACAATAAAATCTGCATCTATAGGCAAAGAATTCCCTCAGTTATACCTGATTTGCATCTCCCACCATACTATCTCCTCATCCCCCGGAGCAAACCGACCATAACCTCAGTAATTTGGTGTCGACCATCCCAGACGGGGTAGACCGAGATGACAACAAAAGTGATCCACAGCCAAATCAACGACACCGCTACCCATGCCGTAAAGAACTAAACAAAACCAGTCAGTCATGATCCCGTACCCACCGATAGGAATTTTAATAATGGTAGGACCTTACCGTCTTGCTGAAAACGTAGTTTGCCGCGTACATGGGCAAAGGCCAGAGGACCCAAATACCCAGAAAGGTAGCAATGGCCCAGAAGAGCGCGTATGCTTTTGATCGTTGATATGACTTCTCCTTCTCTATACCCGCATCCTCACCCTCAACCCCAGCAGATATAGCGGCATCATGCGTCGTCCGTGTTTCATCAGCTAGCGCCATCGTTGCATTCAGCGACTCTTCCTGGAGCTTACTCCAGTCAAAGTTCTCCGGGCGAAATAGTGTAATGACAACCGTATACAAGAGCGGACTTAGCGCTGAGGCTACAGTGCCGTACATACAGGGGAGTGCACCACCCGTGGAAGCAACCGAGACCTCGCCGTAGAACCGATAGGCAGTGCTGAGCCAGACGGCTAAGCCGGTGGCCATTCCCAGGTAAGCTGAAGTGATTGCGGCGACTTTGCTTTGGCGGTTCCAGATTATTGTGCAGATCAGTGGGATAATGCCGGGGCATGTAACGACGCCTGCGTGAGCGTAAGTAATGAGTAGCTGGTATCTAGTTGGAAGGCAGGGTACCAATCATGTATAAAGTCCATCCCATATCAACACCGGCATAGTGGAGGATTGCTGTGAATCCGGCGGAGAAAGCCCCGAATATGACGACGCCGATTCGACTCCAAAGGATTACCTCGTCGTTACTGGCGTTATGATTCCAGTAGGTGCGGTACCCGTCGAATGCGACGATGGATGAGACGGCGATGATCTGGGCGGAGAGTGTAGATGTGACAGCCATGAACGTTATGAGAAGCACAGCCACGGCGCCTCCCTTGCCCGCTACAGCGATGGCGGCATATGGAAGGGCTAGGCCGTTTGTAACTTCGGAACTGGTCATTGCCTATGATATAGTTAGTGGTGGACTTAAAGGAATTGCAATGTGATGATACTTACTCGGGGGTATGTTGGAAAAGAAGGGGAGCTTTCCAAGGCAAGCGCAGCTGTCCCCATAACCGTGCCCAAAGCCCAGGGAATGCCGAAGTATGAAATTCCTCCGATTACATATCCGGGCAGAACAGCAGAAGGCGATGCGGCAAAAGCTTTTACGAAATAGCCAGTATCCATCTATAATAACATCAGCATGGGTCGGATGATGGACTAGGAGGACGTACAATAACCGCACCAAAGTTAGATACAAGCAGGATAATAGCGAATATAATCCCTTGCTCGGATGTCATGGTGAGAAGCGAGCCTTGGAAATTGCCATCGATCTGGTGATCACTCTGGGCAACATTAACTAGGTCGAACAGGTTGCTGATTGAACCGATCTCATCAGAAGTGATAGTTTTGGTTGTTAAATAGCAGCAGAGAATTAGGATGATAACAGTATGGGTATAATCCGTCAAGAAACTAAAATGGTCAGCGACGAGGTATAGCAGTGAGCGTGATAGACAAACTTACGTTGCCTTTATTCCCCCGACAAGAGTGTAGATAACTACACCCAGCGGAAGAAGAAATGTCGACGCCATAATATGCATCCCGGTACTATGGTGATAGTCAGCTCATAAACCGACACGCCAAACCTTTTATACCCACAGAGAACTAATAGCCGAAGATGCCCCTAGAATCATGTTGCAGGTGTTGAACAGATTGTTTATCACAGCGAGAAACATGAAGCTTAGATGAGCAACCTTCCCTGCGACATTGTAAGTTTCTTAACCCGATTTAAACGCAGGGTTCCTACCATATCGCATGCGGATGATCTCCAGAACAGTATGTGCCCCAGGGACGCGGCTTTTGCAAACAGACCCATATACCCAAAACAGACAATCATGGGAGCGCAGCCTGCACCGTACCAGAAGGGACCACTGACACCGTACGTATAACCCACCATCACGGTACTGAGCAGAGCGGTGCTCCAGAGCCAGGACTATGCAACTTATTAGAGTGATCCCATATAACGGACTGTCAACGTACTGAGACAACTGCGGATGCCACAAGGCCTGTACTGACTCGTCGATCTGCGACCATGAACCTATAACAGTGATATAATGAAAGGAACGAGAAATGTTAGTGAATTGAGTATGGCATACGTCTCAATCTTGGAGTTATCTTCCCCAACGGTCCGCTTGAGAATCCTAGTCACCGCCATCATTCCCAGCGCAAAGGCCAGACCAATGCCGACGACGACTACATATCCAACGGCTTGAGAGAGAGGTGGGAGTATAGCATCTCCTGAGCGATGAGATAGAGATGACATGGTTGAAGATACTACTGCCGTTGAGAGCACTTATGCATGCTTCAATTTGGCCTTCGTTTCAATCCTAGCTTTTTTATTTATAGTTAACCGTTATAGACATTTTATCCTACCCGGCGTAAGATTGCCCGCTTCTGGCATATGGGGAATATCGAAACCGCGCTGAGAATGGCGTGCTCGGAGATCATTCTTTCTGGCGTATTCTGACAGCGCTGGACATGTCTATTTAGAAACCTGCAGTGCCTTGTAGATGGAATGTAGCGCATTATTGTTCAAAGAAGTTGCTGTATCATGGAGATAGAGATGGATTGCAGCTAGAATGTTGCTGGAGATTCAGTTGTAGAAGCAGCATAACAGCCCAAACAAAATGGTGTGGACGATTCAGACCAGGTGGGCCAGCACCTCATTCCGTCTTTAAATGAGGAACAGAAAGCTTCGCGTCTTCAGTCGCACTCGGCCGAGAACTGTGTAAAGGCTGCCTTTGAAAGTTAAACAGAAAATATACCTAATGGGATTGGTGAGACTGACGCGGAGCCTGCACACAGCTGGTGATTCTTCCGAGTGAATATTCCACGGTTTTATGCCAAAACATTACTCTTTATTAATTTCTTGAGTATAACACAAAGTGTGGCAAGGTAGTCAAACACAGTACAGAATTGAGAGCAAAGCACAATGGAAGTCAGAAAGCAGCCTTCTGCTGGAGTTATAGCAGGATGCAGCCATGAAACACCTCAATAGCTGGCTTCCAGGTTTCCGCAGGACTCGTTGTGCCCTTGACAGACAACTTCAGTAATATCCGTGAGTATAGATACCCGCTTCCCATAAGCGGATTCTCAAAAATGTTGAAAAATAGGTTGACCGTCATATTCCCAGAAGCCCCCTTCATGTTGTCTAGGTCATGTAGTATCTGTTCTAAATAAAGTCCCATGCCAGAGGCATGCAAAATTTCTGCTAATTGATAGCAACATTTTAGCAATTCAGGCTTTGGAGGAAGATCTTGTGTCCTAGGTGCAATCTTGAATTGGATAGAGGCATGAAGGACATCCAGTGTATGTTTTAACGGTGTACTGGTTTGGGGATCCTATATATAAGACTGTATTATTAGTAAAGGGAAGAGTTAAAGTAATCTTAAAGGAGACAGACCGCCTGAATAAAAGCTATATTAAATAGCCCAAACTTATGATGTATACTTCGGTCAAGAGTAATACCATTAGAAGTATCGTTGATTGAATCAACATTGAATCCGACTCATCGAAGAATCGGGAACCGGTATAACACCTGGGCATAATAGGCCGGCCACAAGATTATTGTAAACCGTGTATAGATCGCTATCTGTTCCGGCTTGGACACCTTTGGCGATTGGAATTTCCCCCGATTGAGGGAGAAATTTAATGAACGCGCGGAGCGTTGACATCAGGCTGGCCTTCAGTTTCTATATTCGTCGATTCTATCCGCTGCTTGTTGGACAAGCTCATCATCGTTTTCATCACTGATATTCGAGGACATATCGGACTGCATTAATATTGAATGGATGGATGTGGACACATCGTCCATGGCCGGAAGGTGTTTTGTGGTATTTCGTGTGGTAGTTGCAAGAGGGAAAAGCTGAATTCCTGGTGTTGGTGCGGCTGTGCATGAGACCAGCCGCAACGTCGCTGGTTAGGGCTGTGCGCTCTATACAACGCCGAGGATTCCGTGCATGTCCATGAAGTCCGTCAGTTTCCGCTTAGTCGCCCATGGGCGCTTTGGTATTCGAAACACTTCTCTCTTCTGTTTTCTTTCTTCTCCTCTTCCCATCGATCACTTGACTAGTTGCCGTGTTTCGATATGGCGGTCCGCTATTGCAATCTATGTGGTTGCCCACTTGCGTTTTGTTCACTTCGTGCACTCTCCACTGCCCAGAGAGGCGATAACCCTGGCCTTTTGTGGGACGATACCTGTTCTTGTAAGGGCGATTCGAGTGATTCGGACTCTGATATCGAGGCCGGACACGCATACTGGTGCCAGTATTTACTCGGCTACGACGGTAACAAGCTCAGTCAGGCCGATATCGAGGTAGGTATTCGTTGTACAGTTCAAGTACAGAAACACTGACTCCATCTTAGTGGCTCGCGTACTGTCGTATGCTAGTTGTACAATCACCTTGTCCTGCAAATCACTACGTGTCCGATGTCGTAAGATAACCTCCCAAACAACCATAACTTCATGCCTGCTAACACCGACTCTAGGGTGTCTATGCTCCAGGTAGTGGTCTGAGGATCAATAGTCCAGATGAATCGTCTATGATGTTGCCCTTCGATGCGGGATTCCTCCTGCACGACCGTTGCTGGAGGATATTGCTAGCTGTGCACTTTAGGCAAACCCCAGGACAGCCCCTCCAGGTGTCCCGTCTGGGCGAGCTGATGAGCCAGCACTGGGGCCTCGCTTGTGTTAACTGGGGCGATGATTTGTACGAAGGTGCCGGTCTCTATCAAGATGACGAGTGGGAGCCTACACCCGGTGTCGAGGTACGTACCTACCATCCAACTAGTTGCCCATGAGCATAACTAAAATACGATAAGTGGCTTGTAACCGACCCATTCAGGTTTACCGACTTCTCGGACTTTGTATACGACGCTGCTACAGTCTCCGTGCCTATTGAGGATCACAACCACGATTATCCCTGTTCGTATACTCCAAAGGACACAGGCGATGACACCGAGTCAGACCCCGAGATGGCCCTTGAGATACACTCAGGAATGGGATCAGGTACCACTACAAGGGAGAGCAGCAGCGACCCCTTCATTGACGACCCTAACTCGCCCAACACGCAAATGACCCTCGATCACGATATGCACCGTCGTTTGTTTTTCGACGGCATCCCGTTCATCGAGGAATTCTCTATGGGACTGCGTCAGGTAATTGATGAGGTCCTTGCAGAGCCTATAACCGCTGGAATCAACTATGCTCGTCTCGGGGCAAATCTACGTGAGGCTTCGGCGATACCTAGTGTTGGCGAGGATCGTCCTGATTATTGGGAGCTTCGGAACAGGGCTCGCATTTGGAAATGCTGTGAGCGAATTATTGAGATGATGGGATGAATCGATATGTATCTTGATGTCTTTCTTGCACAATAAGTATCTGTTATTTAGTAGGACATTGGTTAGAGTTGGTTGACTAGCAATCGCTCCATTTAGTAATTATGCAATCTGTTCTTACAATCAAGTAAATACAATCATCCAAACCCAAACCCCCCAGGGCTACCAAGACCCCGATGATGCTCCGCTATCAGATTCTTCAAATCAACCATCGCCGCCTCGTCACACCTCGACGGCGTATAAGGCCTCTCACAGCACCTACTATCGCCACTGCTGCCCCTCCCCCTCTGCTGCTCCTCAACCCTCTCAATCAAAACATGCACAAGCAGCCAATACTCTGACGCGTTCCTGAAGAACCCTACGCGGCGCCAGGAATCTTCGGGTGGTGCACGCCCTTCTTCTCCTCTATCTTCCTCCTTCGGCAGCCCGAAATTGTCCTGAATCATGTACCGCTGGTTCCAGGCAATCTTCCAATTATGGATTGCGCGTCGCATAGGCTGCAGATGGGGCTGGGTGCTTGAACTAAGGAGGCTATTTATCTGGAGAGTCTCAGATATCAAAGCTTTTCATGGTTAGTATCATATCTTGTTATGAGAACTAAACACCGGGGTAAGAAGATACCAGAACAAACAATCCACAGATTCAAAATCCCCAGATGCGATAAATACGCTATAATCTCAGGAGCGGTGGCTATATCCGAGCAAAGGACGACCTCGACGACCTCGCGCAGCCGCATTCTGCATTTCCACAACGGGTGCGATGTCCATGTTTTGATTGCGGCGAAACATTCCCGGGACGAGGATGCCTGGAAACAGGCCTCTGGACACGCCATGTCTAGCGACATCTCCTGGACCCTTGTGCGGGGTGGGTAGTTGGTGAAGATGGCAAAGGCTGTGTCGTGGATGTAAATGAAGAGCATTGTTCTGGGATGTTAGATGGTGTACTTGTAGGGGGGAATGGAAGTTACCGGATGCACTCTTCATTTGCAATAAAACTGGCCCAACAAAAGTTGTTTTCGTGTAGATTATCGAGATTCCGATGTGTTGTGTTGAAGAGGTTCAGGTCTCTTGCCAACTGAAGCCGAGTTAGTAGACAACTTAGCAGACTAGAACTTGGAACCCACCGAAACCACCATATTAAACCGCTGTCTCCGAATTCGTCTCTGGCTAACTTTACTCCCCTCGCTGATCTGAAAGGTCGAAACGCAGTACGCCGCCTGAAGCAACTGCACAATTTCGCGGACATTCACAGTCGCCTCATCATGCAGTATAATGTCCCCGAAATACGGATTCGTAAACACCATTTCCTCGACGCCATTCAGCCACAGTTTCGCAGTGATGCGGTCATTTTCATTAGGCGAGAAGCATGCGCCAATGATGCACATTGCTGCCGTAAGAGGGGTCGGGGTATCTGCTATGCAGAATGTTGGCTTGTGGATGACGGGGTAATGCGGGTGCCATGCGATCCAGTAGATACGGATGAAACGCTCGATGTTCCGGGGACTGAAGAAGCGGATACAGTCTTTTTCTAGCTGGGATGTCCATCGGTGTGTTATGGGGGACCTTTGGGAAACGGCTTTGATCTGCTGCACGATTTTGTGCGCTGTCTCGGGTGGAGGGTAGGATGTTCGGTCTAACGATCGTACGGCTAGAAAAAGTATTAGATGTGAATTTACCTGGATGTGAAGACATACCAGGATTCCCTGGGACAACCAACGCATCTTGCCTTGTATCAGCTTCCAGCTCCCGACTAGCCCATTCCCTCTCATACAGCGAACAGGCGTATCGGATCTCCAGTGAACTTTCCTTGCTGGCAATGCTCTCCAGGAAGTTAAACGTATCAGCCGGGTCGATGTTTATACAAGGCACCCCAAACCCACGCGGCGCGGTCTGTTGCAAGCGGGTATCCTCGTCACGATCCAAGAACGTCGGGTCGAACAGGAATTGCACGCTTTCAAAGTTCAGGTCGTTCCAGATTGCATCGCTCGTGGGTGTCTCGGGAAGCAGGAAATGGGTTTCGGCATTGGATTGGGTTGAGTCTGGCTGGAGAGTCGGGGGGTCACTGAGTTCGTCGGAGAGAGAGTTGCCTGGGAGGGAGTTGTCCTGCGGTATATTTGTGTCTGAGCTGACTGCGACCGGCTTCAGTTTGAATTGGCATTTGGAAAGATGGCGCTTCATCACATCTCTACATCGTACTTTGTCAATACAGGCTTGAGCATTGCAAGAACAGACTCACTTGCGCATGAACTCCTTTCCACACTCAGGACATTCGACAGCTTTTCCAACCCCATCTGCAAATGTCAGAGGATCTCCAATACGGGACTAACTGACATACGAGACCCGAGATGCCGCTGCAGATGCTCAGTGCGAGTGAACGTCTTGGGGCAGAACGGACACTGCACCTTGCGCGTCTTGAGTCTCCGAGCTGTCTTCATTCTCAATCTCTCCTCCGTGCAAATAGAGAAGGGTGAGGGTCTACAGAGTCCGGGGTAAACAGCCAAGCTAAACAATGTGGAGATACTCTACCCCGCAATGTCAACGCAAGGATCGACTTCATTCCCTGCTCTTTAAGCTGGATAAACAGTTCCTGCTCGGCAGAAGCTGGGGAAGTCGGCTTGCATTATCCTGCATCTGCCGAGCATCCGGGTTTCCCCCTCAGCTCGTATATTGCAACTGAAGTAGACCACCCTGGCCAGGACAGCAACAAGAAAAGAAATAGCAAGGCCGACACTTCGGGGGTGGAGAGAAGAAGGTATACAAACATCTTGAGTTAAGAAAAAGCTTGCATCGTAGTAAATGTTGAGATAGGTAACTGCTTATGCTGAACCTGAATTGCCATTAAATATGTCCTCAGCACCATCATCCTGCCTGCTGCACCCTTTCTACAGCAATACTTCGATACGGAACTCTACGATTTGCAAGGTATTCTCGCCAGCAAGCAGCGCCGGTCATCACGCAATATATTGAGCCTACGCAATCTATCCACGGAGCTTGCATATCCAACAACCTGAAAGTGCAGTAACTTGAAGTGCTACAACATCGACTCCGTAAACGGCGTGAGAGTCTCCAAAAACACCATCGCAGCTTCATACTCCCTCTCCACCACCTCCCGATGCCGCTGAGACCGAATCTCAATACCAACCCGCAGGTCGCGCGGTCGAATATTAAACCCATTTGTATAATCCAACGTATCATACCCAATCCCAGGGACAGGCCGGATCTCAAACCCCCACAGCAACCGGCCCAACGTTATCAGCAGCGTATTGCTCGCCAGCTCGGCACCGGGACAGATCCGACGGCCCCAGCCAAATGAGCTATGGCCTGATTTGCTTGGATGGGGGAGACCAGTGGCATTCGATGTCTTGGGGTGAGTCAGGTAAGGCAGAGAGTCCGGATCCACGTCTAGGAAGCGCAACGGGTTGAACTTGTCTGGGTCGGGATAGTATTCCGGATTCAGGTTGATGGCCCAGGAGCTCCCCAGGATAACGGTACCCTTGGGGATATAGAAGCCGCGGTAGTAGTCGTCTTCAGAAGAGGCGTGCGGTGTTCCTCCTAGGACAGCGACGGGGCGCCAGCGGAGGACTTCTTTGCAGAGCGCGCGCAGGTATGGGAGATTGCGGATATCACTGAATACAGGTAATCGATCACGCCCGACCACCGAGTCAAGCTCTGCTTGTGCTGTTTCCAGAATACCCGGGGTTGTCACGATAGCCAGCATTGCAGAGCACAGAGTTGACGCTGTAGTGTCGGAGCCAGCACCGAATAGAGACGCCGGGATGAAGCTGAAGTTGCGTTCGCTGAGAGGGAACGACCCGGGATCTGCCTTCCTATTCTCAAGTAACTGCTTGGTCAAGCTGTTGAAGACTGGTGCGGCATTGTGAGAATTACCGGCGGACTCGATATCATTCTCTACTACGCGGACAAGCTTCATATTGGCCTCAGCTTCAATCCGGCCCCGTCGTTTAATCTCCGCCTTCCACGGCGCAATCCAGTCAGGGAGATATTTCAGCGCTGGGAAAGACTCGACCAGATACGCGCCTGGGACATTCAACCCAGAGACATACTGCATGAACTCCAGGCGCTGCCGCACAACCGGCGACCGCATATCATCCACGCGATGGCCGTACGATATCGCAAAAACAATTGACGAAGTCAGTCTATCGAACAGCGCCTCGAAGTCTTCGGCATTAGATAGGAGTTGGTAGCAAAGACGCGCAGACTCCGCCTCCTGCAACCCCTTGTAATTCTCCAGCGCGCGCGGCGTCAGCGCAGAGTGCAGCAATTTCCGACGAACAAGCCACTCTTTCCCATACGGCTGGACCAGAATGCTCGCCATGTCCCAGTAGATCTCGCCCATGGTGACGAATCTCGGGCGGGTGCTGTACTTGGCGGAGCGTTTCTCGAGTAGTTCTGATGCAATGACGGGGTCGGATATTACGATTGTTGGGCGTCGGCCGAGCCAGACGGTGTATATTGGGCCGTATATCCGGGACCATTCTTGGAATTTGATCCAGGGATGGTACGAGGGGAGAGAGTGCTTGTTGCCGATGAGGGGGAGGGGAGGGGGGCCTGGGGGGAGGCGTTTCCAGAGGAGGACATCGTGGATGAGGATGCCGAGGGGGATTAAGACGGCGAAACTGCATGCGATGGTCCATAGGGAGGGGTCCATGTTGTATGAGCACTCAATCATCAGCAGGCATCCCATTGATGTAGTCGAGTCTGCGGGGTTGATTCTCCAAGTATACATGTGGGCTGATGGGGGCATGTGGGGGAATTATACTATCAAATAAACAATCAGATTAATGTCATTAACTACTACAGCTTGCCAATTGCATTTGGATACTGAACGAATGCCATCGGGCCCGTCGTCGCCAGCACTCCTCCAGCCTTGCCAGTGATCTTTGGATCTGGCCCAATATAATCAGCTGGATATCCAGCATTCAGCGGCTTGACGCTCTCCAGCAAGTCAATCTGGGCCTGTGTAAGCCGGATATCCAGTGCTCTGATATTGTCCTGGAGGTGCTCGATCTTCCTCCCCCCAATCACCGGAAAGACATACGGCGCCTTGGACAAGACATATGCCAGCGCAATCGTCGTCACCGACTCAACGCCATGCTCTGAAGCAACCTTCTCCAGCGCCTCGCTCATCCTCACTTCATCTTCACTCTGCGCCGCAGGCCCAATAGCTCTTAGACTCTCACCGGCCTTCTGCCTCGCCTCCAACTGCCTCTTGGACTGAAACTTCCCTCCCCCGATGGAATCCCACGGCGCAATCGCCATCCCAAAATGCCTCGCCATCGGCAAGATCTCCCTCTCCAAATCCCGCCTCAAAACATTCCACCGTCCCTGGTAAATACTAAACGGCGTCTTCCCACTCGCCCGCGCATAACAGTTCGCCGCAGCAACAACCCACGCCGGCGCATTCGATATCCCCAAATACAACACCTTCCCCCGCTGCACAAGAACATGCAAACTATCCATCACCTCCTCAACAGAGGTAATCTGGTCCCACCAATGCAGGTACAGAATATCCACCCAGTCCGTCTGCAATTTCACCAACGAGTCCCGCAACGACATATGCAGCGCCCGCCGCGAGTTCCCCGAGTAATTCACATAAGCCTTCTTGCCGCCAACCTCGTAGTCCCGGTACGCGGTGGAGTACTTTGTCGCAATGATGATATTATCCCTGTTCCCCCGCGCCGCCATCCACTCCCCGATCCACCGCTCCGATTGCTCGTCTTGGTAGTTGTTGGCGGTGTCGATGAAGTTCCCGCCTGCGGCGACGAAGGCGTCCAGTAGGCCGAATGCTTGTTCCTTGTCCATGCTGCCCATGAAGCCGGACCAGGCGTTGCCGATGGACATGCCGCCGAGTTGGAGGGGGGAGACGCGCACGCTGGCTGTGGTGGAGAGCACGCGGAGGCGGCCTAGCGGGGTTGTGGGTTCGGGGGCTGCTTGTAGGAAGGACATCTTATTCTCCCCTCTTGGTGTTTGGTATGATATGTGTTTTGGCGTTGATCTCCTGCGGTGGACTGTAGGTATAGCTGAATAGGGCCTTGAGTCCTGGGTATTCACATCTTTTATTTCGGGCGACGTCGCTATATCCGATACCGATCCCTGGGCGAGTATACAACACTCCCCACCGATGTGGCGGACATCGTGACCCCCACAAGAGAATCCGGGGTATGTCCGGATCTCGGCAAGAGCCCTAGCTGTCAGTGCCGGTCAGTCATCGCAGTTCATAACTTAGTCATGTTCATCTTGGAGCAATCAATATGAAAGCCTACTAAGTGTTTGCTATGTGGTGCTTGGTGAAGGAATCCATGAGAACAAATTATCATGTGGTACTTCATCCAGACCAAGTGAAACCAGTCTTGTTGTCTTGGTGAATACTGGATTCATGTCAGAAAGAAATTTGTTTCGTTGCTGTGGCGATTGTTGTATGGCAATAAAGCATTCACGGTGAGTCCGGACTCATGCGCAGGTGGCAATTGTTGCTTGCTAGAAAAATATCATGAAGGGAGAAATTAATTTAGCCGTGAATGCAGGCTTATTTCTAAGTTAATACAGTCTCCTTTAGTCGAGAATGCTATATAGAATAATTTCTTCACTTACCTACAGTCTGTTCATACAATCTAGATCCTTTCTCTGTCGTCTTTAGACCATGCTTTAATTGATTGTTTCACTGCAGCGTTTCATCCACCCGCTTTATCAAAGACGCCATCACAAAACAATTCCTCATCCAAGTCACAACATCAAAGGGAAATCCCTCATCCCAACAGCATAAATACCCCTTTGTGCCCTCCCCATCGATGATGCTCCAGGGACGGCAGCAAGCCTCGATGCCTCTGCCTGCTCGTCCCTCCTCGCTATTGCAGTATCTCCATTGCAAATACTGTCAGAAGTCAACCAGCCTGACAGTCCAGCGAGGTATTCCGTCTTGAATGTGCAATTCAACGCGATGAAATCATCGACTTGGGTCAGTGCCTGATCCCTGACCATCTCTCGATGATTTTCCAGCACAACTGGATCGATATCCTGTCTTTTGAGACAGGTTGTTTTCAACATGCAACTTTCAGATCCGGCCCAGCTACTGTTCCTTTTCAGAGACAGTAAAGGATGCCCACGCCCATTACGAAATCTCCGATACCACAACAACACCAACTCAACTATCCAAGTCGATGACCCTGAATTCCATCACCCAGCAGGATAGAACCACACCATGCACCTGGGTTCATTACCACACCAAAGCAATACGAATCAAACGACATTTCCTTCCAGGTTTGATCGTCTGCTCAACAGTCATGACAGACGCATCGCCAGTCTTCGATGTTTCGCATTTCGTTCGCACTACCCACGATCAGATAGTCGGCGACCTGGGAGCCAGAGATTGACCAGGTTTTCTGTCTGGCAGTCCTTGTTGACAAATACGACTGTGCTCCCTTAATGACAAACTACGGCGAAATTCTCATTTATCGCGTGCTGGATACCATTACCACGATGGAAGAACTATGGGTATTACTGCATTTCACCCTACGCCTTGCAAGATCCGATAACGTGAGTTCAGAATTGCATCCACAATCGCCACTAAGCAAGCTAATATATTTATCAGGTTTTATCCATGGTCTCTCCTCTCCACACTGAAACACACTATACAGCCCTGCAATATCGGAATCCAGATGATGGCTTCATGACACACGACCTGGTGCATGCCATGGGTGCAGCAACCAACATGAACCAAATCACTCCGCAAGGCGAGCAGAATTCTCAAGATACGTTAAGGCCTTGGTTATCTTACCATTTCACCTTACCATCCATGCAAGACATGTCCATCCTGAAAATCTCCAAAGCACCGACCTTTCTGAGGCAAACCAAGGACGGATCATGTCTGTCCTTGCGTATGCAGACCTGATGTCTGCTGTTTGGTTCCGTATCACTCTCTCGTTTCCATTACCCGCGCTATCATTCTGGAAGGCCCACCCCGATAGCCTTCTGGAAGCAAGGCAGTCCAACCTGAGTACTACGATGAATATGATGGCTTACACGAACACGGTACAATTGCCGACATGCATGAAGATCTCAATTCTGAGATGTTGCAACGACTTTGAGCCTTTCTATGGGCAGGCCCGTCAGAGACATATCGGTCCTGGCTTATGCAGACCTGATAATTGTCTGGTCCTTTTCATTCTGTTATTATTTGACCAGCGGTCATACCACTCCGAAAGCACCATGGTGAGAATGGAATGATGTCTCGCAAACAGAACAATCCTTACCGACGATGCCGTTGACTATTTATGACAAACGCTGAAGCCTACCGAGAACAATGCCATTCCGGGCTCATTGGCACCGGCATACGCCGACCAAGAACTTTGCCGACCTGATGGACGAAGTCGAACATTACATGGGCATCCACCACCTCGAGGATGCTGCCTTGCCAGTCTTTGCTCAGTCACAATGGAGCAAATCATCTCTCTCTGTTTTCATGGCGCACGATTCATATAATACCATAATGCGTGGTCTGAGCACAATCCTCCCGCGGAGATTGATGGTGCTGTTTGCAGCGATACTACCGATCGACCACATTCACACCACCGCTCCACAAAGTAGTCGCAGAGGAGATGTTACTGTCGTTTCCTCTGGCCTCCTGCTAGGTCCCGCTGCCCGATTGCCTGCAATCTACTTGTTCGTCTGCCCTGCGCCGTTCCTCTGCAGAATATGCAGGAAGGGGTCTGTCATCTATCTCGGCCGCTCACCCAGATAGTTTAGCACCTCACGCTTAGTTTTCTTGCCATAATCGACTTATTGCTTAGAGTTGGTTCCAACAGATATGGTCCTAGCGAGCTTCGATGAAGCAGCTACAACAGGACCAAACCAACCCCAACCATTGCCTGGAGATACCACTCGGAGAATGGCGGCCATTACAGATGGCCAGCTCCAGTCCACGACGTACGGGCAATCGTTGAATGCAAGTCACCAGGTCCTCCCAAACGCACGATATGGAGGAGACCAGCACTGGGTGATCCTGCCTCCTGGTGATCTCCCATGACCAGGTGCACGTAGTGCCTACGATGCACCGGTATAACTTTGACGAGCAAGTCAGAGCCACAACCACGGCAAACCCTGCTCAGTGACAGTCTGATCCATATGATCTCTGGCACTTCGTCCAACGCTTAGTCTTCCTCGGCAGCAGAATCAGAGCAGACTTGTCGGGTTGGCTCTTCGAATACCTATCCTGCTATCCCTGTTCTCAATCTTGACAGAAATGACAGAGTTACTTCTAGGTGCTGCTGCCTCAGACTGTATGTGAAAGCATAGCATTCCATCTCTAGCATCATACTCTTCTGTCACTGATCCGATTGCGGTCCAACTACGCTCCGAAAAGATGGTGAATACTACGAGGTTAAAGTTCCAGACTGCAATGAACCTCAAGTCCAACCAGCCTATCTGCTGGACGATCACTGCCGCTTACCCATATGGTTCCCATTCTACTACATCACAATGGCTTCGTCGGCCCTTCCACCCCATTTCTCCATAACACCCACGTCAGTCCTTACGCTGTGTCCCCGAAAGATGATGCTCCAAGCAAACCTATGTCCCAGTCGTGCCAATATTACCGATTCGGAGTGCTACAATCCCACCTCGGATTGCAGCAAGGAAGGACTGGCTGTTCTAAAGGCACTATCAGAGTCGGTTCAACAACACTGACCCATTTCACTATCATACTGTCTGCGCAAAGAATTTCGGATGGGCTCAGCGCTTTTCGGCAATCATCCTTCCGGACCGGCGATCCTAAAAGCCAGGACGAATCGAACCCTCCTCTGAGAAGCCAAGACAGTACTTGACGCCTCACTGCGTGTCGTGGATCATGAACTCATGGTTCGGGGGCTGGGACCTACGTTCTCATATTGAAGATACCACGCAGACGACCCAGTCTCCCTTTAGCGTCCGCAATTATAGACAAACTCGGACCCTATCACGGATTACCAGAACCAGAAAGGTTTCTATTGCTTATTTTCAAAGCAAATTGGTTCGTCGACTGGATGTCGAGCGAGGAAACACCTGATATCGATTTGGGGCTGTCCGTCACCATCAAGATCTCATTTACTCTCACGCCGTCCATCGCTTAGGCTTGCATCATTCGGAGTGATGGTACGATGGCCGTCCTCCTCTCTCTCTCTTGGCCACAATCCATTACCTGTCATACACCCCCCCCCCTGATTCTGACGGTGACCAGCTGCAGCTGCCCATTGGGCTATGATCTGCGGAGCAGTTGGAGCAGAGCATCAGGCATATGATCCTCCCGCCCTACAAACATGCCAACAGGTGACTTTCCGTTGATTCAAGTTCAGAGAAATCTCGCTACTTAAATGAATCAGTGCTGCTACTTTGCCTTCTGAAGCACCTCACGCCTCGCACTTTATCATGCAATCCAACGAGTTATGCGCCGCCTTGGACAGCAGAAGAGCCGGAACCTGACAAGGCCAAAACAGTGCCACTGGTCTGTACACAAGTCTGGATCATACCAGGTCCTTTTACCTGGAAACTGAGATAACATACTTTCTCTCATTCCGGACTATCATCATCTCACGGATGCCATTGAGTTCGATCTGGCATCTGGCTGCTGTGTCTTGCGCGGAACTGAAAGCTCGGTTACTCCCCAGGTCGAGCTTGTCTTTGGGTGTCTTTACCTGTTGTCAGTATGGTCGTATCCACAACACAATTGTGAAGACGAATCAACAATCCTGGATCTGAAGAGAGAATGCGTTTCATCATACGAGGCTACACGCCTTGTTTAGACCTCACGCTTTTTCTACAGATATCGACCTATTGCTCTGAGTGGATTCTTACACTAAAGCGTTGTTCGTTGGTTCCATGGATTCCACGGTTCGAAACATCCATCCACCAACATCGCCATACTTTGAAAGAGATCAAACTCACCGACGAAGTGCCCTTACTTCGGGTACAGCCCAGTCAGGTGAATGAATACTGGTGCCTGGCCACTCTTCATGCACCAGACTACTTGATGTCTGCTCGTTCCAACGGATCTATAAGGCCTTCAGATCCTCAACAGTTCACTTTACCAGAACAATTACTGCCATTTACGCCTCCTTCTTTTGGTGTACACAACTATCAAGCCCAGGTCGAAGACCGCAACGCCCATCCGATCCAGGACGTGGGTGAAGAAGAACTGCTCGCGGAATAAGATACGCAGGAAGTGATCAACGACCGCATTCCGTGATGACAGTGCAAGGCTGGTTCAATGGGCAGTGGGCTGACTGGAACTCGAACACTCCGTGGCAGCTGTGCACTGCCGTCATAATGACCGGGCGGTCGTGTATCACCAAAAACACCCAAGGAACTCCGCCCTATACTCTTACTTCTGGTGATCAAACTACTTTGTACAGCGTGTGGTTTGAAGGTATCTATTCGGAGGGCCTCAGCTTGGCGGTTACGGCCCAACATATCGGCATACTGTCCCACCTGACTTGTACTTGATTATATCGAAGAAACAGCGAAAAAGATGAAAAAGCTGAAAATCGAAAAAAGTCTATACCCTAAATCCTATAACTGATTAACTGTGATTGATTTAGTGCCGGAGAGATTCTGGCCCAGAGTAGACTAGCGCGTGTTGTAAATCCGGACACTTTTTTGCTTACAATTGAACTATTACCAACTGTATACAATTAGTATGACTGTCCAGTAAATCACCGAACCTCCGGGTCAACTGCTTCAATCTATCCGTGATCTCTCTATATAACCTGACAGCAGTGATGGCAACACCAGCCTCTATCAAACTACAATTCACCAACGACAAGAACTCTACGACAAAATGCAGAAACGAGCACCACTCGACCCCGAACTCACTCCAACCCACCAAACCATCCCATATCTCGACATCGACACCCCCGAGAAACTACACTCCTACCGCACCGCAATAACCTCCACGGCAAAGAATCCACCATCACCGCAACACCCGTCACAGTCCCCACCCCAGCAGGCCCATTAACAGCCACAATCTTCCGCCCTAGATCACCCACCCGTCCAGCCTCCGACACCCCGGGAATATTTCACATCCACGGCGGCGGTCTCGCAACAGGGAACCGCTTCCTCGGCCTCGCGAACATCCTCAACTGGATCGAGGAGTTGGATGCCGTCATTCTTACGGCGGAGTACCGTCTAACACCGGAACATCCGCATCCTGCACCGCTGGAAGATAGCTACGCGGCGCTGGAATATATGGCCGCCCATGCGGATGAAATGGGGTTTAACCCGCGGAAGCTTGTTGTTGCTGGTGGATCTGCTGGGGGGAATCTCGCTGCTGGTGTGGCCCTGCTTGCGAGGGACTCTGCTGCTGGCCCCGAACTTGCGGGGCTGGTGCTTATGTATCCCTGGGTTTCGGATAGTATGGACTCAGTCTCAGATGGGTCTATTCGGCAGTATGGGGATATTGCGCCGGTGAGGGAGATTGATCTTGCAACTGTGAATGACTACGCCTTTGGCAAGGGGCGGGAGTTTGCGGATATGTATACCTCCCCGATGCGCGCGGAGAGTCTGGCGGGTTTACCGCCGACGCTGCTGGACGTGGGTGAGGCGGACGTATTCCGGGATCAGGATGTTGGGTTTGCGACGAGGTTGTGGAGGGATGGAGTGCAGACGGAGTTGCATGTTTGGCCGGGGAGTTGGCATGGCTTTGATGTGTTTGTGCCGGGGGCTGGGGTGAGTTGCAGGGCTAGGAGGGTGAGGGTTGAGTGGTTGAAGAAATTATTAGGTTGACCAGATACTTCATTTACTTTCCATATACTTCATCATTAATCTGTCTATCACTCGACATCCTCGGCTGTACGGGGGATCCCCCACATGGAGCCTGAGATGTCCCCCACACTGGCTAAATCATGAAGGAAGTCAATCTGGATAGTAGAATAAAATATCCGAGTCAGGTACTGGAGCCAGTCCTGCTAGATTTATTTAATTCGGAATACCATCGCTCACTCGCGGTACATCCAACACCAAGCCCTAACTCACCTCAATAACCACAGCACAGCATCCACAACAATGCCACCACAAACCCCTATAAACGTCATAGTCATCGGAGCAGGTACTCACAAACCCAAATCCGACCCCCATAGTCAAACTAAAAAGAAAATACAGGCTTCGCCGGTCTCTCCACAGCAATATCCTGCCACCGCGCCGGGCACAAGGTAACAATCTACGAACGCGCCCCAGACCTGCAACCCTTGGGCGACATAATCTCGTTCGGGCGCAACGCCGGGCTCATATTCGCGCGCTGGTCACCATCCCTCGTGGACGAGATGCTGCCGCTCAGCATTAACCTGCAGGACCACGGGTTCCGGATCCATAAGTATACGGGCGAGCATGTGACGACGCAGCACTCTCTGCCGCTGGAGAGGGGGGCGCCGACGATTAATGGGCATCGGGGGGAGTTGCATTTGGTGTTGTTGAGGTTTGTAAAGGAGTTGGGGGTGGATGTTAGGCTTGGGTGTGATGTTGTGAGGTGTTTCGAAGACCAAGGGAGGGCTGGGATTGAGATTTTGGGTGGGGAGAGGGTTTGTCTACTTCTTTATCTTATGATGTTGTTTGCTAAGTCAAGTAGGTATACGGGGATGTGGTGATTGGATGCGACGGGGTCCATTCCAAGGCAAGAGAGCTGGTATTAGGGCACGAAACAAAATTGCAGTCAAGTGGATACGCCATTTTCCGCGCCTGGTATGCTCATCAATTATGATAGATAGATACATCTACTAACAAGACCAGGTTCGACAGCAAAGACATGCTCGCCGACCCACTCACCAAACACCTCTGCGAAAACGGCGACACCTTCAACGGCTGGATCGGCCCGGACGTGCATTTCCTCGTTTCCTCCTTAAAGGGCGGGAGGGATATGTGTTGGGTACTAACGCATAAGGACGAGTCCGAGCTCTCAGACCGCTGGTCTTTCCCTGGAAAGTTGACGGATGTGTACAAGATCCTCGAGGGCTGGGCACCGATATGCAAGCGCATTGTGTCGAAAACACCGGAGGATTCTCTGATTGACTGGAAACTTGTCTGGCAGGATCCGCTGCCGACTTGGGTGAGCCAGGGAGGCCGCATTGCGCTGGCTGGGGACTCGGCGCATGCGTTTCTGCCGACATCGACGCAGGGTGCGACGCAGGCGCTGGAGGATGGAGTCACGATTGCGACTTGCTTGAAGTGGGCAGGGAAGGAGAGGATTCCTGATGCATTGAAGGCGTTTGAGAGGATACGGTGGGTTATCCTTTTTATATATATATACTATTTCGAAGCTAATTGTGATAGGTATGACCGTGTCTGTAAAGTGCAGGAAACCGGCAAGACTACGAGGGAGAGATGGCACAAGGCCAGCTGGGACGAGGTCGAGAAAGACCCAAAGCGTCTCGAGTTGCCACGAGAGAGCTGGATCTTGGATCATGATGCTGAAGGACATGCAGAGAAAATGTGCGAGCAGATCTTTGGAAAGAACAGAGAGAGCAAGATATAGTAAATGCAATCTTTTTGGGTAGCAATACACCGCTTCAGAATTCAAATCCTCCGTCACGCTATACCTGCGGCAATTGTATTCTCCCACTGGTCAATCCTGCATGATGCTGCATATCAAGCGATGTGGCGTCTCCCCCACAGCCCTGACTCTACATGTGGGGGACAATGTCATTCAGGGCAGATGAGGGGACACATACAATAGGCTAAAACAGCAGCATTACAAAGCTGTATGATGCGTATATCTGTGCCTACAGCACACTGCGTATCGTTCCAGCTGACCCTGCTGCCTATAAGGAGCGTAACCCACGGCCACACCTCGTGTCATACATCAGCTTTCGTTTCATTCCGCCTGCCAGTATGACTTTCGGGATTCTCGAGCCCAAGAATGGCCAGTTTGCCCCTGGAACAGGTACTACGCCGTCAGTCTATTATTCGTAATGCTAATAGTCCAGTCAAATTGAGCCAGCAGACCTCCGTCGAGGCACCCCACGACCTCCCTCTATTTGGCAAAACCAATGCTCAAGATCGGGGAATCGTTCTAGTTCCTGAACCATCTGCCTCTCCAAATGATCCTCTCAACGTATGTAATCCTATCCCAAGAAACGCTCCTACTGACCAACCTAGTGGCCCCAATGGTAACCTGATGAATCCAAGTTCCTGCACCTTATAACTTCAACACAACTAAACAGATATGCAGGAGAAAGGACCTCATCCTCTTCATAATCAGCCTCCAGTCTGCAGTCGTCGGTGCATACGGGCCCATGCTGGGTCCCGGCTTCGTGGAAATCGCAGGAGACCTCAGCGTCTCCGTGAACGAAATCTCCCAGGCCACGTCGTATCTCGTCCTCGCGTGCGGATTGGGTCTCTTCATCAGTAATCCACTCGCAAAGTGCTACGGTAAAAGGCCTGTCTATCTAGCCGCCGGGCTTGTTCTGTTCGCAGCCAGTGTCTGGGGCGCAGCGACGAACAGCTATGGCTCGTTTCTGGGGAGTCGCTTGGTTGGGGGGTTAGGAATGGGGCCGTACGAGGTATGTCTTAACTTTATATTTATATTTATTTTATTTTTTACTGAGTGGTCAGGTTCTTGTACAATGCACCATTGGCGACATGTACTTTGTCCACGAACGAGCCACCCGTCTTGCATTCTGGGGCTTGTTTCTCACAGCTGGCATTTCAGCAGGCCCAGTCGTCAGTGGCTATATTATCGAGTATGCCGGATATCGCTGGACATTTGGCGCCTGTGCCATCTTCTTTGCGGTACTGACGGTGGCGTTCTTCTTCCTCGCCCCGGAGACGGCGTTCATTAGGGCTGATCCGTCTCCTGAGACAACAACAAGCATTGCACACGAGGCGAAGGATCATCCTAGCTCTGATAATGCACATGGCATTGGGAGGGTTGAGTCCAAGTCTCAATCTCAGCAGTCCAACTACTCGCCTCCTGCACAGAAACACTCCTACTGGCGCTCCCTCCGCGTCTACAGCGGTCGATACTCAGACGCCCCCCTGCTCAAGGTCGTCTCGCGACCATTCATCCTGTATGCCCTCCAGTATCTTCTTATATTCATACTGATTGATATACAGCTTTCTGTACCCCCCCATGCTCTGGGCCTTCCTCACCTGGGGCACAACCATAACATTCACCATCGCCTTCGGCTACGTCAACGGGGTCCTCTTCACTGCACCCCCTTACAACATGTCCACCTCCCAAGTCGGCCTCACAAACATCTCCCCCCTCGTCCAAGCCATAATCGCCCAGACCATCTCCGGCCCCCTCTGCGACCGCATCGTCGTCTCCCTCACCCGCCGCAACAAGGGCACCTACGAACCCGAGTACCGTCTTGTCCTGATAGCCGTGGGCTTCGTGCTCGGCGTGGCCGGGTTCTTCGGGTACGGCGCCACAGTGCACTACAAGACGCACTGGACGGGGCCGGTGATTACCTATGGCCTTGTGAGTGGTGCGTTGGCGTTTGTCTCGACGTGTGTCTTTGGGTATATCATTGATGCTTATGGGGATCTGGGGGAGGAGGCCTTTGTGGCGATTAATGCGAGGAATTTCCTCTCCTTTGGGATTCTGTATTTCATTAATGGCTGGTTGGCTGAGGATGGGGTTTTGGAGGTTTTTGTTATCTTGGGAAGTATGTTTGTTTTTACGTCGCTTTTGACCGTGCCGCTTTGGTGAGTTCTTCTTTCTGTCTCTGACGGTTTGTGGTTGATGCTAATTGTGTAGGATGTATGGGAAGAGGATCAGGGCGAGGATTCATCGGATTGACTGGCTGAAGGCGTATATGAGGGACTCCTGAAGCAATACAGACATTTCGATATAGCCCAACAAGTGAAGATATCTTGAATTAACATTGAGTCCGTAACAAAGGAAATATTGAGTATTGAAACAAGATCTTGTCTGAACATCTTCCCAGCAAATGTAAATCAACCCGACGATGCTTGAAACTTAAACAAAGTAATCAATAGAAAACGATATGATACTAAAACATCCCAATGCAAAATGCTACCTCACGAACCCCGGGCATGCCCGCCGCCTCGCATCCTCTTTCCGCCGGTATTACCTCCCTCGTTGCCGCCATCAGTGCCATCTTCTCTGGCTCTCTTGTTCCCCTGCGGCACAAACTGGCGCGCGCCCACGTTCAGTCCGCCCCGCCCTGGGCTCGCTTGTCCCGCTTGTCCTTGCGCTTGGTTTTGAGCTTGAGCATTCTGGTGCCCACCTCGGCCCTGCTGCCCTCCACGCCCACCGCGGCCTCGTGGAAGTCCAGTACCACGCTGCGACTGCTGTTGTTGCTGGGGCGCCTGGGCTTGTGCCTGTTGCTGCTGGCCAAATGGATTCGGCTGGTGAGCACCGCCACGCCCACCACCTCGTCCACCTCGTGCAACTGGGAGGCCGGACTGCAACGCCCGCATGGCTCCGCCCGCTGCCGCTCCAGCTGGTGGTTTGCTTGGCAGCGCCGACGCTTGCGGCTGCTGTTTGTTTTGGATCTGCGCAAACGGGTTGGGTGCACCCGTTGCGGCAGGAGCAGCCGCACCAGCTTGGGCGTTCGCTTGTTGTGGCTGTTGTGGCTGTGGTTGCTGTGGTTGCTGCTGAGGTGCTTGTGCGGGTTGCTCACTTGGTTGCGCCTCTGCAGGGGCAGCCTGTGGTGCCGGCGTTGGAGCTGCGGCCGGGGCTGGTGCTGACGCTGGTGCTGGTGCTGGCGCAGCTTGTTGGTTCACTGGTGAAGGTTGTGCTGCTACCTGTGGTGCGGGAGACGCAACTTGGGGCGCAGGAGACGCTTGGGGTGCAGGCGATGCAACTTGAGCTGGAGTTCCAGAAGGCTTGGGAGTCTGTGGCTGCGCAGGCGGCGCCTTTGCAACTTTAGCAACCTCCCAAACTTCGACGACAGGTTTCTGAGGCGTGTCGGTGGCTGCCTTCGACACCACATCAACCTTGGCTTGTGTGTTTCTATACCTGGAATCAAGCATGCTGATTCGGGCCAGGTATTTTTTATCTGAGAGTTCGACGGCCGACTTGACCTTCTCCTCCAATCCCTCCTCGTGTGCTTTCCTAAGCGCTTCCCGCTCCTCGTTGAACTTCTGCTCGGCTGCCGTGACCGCATCCTGAGAGGCCTCCGCATCCTGAGAGGCCTGGGCCTCTTGCTTCTCCTTCTCCTTAGCAAGCTGCTGTCTAATGTTGTTCTTGATGATATTGCGGATGGTTTCGCTCTTGGAAACAAGTAGCCTAGTCTGGCTATCCGTCAACTCAGGGAGGCCATCTTCGGTCTTTGTTGGCGTAGCCGGAGGCTGTTGAGCAGGCTGGGCTGCGGGTTCTGTGGTTTCTTGTTGACCCTCGGCTGGAGCCCCATCTTGGCCGGCGGTGAGTCGCTCCACCTCCTGTCGATGGTTGGCTCTAACTTCGGCCATCTTGTTATTGAAGGTTTCCTTCAATCTTTCCACACGCTCCTTGATCTTGGTCTCATGCTCGGCATCCTTCGCAGCGAGAACACCATCCTTTTCGGCAAGAGCAGCCTCCAAGCGTTGAACCTTCTCCTCCAAAGCCTTGACCCTCTCGTCGTCGGTAGGTGCCGATACCTGGGTGGTAGGAACAGGGAATTGAGATGCTGGTGTTGGGTTGACAGCCGCGTCCTGTTCGGCTGGTGCATCAGGCATCTCGACGGCCTTCGTCTTCAGTGCGCTCAATTCCTCCTTGGTTGTCTTCAGTTCCTCCTGGAGAACTTCTTTCTCTTGAGTAATAGCATCTACTTCCGTTTGCTTGGCGTGGACCCGGCCCATCAAGTCCCTGGACCGGCCCTTGAACTGCTCCGTCAGCTTCGAACGAAGTTCCGTGGTCCTCTCTTCGGCTGCCTTCAGCTGCTCAGGGAATGTCGCGACCTGCTCTTCGAGGGTTTGGCGAGCGGAAACAGCCTCGTCTCTCTCCTTCTCCAACGACTCCAACTTCTCCTTCAGTCCCTCCATCTCGGCTGGGTCTACTCGGTCATACTTCTGAAGAATATTCTGTGTCCGTTGCTGCCACCGATCCCTATCGGCTTGTAGCAGCGTCATCTCTCCATCCTTGGTTTCAACAACGTTCTCCAGTTCCCGGATACGAGTCTCCAGAGGTTCGATCTGTTGAACCAATTCATCAACCCGCGCAGATTTCTCACTCAGGGCAGTTTCAGTCTGCTTGACTTGGTTGCGCAGTGTAACGCTGCTCTCGCGGAAAAGGTTGAGTTCGTTCAGCGTCTCCATGAGCTTGTTGTGGCTCAGAGCAGTGTGCTCGCTATCGGCGGCAGCACGATGCTGCTGCTCAAGTTTGAGACGCGCCTCGTCAAGCTGAGACTGGGTGTACTCAAGTTGCTGGCGAAGTCGCTTGCCCTCCTGCGTAGACAGGTGATACTGAACATCAACAATCTCCTTCTCGCGACGCAGGTAGTTGATGACTTCCTGCAGGCCTTCTAGGTTCGGCGCCACCGGTTCGCCATCTTCCTGCTCGTTCTCAGCAGCAGTGGCGCGGTCGCGTTGCAGAGCCGATATCTGCTTGGTGATGCTCTCGATCTGGGAGTGAAGCAGGTTGTTCTGATGAAGTACTTCTTCTCGGCGTTTCTGCAACTCAAGGATCTCACTTTCATATCTATCCTTGCGCTCGTTCCAGCTTTCTTCATTCTGAGCAAGGTCCTTCTTGTAAGTCTCAGCCTGGGTTCGCAATTCGACAGCCTCAAGCTTCAGCTGGTTGGCTTCGGCGCGGACCAGTTGGAGGTTCTTCGCTGCATCAGCGTGCTTGACAAGTTCGTTCTCGTAGTTTTGTTGTGCGTGCTGTGCAATCTCCGCCTGGGCCTTGAGGTCTTCTTGGTGGTACTGGGCGGCGGCGATTTGGCGTTCATTATCTTCGGTCAGCCTTGTGATGTCGGCCTCGAGCGCTGTCTTCTGCTCCTCCAGGTGTCGAGTAGCTTCACCTTGGTCATCACGAAGCTTGGAAAGCTCAGTGTTAGTCGCAGAAAGCTCAGAAGAGATCTCCTCGATCCGCTTCTCCAGGTCCTGTATCTTGGTATCCTTCTCTTCAACAAGCTTATCGGTCTCTTCGCGGTATTGGTCGTTCGTCTCGGAAACCGACTGTAGTCGTTCTTCGGTGGCCTGGCTAATGGCCTTGTAATCCTCCACCTGCTCCTTGGCATGTTCCAACTCGCTCTTCGTCAGTTCCAGGTCGCGTTTCAATTCAGAAACTTCAATGCTCAGTTCTTGCTCCCGAGTTAAGCTGCTGTCTTGGGATCCTTCAGCAGGAACAGCAGCTTCAGTAGGGGCGGCAGAAACGTTAGGTCGGGTCTGAAGAACTTGAAGACGCTCCTCAGCGCTCCGGAGCTCGACAGTCAACTCATCAACACGGGTCTGGAGGTGGTCTCTTGTTGTCTTGGTTGCCACCAACTCTTCCTTCACAGAGCTCAGACTTGTGACCAAGTCATCAATGCGCTTCTGGCTCTGCTCGTGCTCGTACTCTCGTCGTAATGTGGACTTCTTAGACTCCTCCATCTCGTCGTTCAATTTCCGCTTCGTCGTTTGCAGCTCAGACTCAAGAGATTCAACGTTAAGCTGAAGTCGTCTCCGGCTCTCGGAGTCTGAATGTTCACGCTCGTTAAGAATATTCTGGAGGTTGGCGTTGAGCCCATCCAGGCGGCTTCGCTCATTCCTCAGCGTTTCGTTGTCTTCAATAAGTCGTTTCTCGATGTTCTTCCAAAGAGCTTTCTCTGCCTTCAGATTTGCGCTCTCGCGCTGAAGACTGTCAATAAGACCCTTGGATTCGACAAGATCTTCTGCAGCTTGTTGCGTTCTGATGTCCTGTCGGTTGGCGTTTTCGAAAAGGGTTGCGTAGCGCTTCTGTAACTCGGCGTTCTCGGTCTTGAGCATGCTAAAGTTGCTCTGAAGAAGCTCCGCTCGTTGGGTGGCGGCGACGAGTTGGCTGCTCGAGCGGCTAGTCTCACTCATCAGCTCGCTGTTCTTGCGTGAAAGCTCGTTGACTTGTTGTTTCAAAGCTGAGTGGTCAGTCGCTGTCTCCTCCCTGAAACTGTCAAAGTGCGCTTGCACCTTTCGCAACAACTCGGCATAATCAGGACCGCCCTTCACTTCTTCAGTCACTGGGGGTGCAGCTCCCGGAGGAAGAGACTGTGAGAAAACAGCATCGCCGCCGACTGTTTGTCGCCGACGTGTCAGCATGCTGCGGAAGGTATCGCGTTCCTTGACATAGCTCTTAGTCTGAGCAATGAGGTTTGCAATTTCGTCGCGGTACGTTTGCACTCGGATTCGCAGCTCCTTCAACTCCTCGTGCTCCTGCTGCCGGGTAGCATCCTTTTCACGCGCCTCTGCGCCTTCCATCTTATCCCCGAGTTCTCTCAGCATGCGGCGAAGCGTAACATTCTGCTCCTGAAGCTCATGCATATCCTTGAAAGTCGTTAGGTTCTGGCTGATGAAACGACCTGTTGGGGTAAGGTCGGCCGAAGAGTCTTCGATTTCCTTGCGAGCTACTCTCTCGAGTTCCTCTCTATCATAGTTTGCTTCGCCCTCCCTCAGGAGAGTAACCTCCAGCACAAGAACCTTAACTTGAGAGCTCAGGTCCCTTAACTGTTGGCGCAGAATATCACCCTCACGCGCGAATCCCTCAACCTGGCCCTGCCATTTCCTGCCCTCTTTCGTGGCATCGTCTCGTTCTTTCCCAGCAGTGTCGAGGATATTAGACATCTCAACGACTGCTTGCTCTAGCCGCGCGTGGTCTTCGCGCAACTCATCAATCTCGGGTTTGCTGGCTTCAAGGTCCTGAACCATTTCGTCCAAGGTAGATCTAAGTTCCTGGTTCGTCTTCTGCTCAGCAACAAGCATGGTCCGCATCTTGTCATATTCCGAATACATTTGCGTAAGGGTAAGTCCGCCCTTGGTACGCGATGCTCTGGGAGAAAATGTGCCAAGCGGAGTGCTAGAGCGGACTGGAGTACCTGGAGCACCATTCAACCCACGAGCTGGGCTCATGGACCTGCGTCCAGCTACTCCCTCTGTCTCGAGTTGGTTGACAGTGAGTTCAAGCTCGGCAACGCGGCGCTCAGCCGCCTCCTTGTCGCCGTGCTCGGTCTCAATTTCGACACGCAGGCGCGAGATCTCCTCCGCTGCGTCGTCTCTCACCTTCTCTAAAGTCAGCTGGCATTCCGATACCCGCTTCTTGGCAGTTTCTGCGGCGTTGCCTTGGAGTTCCGCCAACCGGTTCGCGCTATCCAACTCAATTCTAAATGATTCGGCGGTTTTGATAGCCTCCTCCTTGAGCTGTTGAATACTAGCGAGCGATTCCTCGTAGCGCTGTTCCACTTCGTCCAGTCGGCTCTTGAGAGCATTTTCACTGCGCCTCAAAGATTCTGTGTTTGCAATGGCCTCTTCATTTTCACGCTGAAGCTCTGAAATCCGAGCACTCTTTTCCTTGCGGAATTTGAGGTGTTCGGCAGACTTTGTTTTCAATTCCGTCTCGTACCACTCGTTATTTTTCTTCGTCAGTTCCAAATCCTGCTGGAGGCTCTGTTCACGGAATCGGGCACTGGCGGAAGCGGAGTTTGCGGCTTGTAGGTTTTGCTCTGCAGTCGAAAGCTCGCGTCGTAATTCGATCGTCTTCTTGTGGTGTGTAGAGAGCTCTTCCGCGAGCTTGTCGTACGCGCCTGATTTGGATTCAAGTAGCGCTAGCGTATCACGGTTTGAAGCTTCGAGGGAGGTGATGCGAGACTTGAGGGTGCTGGTTTCGGATTCGTTGGACGTGGACGATGATTTCAGCGTCGCGATTTCGGACTCTAACGAAGATCGTGTGTTTTCTAAAACGCGTGAGAATGGATTTGAATGGCGTAGTAACAACAACATTACCTGACTCGTGAAGTTTCTTTCGTGTTTCTTCGACCTCCGCGTGGCCCTTTTCGACGGAGCTCTTCAACACCTTGATCTTTGTGTCGCTGCTGCGAACTGCATTTTCGAGCTCGACCTCAAGTCGAAGCTTATCCGATTTCAGTTCATCAAATTCCCGCGCCTTTTTGGTGATCGCTTCCAATAGTTGGTTGACGAGTTCGACCGTGGGAGCTTCCGTAAGAGTGCTCAGGGTCGACTCTGCGATGGCGTAATGTGATGATAAGAATGGCAATTCAATCGTAGCGGCAGCCATATTGGCTGTGGGATGGTCGCAGCAAATAGCTGCTTTGAAGTTTCCAGCCTACAGCCCAGGTTGTCGCGATGCAATTGTGGTTGCAGGAATCCCAAGTTCAAGAAGCTCTTCCGTGCTGCCGCATCTGAGTTCATTGTTTGAAGGGAGCCTCACGTGACCACAGCCTAGCTCCATTGGACATCTTCATTCATCGTCCCATTCACATTGGGCAATAACTCTGCCAGAGCGACTTTTCTCTTTGTCACGGGCCTCCTGGGCTGTCTCCCAAAATAACAGAGACAAAGGCTCCTTGTCTATTAACCATGGATGACTTTTCCAGAAACCCAGGCCATTTCACCTGTTCTACGGATACTGGCGCTCAACTACCATAAACGCATCAATCAACACACGCCATGAGTGTGGTCTCTATAATATACATTACTCACTCGTCTCTCATTACAAAATCAACAATGAAGGCAAAAATTGACTGCTGTCAATGACATACTGCCCCTAATTTAGATTGGAGTCCTCGACCAGACATGCCTCCAAATCCAGTTTAGCCTATTCGGTCACGTGTCTTTAATCTGGGGGTTGCAAGCCTCAAAGAGGCGTCATCATCTGTGAATTCAGTCCTCCTCTTCATCAGCATTCACCAACTCCTCACCTCCTCAAGCTGCTCACACAGCGACTCGCTGCCCATATCTGACCCCATACTTTCACTTAGGCGTGTCATATGATATTCTCAGACTTGGTATAGAGCTCCCACAGGCTCTGACGAGCCCAGTCTCGCCTCTCCTCACAACTCCCAACCTCTGCACCTTGGTCCACGGTCCTCGTCGCAAACTCTCAGCAACCAGCAAACATGGCGCATCTTCAGCAGCAACTCAAGAGCTTCAACGCGGGGGTCATGGACTATGCCAAGTCCATGCCCCAGCAGCGACGGTTCGTCCACAATAACTCTGCGAGCAGTTCCCAAGTTCCCTCGTCAACCTCTACGCCCACGCCCGGGGGAAATAATGAACAAAAGAAGAAGCGCCATGATGCGGACATTGTGTATTCCCAGCCTGCCAACACAGGCACGGGCAAGGATATCATGACTCAGGTGGTCTTTGCTATTGAGCATATGAAGACGAAAGGCGTCCCGCTTACGTTCAACGATATCGTTTCCTACCTTTCCCTGCAACATCGGGCGAATGACCAGGGCTATATCCAGGCACTGCGGAGTATCTTGCAGATGCATGAGAAGGTGCAATTTGACCCTAGCGGAGCCAATGGAGAGGGCACATTCGGCTTCCGTCCACCGCACGATGTCCGTACTGCGGAACAGCTTCTTCAGAAACTGCAGGCACAGTCTACGGGAGTTGGGATGAGCGTTCGGGAGCTCAGAGAGGGTTGGCCGAATGTTGAGGATGCAATCAATAAACTGGAGAAGGAGGGCAAGCTGCTTGTCACGCGAAACAAGAAGGACGACCATGCGAAGATGGTCTGGGCCAACGATCCTTCGCTGATCCAACATTTTGATGACGAGTTCAAGCATATCTGGGAGAAGATCAAGATTCCTGAACAACAAGTTGTCAAGGAAGAACTAGAGAAAGCTGGTATCACCCCGACAAACAAGAATAAGGTCATCAAACCGCGGCCAAAGGTGGAACATAAGAAGGTTAAGAAGCCTCGTCGCAGTGGTAAAACCACCAACACCCATATGATGGGTGTTCTGCGTGATTACTCACACCTCAAACGGTAAGGCTTTGGTCATGCCTCCTCGCCTTCTTCCTCAAAACCGGGGCAATGCTTGTTGGGTTATTCAGCGGCTCCCCTTCTGAGCCTCGGATTACCCTACAAATAGCTGCCATTCATCATGCATTTAACGGCGTTTGGTTTGTTCAAGCGACCAGGGACATCTCAGAACTCTAGACTTTCCGTCCCAGTTGCTTCCCGCCCCTGCTGTAAAACACTATATTTAACTAATTAAAAAAAAATGAAGATTGATACCCGAATTATAAATCGAGGACCCTATACATAATCCATTGCAATCGTACGGTGTAGGCGGAGTCTTCGAGAATATCATAGCCTGGTTGTCGATTCCAACAGCCGAGGCATCACCTGTCAAACCACTCAACAAGACCGAATCATATGAATTATGGAATAAGCTGTCGTACACATCGTAGACCACATTTCGCTCATCTAATCTATTCCATGAATGATACTTCAATCTTCTATTCCCCGACCAACGTCTCTAGCAGTAGAAAGGGCCATAAATCCCGACCCAGACCGAAAACACAGAAGAAAGCTATCGATATAAAACATGAACCACTCGTACCCCAAAAAACAAAGGAAAACAAAAAGAAGAAGAAATAGAAAAAAGTAATGCCAGAATGCATCATAATGCTATACAACAAACCCCCAAAGTATACATGAGCAGCCAATCAATCAGTGTTTCCCATTAACTGCCTCGGACCGCTCAACATACTCAACCAGATCCTCAATGGTGCACACCTTGATCCCCCACTTGCGGCCAAACTTCAAGCACCCATCGCGCCTCATCATGCCATTATTCCCCGAGATCTCAGGGACACCCTCCACGATCTCGCCGTCCTCAACCAATTCAGCGATTACACCAGCGGGCGACTTACCCGCCAGTCTGCAGAACTCAACAGCAGCTTCGGTGTGGCCTTTCCGTTGGCGCACGCCGCCGGCCTTCGCTTGGAGAGGGATGATGTGGCCTGGTCTTCGGAAGTCATCGGGGGACGCGGACGGGGACGCGAGGGTTCGGCAGGCTAAAGCGCGGTCTTGAGCAGAGATACCGGTTGTGACAGAGGGGTCGGCGGAATCTATGGAGACGGTGTATGCGGTGCCTTTGGGGTCGGCGTTCTCGATGACCATCTGGGGGAGTTGGAGCCGGTTGGCGATCTCGGGTGTAATGGGCGCGCAGATTAAACCACTTTATTGGGCGCAATTGTTAGCATAGTGAAGAAGATGCGAAGCTAGAAAAATGAATGCGCTTCCGCATTTAGGTTGCTTCACCGGGTTGGGTTCGAGAAGTCAGAGTACTAACCTGGTATAGCGGACTAAGAATGCCATTTGCGCGTCCGTGATGGACTCCGCGGCGATTATCAAGTCACCTTCATTCTCGCGGTCTTGTGAATCCAGTACGATAATGAATTCCCCATTCTCTGTATGCGAATTGAACAATTAGCCCCGCTCAAGTTAAAAACCGCTGAACAGACGACGCTGGCAATTCTATAGCCCAGCGGCAATCGGAGAGACAGTATATAATAGTATTATAACACAGGGAACTCACTAAAAGCTGCGATTGTGTCCTCAATGGTGTCGAACTGAAGCGCGGGGTCCGTCGGAGAAGGCATTTTGGAGATTCTTGCTTGGAGATTTCGGCCTCGAGCAAAGATAATTTTGGGTTCAGCTTATATTGAACGCCTAGTCAAATGTCTGATCCACGTATTTATGCAGAATCAATTGGGCGCTTTAAACTTCCAAGTGATACCGTAAAGGCGAGGTCGGGTGGCGGGTTTGAGTCACGGCGGAGGCTCGGAGATCTCGGGATTGCGGGGTCGGGAATCGCTGCAGGTACTTGCTCTTTTCTTCGGCAGAGACAGAGAGGCGGGTATGATCAATATATATAGAAGGCAAAAGGGGTTGGACGTGAAAAATAACGTAACCAGGCGAAGAGGATGCACACCGAAGGTCAAGGAAGTGGGATTGCAAATGGTTTGTCAGTCGGCACAGGCGCTATCAAATCCGCCCACGATATCCACCTGCCACCCCCCGCGGGAGCGCTCACGCCGAGGCCTACGGTGTAGACAGCAAAAGCAACGGTTATGTGTAATCCGAGGTGATTGACGAGTGGGGGACGAGTGAACTACCCAAATAGGTAGTAAAAAATATCTCGGAAGAGGTTGCGTCTAATGTATTGACGTCCACATCACGCGAAAGATTAATGTCACTTGAGAAAAATATATCTTCATTGTAAATGTATCGGCCAAAGCAAAATATATTCCGGCAACGGAATTTCAAAAAAAAAAAAAAAAGTCTATATATAATGAATGAAAGCTATCTAAACAAGCTATAAATTCCGCTAAAAATTCACGACAGCTGAAAACAAGTTGCGTTGAAAAGAAGTCATGTTGGGCCCAACCTACAACCTGACACTAAAGTTAAGCACCGAAATCGCCCATGCGCCGCACCTCATCAGCTTGCGTCTCCAGGGCTCGTCGCATCATCTTCGAGTATTCTCGTTCGCGCGCTTGTAGCTCACGCTTTCTAGATAGAACTTCCTCCCGTGTAGCATCATCAACATCTCCATCCAGAGACATCTCATCGTCTTCGCCGAGCTCATCGGCATCTGGTACATCAGAGAATCTGACCCGGCCTAGACGTTCTCCCGTCCACACGAGAAGTTCATCCCCGGTAAGATTTCCACCTGTTGGAAGAATCTTTCGAGCAACATCCCCGTCGTTTTGGGCGCGGGATACACTAGCCCAAAGTCCGGTTACATCGCGTGCCTCGTCGTCATTATGGGAGTTGGCCTCAGTATTTGGACGTTGTCGGTATGAGTTTATATTCAGGCGACGGACTTCGGTGCGCCCGTCACGCTCAACCCATTTTATATTGCCGTCTCCGTCAGAGTACACAATCCGAGTACCGTGAGATTGCACAGAAAGTATTTTCGAGCTAGCCACGCTTTGTCGATTTTGGTATGATGTTGTGAGAGTTGAAGAGCAAGATGACGGCCCGGTTTCATCCATCTCACCAGTCGCAGCGAGGCGATATAATTCCAGGGATCCTTTGCCGTTGTACTCACCACATGCTACAACGGTGGATGAATCTGGGTATTTCGAGCTTGAGAATAGGGGGAATCGGGGTGCAGGGACGGAAACAAGCCCACAAAGTCGGCCGCCTGAGTGAACAGTGCTTTGCAGCCGAGGAAAGTACCGACGGTCATACTGAAGTATACTCGGAAAGCGGCCTGCAAGAAATATTGAGTTCACGTGAGGTGCGGGAGGGTGTAGAACCGCGAGGGGTCCAGGTTGAAACAATGGGGCATAATTATCATTCGATTCGGAAAGATCAGGGCTTCGAATGCGGTGCGGTGGCCTGCCATTTGGCTGGAATTGCAGAAGCGGTGAGTCTGGGGGCGTATAAATCAAGGACTCTGGAACCAGAGAAACGTTGGGCTGCTCGCAGCGCATGTTAATTGCTTCTTCCTCCTCGGTCTTTGAAAGTCTGCCGTCATAGATGTGCAGACTCAGTGTGGTCGCCAAGGTCAATGGTACCGAGTAGTCAGTTTCCTGAGACAGGGCAAAGACCGACCATGGATAGCGCTGTTGAGAAATGACCCTCAGAGTCTCAAGATCAACTTCGTTCACAACGTGCCCAACAGCTAAATAGGCTCGTTGGCGGATTGAATCCACACTAACGCATTCACCCAGGTTGATGAACTCCAGCGCCGACTTGGCCGCGGGGTTCTCCTTTCTTTGAGACATATCAACCGTCAGGACCCCCGGTGCACTCGTGCCAAGTATACACCCCTTCGTAGCCCGAGAGCCGATAGAGTGAGAATGGTTAAGGTCCCACACGCAAACGCTGCCATCGCTCAAGGGCGACACGACCTTATTCTGCCTAGCCAAGCTAAAGTCCTTGAGCAGCCCCATCCCCTTCGCGTCGATGTAAGTCTTCCCACCACCCGGTGTCCTAGAGAACGGCTGCTGGAGCCAGCTGAGCGAAATCGGCCCATTCCGAGCAATATACTCTGAATACCAATCGACGTCCTCACCCTCAGCAGACGGATCCCAAGCGGCTGCAGCCCTCGCTCTCTCCCCGAACGTCGGCTGGCTTGAGTTGTTCGAGCTGGCATTGTTCGACTGCGGTTGGATCAGGGATCGGAGCGATGGCTGCCCGAGTGAGCTCAGAGATGCGGTAGGATGCGAGACAAGGCTTTCAGACGCTCCATTTTTAGGACGAGCGGCCGACAGAGCAGCCCAAGTGTTTTCGTAGGAGTGAAGCCTCCATATGTTGTTGTCGCGGGCTAGAGCAAAGAAGTGTTTGGAGACTGACTGAAGCTGGACCTGCTCTGGCGGCGTCAGATCTAAAGGGGTTCACGCTGTGTCAGGAACCGATTCTGTCAAATGGAGTGTGGTGTGGGGTAAAAAGTTCAATCGAGAGGGGTTGTGCTTACAGTCGATTATTTTGGTGAGGATTTCCACAGGCAGCTTCTCCATGAGGCAGAATTTCGAGGGCCACCATTGAGGACGGCGCAGTTTCTCTCGCCTATCTCACTGCGAAATGTATGACAAGGCGCATGGTCCTCAGGCTGGCAGGAGGGTCAAGCGGCTGTTTTATTACATTTCCCCGCGATCTGCAAGTCTAGACTGCCGTCACGTGCAGACAGAGGCTTGCCAATATTATCCCATTCTATACATTAGACTATAAGAATAATTGATAAGTATTATACCTAGGCTTGGAATAAAGACCTATGGAACAAAAGAATAACTAACCATCGGCTAAGATGGTGGCGCGCAGGGAAAACTCCTTGCTTCCAATAACTCCGATTCCCAAGCTTTGACATGAACAGACCAAGTTCAGGTCCCAGCTCTTGTCGAGGAGAGCAGGCTCCGACCACTGAAAGGGGAAACCAAAGATCAACCCAGACCCCAGTTCAATGCAATGCTTCCAAAATGAATATCAACCAATTAACGCCTGAAGGGGAAAAAGATCTAGAGACAAAGGAATCTATTCAACATCCTCAATGTCACGGTGCCTGGCCAGAACGTGGCGCTTGTATTCCTCCTGGTCGGTATCCCACAGCTCGGCTGCCTGGGCATTGAGAGGACTTGCGCTATTCAGGAGTTAGCATAACGGTAGTTTATGAGTTGTCAAGAGGTGTGGTCCTACTTGTTCGGTTCCCCAAGGAGACTCTGCAAACTAAGAAGGACGTTTTGTACGTTGTAAACGGCACTCCATTTGTCACGAAGGATATCCAGACAGATGCGGCCCGAGAAGTCGACATTGGGGTGGTAGATCGGAGTCTTGAAGAGCACAGTGGGCGGCGAGTACGGGTAGTTGTTAGGGAACGAAAAGGAGAGCTTGAATGTCAAGCCCTCATAGGGTGTTTCTGACGGGCCGGTAATGGTAGCAATCCAGGAAAGAAGGTTTCCGTCGGCGTCAGGGAAAGCTGAGATACCCGGGGAAGGGGAAACCATGAGCTGCATCAGTTCAGATTGCAGGCTAAGAGGGTCACAAATGTTAGCTCGTGCAGTGCTAGAAGCTCGCTGTCAAAATGCACATACCGCTTGGTCACGCCCTGAGTATCATTCCGCTGGCTCGAAGGGCCAAGCTTCGAGGCCTCGTGTGCATTAGGCGCGGAGTTCTGGGTGTCTTCCATGGTGTAATCCATTGTGTTTGTCCACGCAGTAGAGGTTGAGGTGTATGTAGAGGATGACGGTACAAGAGATCACTAGCGAAAAGAGAAAAGGAGGCCCGAACAGAAAAGAGCCAAAAAAATCCAAGCTTGAGTAGCAGTAAGGTTAAGGTGGTAGCAGGAAAGGACCAAGGTTGCTTTGGAATGGCGGCTGGATCCGGAAGCAGAAGCACGGGCGGTTGGAATGGGCGGTCCAGCCAAATGCGACCTCGATGCAGTCAGGGCAAGATCTAGGTCGGAATGTCGCGTATCTGACTTGGAAGACAATAGCGGGAAAATGAAAGTTGGATGCAGCGTGGGAATGCAAGACAAAGAGATTGGGTTGAGGAAAGCAGAGGCTGGAGAGGAGAGGAGAGGAGAGAGGGGGCGTGAGGAGCGCCAGACTGCAAGCGCCTTTTGTTTACCACAGCAACCATCTGACCGGACCATCCGACCTTCCTTTGTTCTTGTGGCCATCCTTTGGTGCTGCGCCTGGGCTTGGGTATTATTTTTTCTAATTATATATATCTTTTTATTTTTTGGCAGTTATTGCCCTACATCCACTGACTTCTCATTTCTGAAACTACATATTGTGCCGGCCGTCTCCCGCATGAAACGCTCTTGCAGCGGGGATTACCGCGGATCGCATATGTACGATGCATGACATTTTCGTTGTCAAAATGAATCTCCATCGTCCTCGCCAAGTCCATCAATTGTGCTCAGCTGAGAGCTGGAGCAGAAACTTAATTGGATTGCCGGGCTTCAGCCCATAACGACGATGCTCTGCGACCGGCTGAATCGAGTCCCGCAATCAACACACTGCCGAAAAAGGATAAAGTGGCTTTCGCCGCGTCCCGACCACCGCGTCTCAACCTCGTCAGCCTTCTGCCCTTGCATCCCCAGGAAGTTATTGAACACAAAGAAATACAATAAAAAAATGATTGATCCTTTTCGCTAGCGGATTCTTTCAGCCCAGACCACCCCGAGCTTCCCGTTTTGAGATTATCTTGAAAGATGCACCACTCTCAGCTGGCGCCATTGCCCATCGACCTCCCCTTTCGAATAGTCTCTAAGACATTCGGCCAGGGTGCTTATGCTAGGTATATTTTCTCGCCATTTACGTGTTGTTCTATTCTTGGTGAACTGTGCTGATTCCTTTGTCCCACCAGCTTGAAAAAAGCGTGCCCTGTGAACGCCGATAACCCTGTCTTCGCTGTCAAGTTCATCAACAAAGACTATGCCGCTCGCCATGGCAAGATAAGTCCTCGACAGTTGCTCATGGAAGCAACGGTACACAAACATATTGGCGACCATAACAATATCATTTCCTTCTTCCAAACTGGGGAGGATGGGGCCTGGCGATGGATCGCGATGGAACTAGCCGAAGGAGGGGACCTCTTTGACAAAATCGAAGCGGACGAGGGCGTCGGCGAGGACATCGGCCATGTATACTTCTCCCAGCTTGTCAGCGCGGTAGGATACATGCACTCGAAAGGTGTAGGGCATCGAGATATTAAGCCAGAGAATATTCTCTTGACAGCGGATGGAAATCTGAAAATCGCGGATTTTGGTCTCGCGACGCTTTTCGAATACAAGGGTGGCACCAAGCTGTCCACCACCTTCTGCGGTAGCCCACCTTATATCGCGCCGGAGGTTATCACCTGTAGCACGCGGAATCAAACGAAGGGATCTGGATACCGCCCTGACGTGGCGGACGTCTGGTCTTGTGGGATTGTTCTTTTTGTTCTCCTTGCCGGAAATACACCCTGGGATAGTCCTACGGAGGACAGCTATGAATTTCACGAATATGTTACGAAAAACTCCCGCACATCCGACGAGCTATGGCAGAAACTACCCACCTCCACATTATCACTACTTCGCGGCATGCTGAACGTCGATTCTCACCATAGATTTTCCCTAGAAGATGTCAGAAGACACCCTTGGTTCACCCGTAACAACAAACACCTCACCCCTGATGGCAGACTGCACGACCCGATCAAGATAGCCACATCCATGTTCGAATCTCTACACATTGACCTCTCCCAATCTGTGTCCCGACCCATGAACGGCGGTAGTTTCGGTGCGGATAGAATGGATATCGATATCGGCGACGACTTAGGCGCGGAGCACAGAATCTCATCTACCCAGCCCGAGGTGCCCAGAGGCAACATGATGATCGACTGGGACACGCCGCACCTCACAGAGGTCTTCTCATCGAGCCAACCGACAGGCAAACAGCCACCAAGCAGTCTCAGCCCAGAAATCTTAGAAGACGAACCCACCTTTTCGCAATTCTCGCAACGCCCCTCCGTTCCACTCAGCCGGACTCAAAACGCCCAGCGATTCCACGACATCGTCCCCTCCCGCTCCATGACTCGCTTCTTCTCCGCGTGGGAACTCAAGCTCCTGGTCCCCCTTATCTGCGAAGCACTGCACCGCCTCGGCGTCCCTGTTCCCGCTGTCCCTGGCGTCTCTCCCGGTGACAACTCGGCCATGATTCGAGTCATTACCAGAGACGGGAGGATGTGCCCTCTGCATGGAAAGGTACTTATCGAGTGTGTCTCCGAGGGCCTCTTCGAAATCGAATTCATGAAGGGCAAGGGCGATCCACTTGAGTGGCGCCGGTTCTTCAAGAAGGTCGTCCTGCTTTGTAAGGATGCGGTGTATACACCTGATTCATAGGCAGCCTTCCTGTTTTGTTGGCACTTACATTCACCAATTTTTCGCTTCTATCAACCCTATTTGGAAAATCTGCTTTTGTCACGTTAGACCTGTTTAACGCGTGTATGTATGTATGTATGTATGTATGTATGTATGAGTGATGGATACTTTACTATCTTCGGATAATTTCTGGGGGCAATTATCACTATTTAGCGAATAAGTATTTTGTTCAGGAAGGTCGATGAAATCGGCAAAAGCCTCTGGTAAATCAATATTCCAAAATGGGTATCATATCCTCTCGACCTCACTCGTTGAATAAGGCAAAAGGTATTGTTTCCCCCAATCCATACATACAGTAAGAGAAACCCAATACACAGGGATTGACATAGATAATATAGATATTAACACAGAAAAATCCTCTCAAAGATGAAATATCATATATTGTCACAAGATAGGGCCGGACCCAGCCGCCTTATATACAATCCGCCACAACAACTCCAAAGTCAGACCGAAACGAATCGAACCCGAAAGACAACAAAAACAGCACCAGAACTATGAAAGATACTGCTCATCGTTCTGGATAAGAAGGCCCGCGATTGCCGCAGAAGTGAATGTGCTGAGTGCACCGGTAAGCATAGCGGAGACGGCGACGCGCGATACATCGCCTGATCGGCTGGGTGCGAGCTGTGCAAGCACACCGATTTGGTTACCCAGGGAGCCGATGTTTGCGAAGCCGGCGAGGGCGTAAGTAACAATGATCTGGGAGCGGGCCGAGAGGTCTTGGTAGTCCTCGTCCTCGATCAGTTTTTTGTAGGCAACAAATTCGTTCTGTGTTCGGCAGATGTTAGTAGATGGCCTCGTAGAATGAAGGATCGGGATTTTTTTTTTATTTTTGCGGGGGTTGGGTGTGGGTTTAGGCTTACAGCGACGAGTTTGAGGCCAATGAGCTTTGCGACCTTGAGAATGTCGTCGCCCTCGCGTGAAACGCCGAGGAGGAAGGCAATTGGATAGCAAATGTACCCGACGATAAGGTCGAGGGTTAGCGGAGGGTTGTTGATGCCCAGATAACGCCCCCACCAAGTGAGGAGGCCGTCGATGAGGCCGATAAGGGAGATGATGCAGAGGAGGGTGGCGGTGATCATGCCGCCAATCTTGATACCGAGCCAAGCGCCCTTGGAGAATGCATCGAGGAGATTTGCGGGTTTATCTTCTTGTTCCTCAGGGATGACAACGCGGCCGGCTGTGAGAGTTTCTTCCTCCTCAGGCCACCGCAGTTTTGAACATGCGAGGGACGCAGGAATGCTCATTACACAGGACGAGACAAGCGCCTGTCCACTGACGCCCAGCTGGATATAGGCGATTAGGACGGAACCTGCAATAGTGGCGTAACCGGAGCACATGATTTGGTGAATCTCAGCCATGGTGCAGTGGGGGATAAAGGGCTTGATCAGCATAGCAGATTCTCCTTGGCCGATGAATGGAGAGGCTGCTGCTACCACAGCCTCAGCGCCGGAGACGCGCATGGCCCAGAAGAAGAACACTGCGAGTTTGCGGATGGCCCACTGTAGGATGCCTGCGTAGTAAAGAAGCTGGACAAGAGAAACAAAGAATATAATAGCTGGAACAACAGATACCAGGAAATAGTTGTGGCCCTCGATGAAATTCTCATCGGTCAGAAAGTCCACACCTTTCTGTGCAAACCCCAGGAGCTCGCGAGCCAAAGTGGAGATGAAGTTGAAGATATCAAAACCAACTTGGGTGCGTAGAACGAAAAGCGCGATGATGAATTGAACCAGCATACCCACAATGACGGTGTGCCAGATAATCTTTCTCCGGTTTCTGGAGCTAAGCCAGAGGCAAAATATGAACACCACGAGACCAAATAAGCTAACAGCGCGGTCCTCTCTCTTGTTTCCTGGCGCCTCGGCCGACGCAAAGGTGCCGACTAGGATGACAGCAATGGTCAATAAAGCGCCAGCTGGAACGCGCAAATATTCGGGTATAAAAGTAACAAATCGGCTCGCGGTGTTGTTCCACACATAACGCATTGGCCGCGTGAGGATTGAAATTGGCACATAAAGGAAGATGAGCCGAAGCGTGATGGCGAGATAAAGCAGAAACGGAATGACCCAGCCCAGCTTCCGATAGAGAATAAGGCCAGTAATCCACCACCTTTATCAAGTAGAATGAGTCTCGGCGGACAGCGAGGAGCCGCAAGGTCTGCGGGAAGAGTTGGAAGAAAGGACTCACCCGGTGAACAAAAGCCAGATCACTGCATATAAGAAATGCCTGTAATAAAGGCGATAATAACGGTGAAGCCGCGATTTGAGAGCGGCCTTGCGCCCTCCTGCTTCGACATCTTGTCCACTTGGCTCACTAGTGCTATCCACGGGATGCGAATCCGGTATCGCCTTTTTCTCCGTCATCTCTTCCTTGGAGTATCTGAAGTGCTCGTCCGTCCCTCGAGGCCCCAAATCGGAGGATCCTCTGATGGCATCCTGTGAAGGGTTCGTGGTGACTGGCTCTCTGAGAGCTCTGCCGTCCAAGACGTTCTCGGCTGTCATAGTGTTGAGACTAGCGAAGCAAACACACGTTAGACGAGCTTTGTGCCACTTCACTTATGCCATTGTTTTCGAAGATAGTTACCAGTGCTATCTGTCGCGTGAATTGTTGAAGAATCCACGCGCAAGTTGAGGGAGCTGCGAAAGCTGCAGAAGATCGGCGACAGCTGCGACGATAGTCAAAAGAGGGAACCGCAGATTAAAGTAGGGCCAGGTGTAGCCTCGGACAGTCTAGTAGCAGCGAGATAAGACGGAACGCAAATTAATTAACGGGCGCCAGGCGAAGGAGACCTCCGAGGCGTTATCATTGAGCGCAAGGTAGCATGGTCGTGTGTGCGGGGAGAGCGACAGGCGGGAACAAAAAAATTTCCTCGTGGCTTCAGGGAACCGTGAAGATTTAGTGCCCCAGTTGGCCACTGGTGCGGTCTGATCGCATGATTCAAGGGCCCAAGGCTCGCGGTTTCACTTTCACCAGGCAGGATCCAGCTGGGCACTCAGATCGTCCATTTAATGGGGTTTGCTTGAGCCATTCTTCCACTCAGCTTCTAGAAAACAACGTGGAAGGTCCTACAAAAGGATGGTTTACAGGGGTCTCCGCTGTTGCATCAGCACCAGGATTGTCCCAATTGTGGCCTGAAGAGTCCAAGTCTGAACTTTTTTGGATCTTTTCCCCCGGCTATCAACGGCCAATCACGCTATTCCTCCGAAAGATCAGCGATAAGAGTGTTACAACGCTAAATCGAGTTCTCGAGTCTGAAGGATCAGGTTTTGTAACTCTACGGCGGTGGCTGGCCGTATACTCTGGACTGCTCGTATAGAGGAGGCGCCACTGAAAAAGGAACAGGGCAAGATGAGTGCCTTGTCTCCTGTCGTGTGGACTTTTCTTTCGTCGGCGATAGCGATAAGGGCACAACAGTCTTGGCTCGGCGAACGCCGTTGCAGTGCAGTGGTTCGGTGGTGATTCCTTAATGACCCCGTCCTGATAAGCTTTGCCCCAGAGCAAAGGCCAAAACTCCCGAGTAACGCCCTGGCTCGGCCATGTTGATGCTGGACCGTGTCTCTCGATAATCCTGCATTGGACAGGAATCATCTGAGGCAGCATCAAACGCACAGCTCCACGCGACTCAATTATCTCGAGCAAGTGGCAGGGCTTGGCAGAGAGAATCGGGAGTGCCGGCCGAGGACGCTAAAAGGACACTAAAGCGCGCCACACGCTTAAGGTTACATTCACGACGCGCTCGTTCCGCCATTCAGCAGGCCGTGTCTTCCGCGATTCTGCCAGCAATTCCTCTCCCAATGAACCGGCTGAACCTCGTTTTCTCCACATAGTTATCGTGGAATCCTGGTTCAGCTGGTGGAAATCTGGGGTTCAAATGATTGGCAATTCTAGAAGTAAATATAGAAGTCATAGGCTGTTCCTCGACTGGAATTGCTGCCTCCGGAAGTGGCCGCATTCAGCAAAGTAGTATGTAGCCAATTACCCCTCACGGCGGGACATCGGGCTGCCAAGGCAGCTCTCGACATCTCACAAGACCAGCAATACCTCCGAACGCTGGACACTTCTGGCCTCCTCCTTCACTCGGTTTTATTTCCGTCCAACAAACCACCAATAATAATCGCCCAGGCTAAGCTCCAACTGTCAAGACCCCGGATAATGGAGTCGGATAATAATTTATGGGAGGCTGAAGAAGGCGTTCCCCATATTGACGACCCCTTCATCCAACGCTTCCTCGCTGGCCGTCTTTCTTTGATACAGCGTGAGGAGTCGCAGCGACACGGTTCGGCTCCTGGTATATTCCGGTTCTAATATAATTGCTGACCCCGTGCGCGCGGCCAGATGCCAACCTCCATAATGCCCTGCCCCCGGTGGCCAAAAAAGCATGCGAGATCGTCTCCCATGTATGTGCGCGGGAATTGGCACAGCTCCAACAAGCTGGTTACCCGTCTGACGGCATCCCCCATCCGAGCCTCATGTCCGACACGGAAAAGGTACGGCTAGGGGAGTCCGATCTTTGGAAGATTGTACGAAGCCTGCCCAAGGGTTCTCTTCTGTACGGTCATTTGCCGGCTATGGTTGATATGGACTTTCTTATCGACCAAGCGTTCGCTACTCCAGGGATCCACATATCTGCTCCAAAACCACTGGTAACGCAGCACGACTACCAAGACGCGCCGTTCACTATTCAATATTACTCTGGTTCCACCACCACGGGGCCTACAGATAAGCCTGCGCCATGGACAGATAACTACGAGCCATCAACTCAGATTGAGCTGAAGACTGCTGCTGCTTCGTTCCCCGATGGGGGTGAAGCAGGGTTCCGTAGATGGCTTAAAAGCCGTTGCACCCTAACATCCCAACAGTCACATAATGCCCCACGTGGCAGTAAAGCAATATCGGACTTTCTTAACGTCCGATTGCCTGTCATCAATTCTATCCTTCAATACGAACCCATTTTGCGAGCCTGTCTCCGTCAAATTCTCTCACAGCTGGCCGCTGATGGCATAAGGTATGTCGAGTTCAGAGTTGCGTTTAACTTCCAATATACTCTTGAAGGACGGGATAAACCAGAAGATGATTACGTTGGATGGTTCCGCATCTTCTATGAAGAAGTCAAGCGCTTCAAGGCCTCTGAAGAAGGCGGAAAATTCTATGACGCGCGGGTGATATGGGCCACCATGCGCAGGTTATCAAACAAGGAGATTGGCTTAAGCATGCAGCAGTGCCTTCTCGCAAAGGAAGAATTCCCCGATTCGATCTGTGGGTTTGATTTACTTGGAGTCGAAAGTGATGAGAGACCACTCAATGATCTAGTACCAATTCTGTTTTGGTTTCGTGCACGCTGCGCTGAAGCAGGCGGCCGTGGTCGCCGCGCGGACGAGGGAATGGAGGTCCCATTTATATTCCATGCTGGCCACTGTCTGGGTGATGGAGACCAAGCGGACGATAATCTATTCGACACAATCCTGTTAGGCACCCGAAGAATCAGCCAAGGCCTCTCACTATATAAACACCCTCTGCTCATAGACGTGCTCAAACAAAAGAATATCTTGATTGAATGTTCGCCGAGTTCAAGCGCATGCCTCGGCCTCACCAGCAGCTTCCAATCTCACCCACTTCCAGCTCTTCTATCTCGTGGAGTGTCTGTTGCCATCGCCAACGACTCCCCAGGTGTCTTCGGGCTTGGACAGAATGGTCTGTCACCAGAGTTTTACCAAGCTTTGCTTGCATTCAACAGCATGGGCCTCAGCGGTCTCACGATGTTGGCAGAGAACTCGGTTCGGTGGAGCTGCTACGAAGATCAGTCTTCGAAAGAGTGGACAACGGACCTCCAAGAAGCGATCCTCGGCGAAGGCATCAAAGCCGCTCGCTTACGCGAATTTTACGCTGATTTTCAGAAATTCTGTGAGTGGGTGGTCGAGACCTTCGAAGAAAAGTATAATCTTGGGTGAAAGACAAGCTCTAGCAATATAATCCTATTACGCATTCAGTAGTTATACTGCATACAATGAGCCCACAATATTCTTCCACTACGCCATACTATACCAGATATACCAGACCAATTTCACGCCTAAGGCAGCAACAGCTAACGGCCGGCACGTGATAGCTATCCCGATATGGAAGGAACGACTGGATAAGTCAGAGGCTTAGTCATAATGTCAGCATAAATTTATGCTCGTCTTAGCTTAGAGCTGCTTGTCTCCCCGCGTCTGGTTAGCATTAAATATCAGCGTCATCCATGATGAACCGTGTAGTATCCTCCATAAAGTAAAGAGACCATCGAGAAAGGACCACCTAAGTAAATGGGCATCACCAAAATTGAGCTGGCAGGCTGGGATTCATTCGTGATTGTTCCGCCTGATCACTTATCAGGCTATCAGCTCACTAGCGCTCCGATCCCCCAAACGTCATTCCAGGCACTGTTTAACCTTCCACCCGACCATCTCTCTCGCCCAGAGAACGAAAGTCTGAGCCAGTTTCTTTTCCTTTTTTTTGTTTCATTTCTCTTTGCTATTATCCTATATCTATCCTTTTTTTATATGCTGTCTGTTTTCTTATTATGAGCTTGTTCCGATGATATTTAATGTCTTTTGAGTGAGCCCAGGTCGGCTCCTAAACGCCCATAATGGCGTACTTTTTACCTTCATTTTTCCAAAAGCGTTTGCTCAAATACGCCCTCTCTCGCCTGGAATTTGTGGATACGGAAGCTTTAGATCCTGACAACCTGGGTATACGCTGGGGACAGCGAAGCACCGTTGAGCTTCGTGATATCGGCTTGCGGCTGGAGGTGAGTGGATGTTATCGCTCTTCCCCGCAATTTGATACCATCCACCGCCAACCTCTCATGCTAACCAACGCTGCACTTTTATAGAAACTAGCTACGATACTTCACCTTCCGGCGTCAAGCAAACTGCTCAGTGCCCGAATTCGGTTCTTAAAACTCACCGTTCCTGCTGATATCTACAGCAGTGGGATCATCTGTGAGGCGAGCGGAATCGAGGTCCACCTACGGCTGCCATCAGAGAAGGAAGCTTGTGCCGCCAAAGATAGTCTTTTCAGCGTTAATGAGACTATCATCCCGAATCCAACCGACCTTGCCACGTCGTTCCTCCAGACAGAACCTAAGGAGGAGAAAGAAGAACTTCAAGCGGCCATCTCATCCCGATCCGAGATATTACATCGTTCGGAATCTATTAGCGACGATGAGGAAGAACTAGGTCTTGGAAATGAAACCGTGTCGCTACCGAGCTTTGTCGCCGCTTTTTTGAAGGGCGTTTCGGATCGCTTGCAGGTTCATGTGGATGACATCTCGATAAGGCTTGATGTAGAAACGAAGCAAGATGGACCGAGCAAGAGGCAACCGGAGGAAAAGCCTGATTTGATTTCAGGACTCTTGAGTGTTCACAAAGTCAGTGTGGGCGCTGTAACCGCAGCTTCTACCGAAGATGAACGTCCTTTACACTTGGGGAAACGGCCAGTTTCCCTCTCTGGAATCGACATTTCTCTTATATCCGAGCCTGTAGTTTTCTCAAACTACTCCCGGTTCACTACTCCGACCTCTCCCACTACTCCTATCCCCTCAAAGTCAAGCCGACCGTCGAGCCCGGCCTCATCCATTCCGCCTGCGCCGTCTTCGGTGTCCAGCTCTACCCACGCCATGATGGCATCAACTATCTTTGAGCCCGCCCAGCATAGCCTGAACCCCACCGAAGATGAACCTCGCCTATCCAGGCTTGGAGAATCTGCCTATACGTACGACGGCAGGTTCTCCGACGCGGATACAGAGGAGAATAGGAGCTACAAACATCTTGAAGAATCGCAAAATTTCTCGGATGAGGAGAAATTATTGGATGATCCCACGTACCTTGATTCTGTGATTGATTCTCACCTCCAGGATGACCCCGAAAGTTTTGGTGATGTTCCACTCTACTTCACCCAAGACAATACTGATGAAAGCACACCACGACTACAAGACTCGGGCTTGCGAACATTCGGTGCGGACGCTCTGCCCTCAAGGCCTAGTGGTATCTCAGGCGCAGTGGCCTCGGAACCCAATATACAAAACAATCAAAGTCTACATTCTGGGGACGGGGTTTATGCTCGGACATCAGTGCCTAACTTATTACCCCAACAAGCTGGAGACGTTGCAAATGATAGGGATCCTGCATCGCAGCTTATCCGAGAGACCCCGTTGGAAGCCAGTGGATCAGGTTCAGCATCTGGTCATTTTAATGATGAACAACTGTCAGAGTCGAAATTGTTTTCCAGCGAAGAAGCACAAAGCATGTACATGAGCGCTATAAGTCATGACTCCGATTCAAGGAACTTTGTGCCCAATATCCCAGGTGGATGGGAGTCTCCTGAAACCACATTGACCCGAGATATTGCACATCATGCCGAGCCTGATGAGGCAATAGGAATCAGCCATGGTGAGCAGGATACGACACCTATATCGACACCTAAGCCTGCAGATCTTGAAGAAACGAACCCCTTGGGGCAATCTGCTTTCAGTAATCCCCGTGAAGTCTACACTGAGGCAACTGATAAGAGCTCTATCAAATCTTCTTCGGAAGTGAATGAAACCACGGATATAGCAAAGCGCTTCTTCCATATTGACCGGGTCACGATATGGGTACCCTCTACAAAATATGGGGAACAAGATACATCCGACTCATTTCATTCTGAACAGGAGAGTCACAACCTTAAGGATTCCAACGCACACTTGGCGGTTTCTCACATGGGGGAGAAATCGGTGTCCTTCAAGGCCCCCCCATCTTTTCGACCTCGCCGTGATTCACAAGAGTCGGCATTCACCGATAACGGTATTAAGTCTGATTCAAATCCCGACATCCAATCACTTGGTATAGATAATAATATCACAATTGATATCTCCTGCGTCGAAGTTCAATTTGATATATCAATTGGATGGCTAGCTGTTAAGTTCGGCCAGAGAATCTTCCAATCCTTTGGCGGAAATGAACAAACTACCGCGAGCCAAAAGCCACCCAAGACGGATGTTCAAGACTCGCCAACCTTCAGCCTTGCGCTCAATAAATTTTCTCTCAAGTTCGTCGAACACGTCCCCGGGAACCCGTTCCCGCCGCAGAAACAGCAGCCGGTGCCCTCGACCAGCTTTCTTGATTTCTTGCATGATGATATTGTGCTCCAGGCCTCAGCTTCTGGTCTGAAGGCAAATTTCTCAAGTTCCCCAACTACAACAAAATTCCATGCCGACTTGTCTAGATTCACCATTGGGTTTGCGTCTGAAGATTTGATATCGTTTAGTGAGGAATTGAAAATGCGGGAATCTACAAGGGACATCCAGTCACCAGTCAGCAACGATGTCTCCTTCACGCTGAGCAGATCGCGAGAGCTTGCAACTCTCAGCATATCTACGCTTCCACTTTTTATTAATCTGAATATTCCGCGATTAGACGAAGTTCTGGGTTGGTTTGGTGGCTTGAGCACGATAATGGAACTTGGTAGCTCGATATCATCAATATCGGGGAGTAAGGGACTGAAGAAAGAGTTACCAAAGCGAGCTCGAGGTGTCCGTTTTGAGGGATCACCTCCGCCCCTAGCCAGGCCTCAGAAAACCGGTGCGCCGTGGAAAGTGAATGCGCGAATTGGCGGCATTGCCTTGGACATAGCAGGAGAGAACCATTATCTCACATTGCGGACGACAGCTGCCAAAATAGTCAGCAGATTCGAAGGTATAGCGGTTCAGATTGACAAGGCAAAGCTCAGCGGACCGTTCTCCCTTCACGATTCAAGAGATGCGCCTGCGAAGGTCAGCCTCAACAACATTCGCGTGGAGTACTTGTATACTCCAAAAGAACCTGATCTTGACCGCCTCCTGTCTCTGATCACTCCGTCGAAGGACAAATATGATGAAGACGATGACATTATGATCGACACTCTTTTCAGACAACGAAAGCAGGGCTCTGTGCTTCGCGCCACTGTTTCGGGAACGAAAGTGGTTGTCACGCGTCCAGAACTGGAGCCACTTCAACAACTAGGGGAGGAACTAGGGCGGTTATCTAATGTCGCCAAATATTTGCCTGAAGATGATCGCCCTGGAATTTTGACCCTGGCTTTGCTTAAAGAGGTTGGAATTCGCTTGCACGTCGGTGGAAAGATAGGCACTATAACAGCAAATCTTGAACACGCTGAGGCCGCCCATATCAGCATCCCGTCCCTTGTGGCAACTCAACTCAACTCGATAAGCATTTTCAGAAATGGTAACGAGGAGCTTGTCGGGGAGGCACTACCAAAACTGCCTGGGTCTATTGCCGTTCCAGCCTTGATGGTCCGCTTTATTGCCGACGAGATGGACCCTACGATAAAGGTCAAACTTCACAACCTTCGCGTTGAATATACAATCCCGGCTATAACAGCATTACTAGGAATAAGTGACGAGATGACATCGGGTGATGTTGCAGCCAACATGGCTAGTTCTTTGGCAAACATCGCGGAGCTACATCCACCACCACAGGAAAGTCCCAAGATGGAAAGCCCCGGGGATTTGACCAAGCCTACAAAGATCAAAGTAGACATGCGAGACTGTGTTATTGGTCTCAACCCTCGTGGAACGGCTGCAAGAGGTCTCCTTGTTCTGACTCACTCTACCTTTGGTGGCACTATTCACGACATTCTGACATCCGAAGCCACTCTAGATCTACGAAAGGCGTTCATAATGATCATCGATAATGTAGACAATGTTGACACGGGAAGTAATCTGAATCGGCGAAAGCCAATCGCTGCCCCGCAAGGTGTCCAGGTCCAGACCTTTGGGGACATGGGCTACGTCTTGGTTTCCTCAATATCTTCCGCGACAGCCACCATGAAGATAATGCGTCTTGGCGACGATGGGACGAAATCTATTGATGTGGAGGTTCGGGATGATCTGCTGATCCTTGAGACATGTGCCGATTCGACGCAAACCCTCATCAGTATCATGAACGGACTCCAGCCTCCTAGTCCACCTAGTCAGGGCATAAAGTATCGGACTGAAGTTGTGCCAATCCAGAATATGCTGGACTCTTTCAGCGGGGACGCATATGCAGCGGGATTACCAGATGACGCCGCTGGGAACACTGATGATAATGCTAGAGCGGAGGTCATCGAGAAGGCTGGAATCCCCGAGGGCGACGAACTTGAATACGTTACTGATTTCTATCCCCAGCCACCACCAGACCTACCATCATTCGGATCCAACGAGCTTGGGGACAGCTTCCAATCGCAGTACCAAATGTCATCCAGCATCTCTGAGCTTGATTTTCGGGAGGACCACTTCGCCCAGAAATCTTCAGTGGGGGGTACAGCACATAGGTGGGACTCTGTACAAAACACCTATGGACTCTCGGATGATTCAAAGCTTGAAAATAGCCCTTTACGTGTCAGGGTTCGGGATGCACATGTGATCTGGAACCTCTTCGATGGATATGACTGGCAACGGACGAGGGACACAATATCGAATGCAGTAAAGGATGTAGAGAAAAAGGCCATCGAACGTCGTCACAACAGCAGATCACCCCCAGCCCTTGAGGAAGAAGAGGAAGATGTCATTGGTGATTGCTTGTTCAACTCGATCTACATCGGCATACCTGCCAATAAAGACCCAAGTGAGCTGCGTGGTGAGATCAACCGCAACATTGACGATCTTGCCAGTGAAACCGGCAGTTACGCAACCACAAGTACGGTCACCACGGCACGCCGAAACACCTCGCCCACCGTAAAGGGGAAGAGGCTGCGCTTGTCCCGAAGCAGGAACCATAAAATGACCTTTGAGCTGAAGGGTATCGGTGTGGATATGATTGTTTTCCCGCCAGGTTCAGGGGAGACAGTGAGCTCATTGGACGTCCGGGTCAAGGAACTTGAAATTTTTGACCATGTACCGACCTCGACGTGGAAGAAATTCGCCACCTACATGCGTGAAGCTGGTGAAAAAGAATCAGGGGCTAGTATGGTTCATCTCGAGATCCTGACAGTGAAGCCTGTGACAGAACTTGGTGCATCAGAATTGGTACTCAAGGTGAGTGGGGGAACGGATAGTTTTATGATCCATATCGGGGTGTGCTAACAGGGCTTCTAGGCGACCGTCCTCCCTCTTCGTCTACACGTTGACCAGGATGCACTCGATTTCCTGACTCGGTTCTTCGAGTTCCGAGACGACTCGCCGCCCTCTGGGTCTCCCCAAGAGCCACCATTCCTACAGCGATCAGAGGTCAATTCCATTCCTGTTAAGCTCGATTTCAAGCCAAAACGAGTGGATTATGCTGGCCTTAGATCTGGTCGCACGACAGAGTTGATGAATTTCTTTATCTTGGAAGAGGCTGATATGGTGTTGAAACATGTCATCGCCTATGGACAACTTGGCTTCGACAAACTTGGGCAGACGCTAAACGATGTTTGGATGCCAGAGATCAAGAGCCACCAACTTCCAGGTATTCTTGGTGCGTTGGCTCCCATCAGGTCCTTTGTCAACGTGGGAAGTGGTATGAGGGATCTGGTGGTGGTCCCTATGCGAGAGTACAGGAAAGATGGCCGTATCGTGCGCAGCATCCAGAAGGGTGCCGTTGCGTTTGCCAAAACCACGTCCAATGAGCTTGTAAAGCTGGGTGCCAAGCTTGCTATTGGGACGCAAACAGTGCTCCAGGACGCAGAGGGGCTTCTGACGACCACACCGGCTAGGCAACCAACTGGAGGCGACGAAGATGAGATGTCTGAGGAGGAAGTAGCCAAGAAAATCTCGCTGTATGCCGATCAGCCGGTTGGCGTCGTACAGGGCCTTCGAGGAGCGTACAGGGGATTGGAACGCGACCTTGTCCTGACGCGGGATGCGATCATTGCCGTGCCTGGAGAGGTACAGGAGAGTGGTAGCGCTAAGGCTGCTGCGAGAGCAGTTTTGAAACGAGCGCCGACGGTGATTCTTCGACCAGCGATTGGCGTATCCAAGGCCGTCGGACAGACGTTACTCGGGGCAGGGAATTCAATGGACCCCAGCAATCGTCGCAAAATTGAAGATGTAAGAGAAGCTGCCCGCCTAACCGTTGAGAGCCTGTGACACAGAACAGACCGCTGACTTTGATCTCCAGAAATATAAGCGGCACTAGATTTTCATTTGATTTTTATCATTTGACGCACCATTTCTATCGACTGCTACCTATCATTGAAAGATTCCCCCTCACGCGAAATTTTTGTTGCATATGTGTATCTGCGTTCTTGCTTCCTATAGGCCGGGCGCTGAGATTGAATCCCAACCGACTTTGCTGTCCCGGAGGGCGTTTATTTTTATTTCTATGTTTATGTCTACGTCTATTTCTATTTCTATTTCTATCTTGGCTACGATGACGACGCAAACGACACCTACAGATGACTTGTTATTGCTTCAGCACTGCCCGCATCCCGCATTACAGGAGTTAGTTACTAGTTGGATCTGTTTGCATGTATGCCGTAAGACTGAGGCTCAATTAAGGTACTTGATGGGAACTTGTGGGTAACTGCACATCGCTTAATCTGTATTAATTTATCTCAGCTGCGTATACCCGCGGTGCAAAGAGTGTGTGCCACCAGGAAAAAGCAGCCGACCCAGTCAGCCACCGACAGCACAACACACAACGCTAGAGTTAAACTTCAGGAACTCTGCAGGTTAATGCAAGACACGTACGGGAGCTGAAAAACCGTTCGCCACACTGATCAACGTCGAGCCCCGTCTGGCAGCGTTATTGGCTGCGGGCGTGAAATGGGCGTGGACGAATGAGAGCGGCGAAGCATCTGGTGGGCAGACGCAGCGATCACACTGAAACAACACTCTCCGTCAGCAAGGGAGCGTCTGGAGCCACGTTTGGCTGCCCAAAGGACGGCACGGTTGGAATGTGTCTTGAAGTTGGAGATGAGGGTGGTCTCGATCTGGAGGGAGGGCGGGCTGGACGAGTCGATTGGCTGTAGCTGTTGCGATGTGACGTCGCACTTGCTCTTCTTTCTCTCTCTCTCGCTTCTTCTTCTGTTGTCGCTTGTTCTCAATGGGAGAGCGAGGGCACTCACAATCTGCATCTCCTTTTCTTCCTTTTCTTCGCTTTTTTATCTTTTTTTTATCTTTTTCTTTTTTGCTGTCGCTCTTCTGTTCGAGTCTCTTTTTTTTCTTACTCTCGCTATTCTATCTTTTATTTGCGTCGCTCGTTTCTTACTCAGTCTATACACTGCCCCTCTGGCTGCGCCTGTACTACGCCTGCTACGCTCAGGCTCACTCTATTTTCCGCAGCCAGGATAATGAGAGTGAGATCAGGCTCATGCTTGTCGACGGAAAGTCAATGAGCCACCTTCGCTGAATGAGAGTTTATGTATCAGACGCCCCTTGAACCTTGTGTGCTGTGTCACTTGCACCATGGAAGCCTGGCCCGCCCGCCATGAATCTCTCCGTTTGCACCACCACCACCACCACCATCTGAAGTCGCCTTCACATTCTCCAGACTTCACTCTTTTGTCTCAGAGCTCTCCTGCGCTCCCTATTGAGCCCCTCGCCGGATATTCAGGCGCTGTCTCGCGGCACAATTATCGCAAATCCCTCTACGGCAGCACCACCACCGGCAACTTCTTCGACAGCCCGGAAGGCAAGACGCTGCGGCGCAAGAACGCCGCTTCGAATCTGAACCGGTCTGCGGCCACGCCCACAGCTCAAATGGGAACTATCTGCCAGAATGTCTGCTACCATCCATTCTCTGCGTCCTCCGCGACGTCGAGTCCGCCGCCGCCTCTGTCACCCTCTTACTCGCCCAGTGCCCTAAGTGACCAGTTGCCCGAGTTGTTGGACGGGTATGGCTGTAAGTCTGCTGCACCGATTGTATCCCTGAATTCGTTATTGACGCGGCTAGGTCCGTTGTCTCCGGTGCTGGATGCGAGCCTGGCTGGCGAGAAGCAGAGCCCGTATAAACTTCTAGTATGTTGCTCCTTTGATCATCAGCTTTTATTCGAGTACTAACCGCGTGTAGGACAATTTCCGCGATCGACTGGAGAAATTCCCGGACCCGGAAACCCCGGATATCGTCGAGTTTCACGGTCACAGCAGGACTCGGTCAGATTCGGTCTTGTTCAAAACCCGGCGGGCGAAGAAACCGCCCATAACGGCTACTGTGGTACACCAGGGAACTCAATTCGAGATTCTGAATCCGCATGAATCGTTGGACTTTGCGCGCATAGTCTCCTACATCGAGGATGTAGATAGCCATTTGCCCGGCAATCACCACCGGGATTCCTACCTGCGCAGCAGCCATGGTTCCAATGTAATCCCAGAAGATCTGTACGAAACGACGTCCGATATCATCAACGTTGAAGAACGTGCTCACGACGACCTGGTCGGCGACTCTCCCCACCACCCGATGCCATCTATCTCCGAGCGGCTTGAAGACATGGACGCCGAGTCCTGCTACTCCAGCATCATGCCCCTTTCTCGACCCCTGTCCATGGTACGACCACAGACAGCACATAATGAAACCGACCTTGGTGAACCAGGGCCACCCATCTACTTTGACGACGACATCGACAACAACCAACCCGCTCCTTTACCATCCACTCTAGACCTCAACCCCGTTGAACTCGCCGCCCTGTGTAATATTGGGCATCTCCCACCACAGGGCAAAGGCGCCGATAACCCTACGGCGGTCATCTATAGCAACCACCCACCGCTCCGTAAAAGATCCGCCCTCCGCAAAACTCACAAAACGCCATCTCCCTCGTCTTTTCCATTTTCTCACTCTCCGGCAGGATCTCCTACCTCGGCGCCGTTAAAACGGCTGAGGGGATTCGCCCAGAATCTACGTCGGAAGACGAAGACACTTCCCCGTGCCAGCTTGTCTTAGCGCAGCCTTCTTCACTTCTTTCTTTTTCTTCTTTATTTCTTATATATGTACCACAAGAGGTCGCTGAGCGATCCTTAAATTGGAGTTTTTGTCTTCGTTGGGTTAGCACCGTATATATTGACGGGCTGGCGCTTTACTTTTCATTTCAATTCAGTGCTTTTGTAGAGCGGTCGGTCAAAATGCCGCAGTTATCCAGGTTATTCGGCGTTTGTAGACAGTAGTTAATGATGAGATTGAATCTTGATTCTGTACGGGTGGAGTAGTTGGGTCCTTCGGGACGATGCGACTTGCTCCAATTCATCCCTACTAGCTTCTTAGCCCTAACAGACAGGTCGATCTGGGGAGTTGATAGATCCGACCCAGCTGCATACCAGACCGTTTTCCAAGGCAGATCCTCTCCGTTCTTTACTGAGATCAGCTACCATTTCGAATATCCTCTCCTCTCTCCCTTGACGACCATCACAATATTACCCATCCCTCGCCGACACCTGAGACTACCCCCGCTTTCTCGCTCGAGCCCATAACCAAGAACCACTGCGCCCCATCCCAACACATCCCATCTTATCTCACCTTCACTCACCGCTACTTCATATCCCAGATCCTAAATCCTTCCTATAAATAGTTTTCATGGTGGCAGTTCGTCTAAGCCTGCTTAGCTAACTAGCTTAGCTTAGCTTAGCTTAGCGCCCACAGACTTAACTCCGTACCAAAGGAACTCAAGGACGGAGCTGGAGTATAGAGGCTGGGCTTGCTGAACTGAACACCAATTAATCAAGGCAAGTAAGGACGTAACTTGAAGTAAGCCCGTCCACGTCAGCATAACATTGGCACTGGCACTGGCAGTATGCATGCGTTCTATCCCTGCAATGTACGGTGTAGACAGTCTACATGGAAAAAATATCAATAACGGTACCTCCTTACTTCAGGTTGTCTCGGATCGTAGATCCAGCACGATCGGAATTACCTTCACCTCGGCAGTTATGTCGGATGTAAGGGATGGGTAATGAATGCTTAACGCTTAGCTTGGCAGTGCAATCGTTGAGGTGCAGATGGGGGGCAGGCGGCGGGCCGTGCCTTGGATGTATGTATGTATATGTACAGTATGTAACTGTTCTCTAGTGGTTTTATTGTGCGGTCGGTCAGTCATGGTCACCTGGTAGAATAACTATACTATACTATACCATACAATGAAGTACGTCTGTCGTCGAATTCAGTTGTCTTGGAATGCACTGTGATTGTTTTCTTTTTACTTTTTTTATTCAGATCCAACTCTAGAAGAGTAGTGTATATCGATTTCCATGTGTCGATTTATATCTACCTAGGTATATACCAGTCGAAGCTATTTCCAACCAACTAACCAACCTAGCCAGCCCAACCGAAACGATTCTATATACAACAGGGCCAGCCAGAGGTGCCAATTTTCCTCCCAAGATAACATATTTAAATATATACAAGAATGTAATAAAACGCAAAACTCCCCCCGTATCCAAATGCAATGCAAATAAAGAACATAGCCCACTACTCCTCATTCTCAATCATCGACGCCAAAGCCGCACTAACCAGGCTCTTCCGTCTCAATCCGGCCTCGCTCTTCTTCCGATCCCGATCACTCGAAGACTGGTAGTTCTTCTCGATCCGGCTCGTCGAGCTGGGGAGTAAAGATCCCGCTCCGCTTCCTGGTCCCGCTCCACTACCGGGTATACATATGCTCTTCCTACGCAACAGATGGGCATCCCCGACCCCGACCCCGGACCCGGATACTGGTTCTGGGCTAACGGGAGACCGCACGCGAGAGCGGTGCAGACTACCCCCTCTTCGTCGGCGGTGGCCCTGCGTGGGCGGGAGTGAGGAAGGGTGGCACGATTCCGTGAGGAGGGGGTTGTGTCTGCGGGATTCATCGTCGGCGGAGGCGAGGAGGGAGCGGCGGATGGCGTCGAGGTCTGTTGGGGTGTATTGGCCTTGGAGTCGGGAGATGTGTTGGCGGCGGGAGCGGACGGAGGTGTAGGGGTCTGAAGACGAGGCCGGTGCTGATGGAGAGGTCGGGAGGTCGGGATCGAAGGGGTCAAGCGGGGCGGAGGTAGGTTGTGGCATAAGCGATGGGGATTGCGGTGTTGGAGAGAGGCTTTGGGAAGGGGATATTGGAGATCCGTAGCCCTCGTCGTCGTGGTCGGTGTCTGGCGGGGTGAGGACGTAGCCTGGGAAGCGGGAGTAGGATGACAGAGACGGAGATGTCGGCGACGGGCATTCACGGTGCGAAGGGTTCTCCGCGCTCGAAGGGTTCTGGATTGTGTGCTCGTGGAGTTTCTTGGTGAGGGTGCCGATGGAGAGACGGTGGTGGTGGTCGTAGGGGACGGAGGTAGGTGGCGGGTGTTGCTGCTGGGGCGAGCGGAAGTATAGCGATCGCGAGCGAGGGAAACGCGATACAGAGAATGACCGGGGCGAGGGACATCGCGAGGACATGGGCGAGATCATGGAGTCGCAGTCGGCCATGAGTCTGTCGTCGTCTTGGGCGAGGCGGGGTGCCCTGGCCGACGAGGGGGACGAGAACGAGAAGTCTTCAAACATGGTGGCTCTCTCGACTCTCGCGATTTTCTTGCAAGGCGACCGTTCAGATGACTCTCCAAGCGTTGCTTCCTGGATTTTTGCAGGACCAGGAAGCCGACAGGTTGAGAACTGGCGAGGTCGCTAGTCGGCGAAGTCGTTCCCAAAGCGGTTATATTGGATTTCTTGAATGCACGATGCAGGCGAGAGGTCACCAAAGTCAAAAAGACACGTCCACTGGGGAGAAAACCACTTCCTGTTCCTAGAGCCGCAGGCCTTTTAAACGGAAAAGGCGAATCCAGGGGTCTGTGGCGAGAGAGAGCGAAAAAAAGAGTTTTCCAGAGCCAAACAGCGAGCGAAGAGGCGACAGGAGGGACTACAACTGTGGCTCTGGAACCCGCTGGCCGGTCGAACGACGAACGTGGGGACTATGCAGCATGCAGGGAAACTTCAAGGATACTACACTGTAATATAGTCGTTGAGAAATAATAATATCGTCGGGTTGCAATTACGACAATGACGGCCCCTTTTCATCTCCGGTTTCGTTTCTTTTCCCAGAACAAGCCAGAAGGCAAACCGTGCGTAAGTTATGCCATTTCCCAGGCTCAGGGGCTCTAGACCCAGCCTCGGCAGCGCAGAAATGGCACAGTTGCAGTGTTCTTTGACTTTCAAGACTGTCTCGCGGGGTCTTTATTTCCTTCAATCAATTGCCCACAGGGCAGGATCCTTGTGTCTGGGATAGAACCGCGGAGAAACCCGTTGGGAGCAAAAAGACGCCCCAGTGGCGATGTCAAGGGACCACGGCCGATGAGGCTTTGGGGACTAAACCGTGAAGGATCTGGCGGCGGCTAATGGAGCCAGAAATTAAGACCGTAGTCAAGGGTGGATAAACTTATGGCAGTCCATGGTTGATGGCGAAGGGCCGAGAACTGGCGATCGGACAGGGATTCGGTATACCTGAGGCAGTCCCATGACCACATGATTAAGATAGATTAATAACACGGTAAATAAGTTTATTGTGGCTACTGCGATTTACAGGAGACAACAAAAGACGGGTCGGATGGGTGAAGAGGCAAAAAGAGTGAAAAAAGCCAAAAGAGATGAAAAAAAATGACAAGGGTGGGATTCGAACCCACGCCAAATTAATGACGCGGAAACTTGATGAGATCAAGAGAGGGATCCGAGTTAGGAAGCCTTAACCGCGCGCCTTAGACCGCTCGGCCACCTTGCCTATTTGATGGAAATGTCTTGATTTTAGTGCTATATAGACCTACCAATACGGCATCAACATTGGACACTGCAATTCACCATATACTAACAAGCGCATTCAATATCGCTATGTCAAGAGCAGTTGTAAGACGCATATCAAGAGACTCTGCATCATCTGCCGGTGCATAACTATTTATTTAGCAGGTTATTAATCTTGTACCGAGCTCAATCTCCATTTTGTGGTAGTGCTGCGGTATATATACTTGCACGTTCTCGGTCAGACCACGCCAACGAGCCCAACAAAGCATCAACAACCCAGGCAAAACTGTACTCTGCATATCCAAAAGCCATCGATCGCATCTCGCATGAAAAGTTAAACCAATGAGCCAATCCTCGAAACTCTGCTACACCTGGCAGCCACATCATCGCACCGCACATCATGCAGCAACAGTCATGATGCGCAGGAATGCCTACCCAAAACTGCAAAGTGACATAATACCGATTCCAGGCCGCAGCTGTGGCTGGTACGGGAGATTAATGTAATGAATCGAATGGGATCGCGATCTGAGACTCAGACTGGCCTGATTCCTTAAGGATTCGAGGATTGACGTCAGACTTGGCAGGTGGAACGGGATTATTACTGGAACCAGCTGAGTCCTGACAATGGGTTGGTTGCATTGTTTTGTGATTGGCGGTAAATTCTCCGTGAGATTAATTAGGGACTGTCAGATAACGTGTTTCTTCTTCTTTTCTCTCCTGCTTTCCACTCTGCTGAGGCTAGACTCCTGCCCGACACCGTATACTACTGTCTAGATCGAGCTATCGAGGCTAACGCAGCCCACACTAGTATCCTGTATATTGAAGAAATCTACAACAAGCTCAGACATCAATTATATATGTATCACGAAAACCATGTATCAACACTCAGGAATACGTACACCTAGCGCTCCCAAAATCCCATGGTTGAGATAACGCAAATCTCCGCCGGTACGTCATCCCAGGCACTGCAGGTTTCTTTTTCCTTCAGTCCAACACCGAGTCAGGCCTGAACTCTGGACCATTCATCTCTAAGAACCCAGACACCTCCATACTAGCACTGAAGTGAACAGACTAAGCTCTTACCCTTTAGGTGCTAGCCCTGCCCTGGAGACGAGGGTGCAGTGGCGGGGATGATCTCATTCTAGGCGATCGAGTCCCACCCTTTTACACCGAGCAGCACAAGCACAGCCCCTAAAAAAGAAACATGCAACTTAATGCGTGTGGAGGGTGGAGCAGAAAACCGTTATGGTGTCAATCGATCGAAACCTTGGACTGGCCTAGTACGTAGTGTAGGAGTAGTGGCTTTTTCCGAGTCTCCATGATGGATCAGGGATCCATCTTTCGGCTCGATGCGACTAATTATTGCACAGTAGTGTACGATATTAGTATACGATGGCTTGTGCATGTGGGGTCCGTCTAATATATTTCCCTGGGTTTAATTAATTTGTTATACTCCAACCCAGACAAGCGACGGCTGCCCCCCTCCCCTGCACATTGACGCAATGTCCAGCCATGATTCCTGATTTCTTCCTTTCGCTGGCTACGTACCTCGCGGCCGCGCACCATGGTTAGGTATATACTGGGGCCTATCTATTTCTATTTCTAGACAAGCTGATTGGATCTGGATTGAAAATTGGGCGTGGTTATTGCGCTTCTCTTTTCATCTCTGCGGCACTGATTGGGTGAGCGCTGATGCTTAGATACCTAGTGAGTATGTACTTGCTCCACCCATCTACACGGCTGATGCAACCGAGATGGAGCTGGAGTCTGGAGCCCCGTCGTCTGTGGCTTGCAACGTGCAGGGATACGAGGAAGATCTGACGCTGATGGGTCCCTGGCCATGACTATCTGGAGTAGATCGGGGCTGGTGTGATGTCGTTGTGACATAACCTGGCTTGCTTTTTCTATACTATCTGGTTTTTGTTCTTCTTTCTTCTATGATGTTGTATAGACTGGTTGGTGGTGCAGATTGTGGTATATATAGGGTCGTTGGTTCTCTCTACGTTCTGGGATTTAGATTTCTTTTTATATTCTTCTACCTCACTCTACTCTACTCTTAACTATATTACTACTGTCTTAGTACTACTGTACTATTGTATTATACTCTATTCTACTTTACGAACACTTGATACCCTATACCACTTGACGAACGAACAAAACGTCCTTACTTTTATCACGACTTATTATACCAACCACTTATAAATAGATAATCAACCTTGGATTTCATCGACAAACTCCTATACGCACTATCCAAAATGTGGTCCCCCCTCGCCAAGTCAGATCAGAGATCCAACGCCTCCGAGCGCAGGGTATCCGGGTCCAGCGCCGCCCCCAACCAGGAACAGAACACCGACTTCAACCCTAAGGAAGCCACTTCGAACCTGCAGGAACAGGCACCAGAGGCCCTAACCGAGGAGAACCTGGAACAGCCTTCTACTCCCACCCCTGACCAGAAGGTCCCCGACACATCAGAGCAGCGCGATGAGGTTGAGTCTCAGGCGTCCGGCGTCGCTGGAAGCAGTGGTGGCGGCGTGTTTGGGAAGCTGAAGTCTCTTGGCGGTGGTCTTGGGCAGCAGGTTACTCAGACTGTCAAGAGTGTCCCTGGGCTTGCGAGTAAGCCGCTTGGGATGTTGAAGGGTCTTACGGTCAGTGAGGGTGGTGAGATCCCTGGCCCTGAAGGTAACATTGTCGGCCGCGTTGTTGAAGGTGGCGAGGAAGCTGTTGGTGGAACAGTGCAGGAGGGAGGAAAGATTGTGAACGAAGCTGGCGAGACTATTGGTCAGGCTGAACTTACCGATCAGGTAAAGGGTACTGTTGACGAAGTGAAAGGTGACGCACCTGAAGAAGTACAAGAGGGTGTTGATACCACCGAAGACCCTGAAAAGGCTGTTGAAGACACAGCCAACGACGCCGAGAAGAAAGCCGACGATGCCACTGGAGACGTCGAGGAAGCCGCCGAAGGCGCAACAGATGATGCTGAGAAGACGGCCGAAGACGTCGAAAAGACAGCCGAGGAGGCAGAAGAGAACCTGCCACCAATCTCCTCCCTCGAAGGCCTGACCTGCAACAAGGCCGGCAAGATCATCGACTCCTCCGGAAAGCCCATCGGCGAGTTGGTGGAGGGCGACCCCAAGAAACTCTCCAGGCTTGGAAGCAAGCTCGACGACAAGGGTCAATTCTGGGACAGCCGTGGCAACGTTATCGGCAAAGCCCAAACAATCAAGGCCGAGGATTACGGAGACGAGCCTCCCTTCGCTGGCCTTGAAGGTCTTCACGTTGTCAAGGACGGTTTCGTTGAGGATGAGGGCGGCAACCGGGTCGGCAAGCTCACGGAGGGCGATGCTAAGAAGCTCATCGGCCGTCCTGTCGATGAGGATGGCGACGTCACCGACCAGCACGGTAGCGTTAAGGGTCACGCAGAGCCTTATGAGGAGCCTGATGAGGAGGAGCCTGAAGAAGAGGATCTGTCAATCCTAGAGGGCAAGACAGTCAACAAGGCCGGCAATGTTGTCGACGAGCAAGGCAAGGTTTATGGTCGCATCACCTCTGGCGACGGTAAGCGTCTTGCAGGACGAAAAGTCGACGGCAAGGGTCAGATCTGGGGTGACGATGGCAAGGTCATCGGTAAGGCTGAGCTTATCCCTGGCGCCGAGCAGGAGAAGCCTGAAGGTGCATTTTACGGATTTGAGAACCTCAGCGTCGGTAAGGATGGCATGGTCCAGGATGGAACCGGCCGCGTTGTTGGCCGTGTCGTTGAAGGAGACGCCATGAAGCTTTCTGGCCGCCAAGTTGATGAGGATGGTGACATTCTTGACAAGAATGGCAACACCATTGGACGTGCGGAGCGCTGGGAGCCGGAAGAGAAGAAGCGCAATGTCAGCCCCATGGCAGGCCGCAAGGTTACCCGCGACGGTGAAGTGCGCGACACGGATGGAAACCTCATCGGCAAGCTGACCTCAGGTAACCTGAGCAGCCTCGTCGGAAAGGAGATTGACGACAATGGATACGTCGTTGACAATGATGGAAACAAGATTGGCGAGTGTACCCTGCTGGAAAACATCCCAGAGCCCGAGCCTGAGGAGCCTGAGGGCCCGTCCCCCGAAGAGCTTGAGGCTCAGAAGAAGGAAGAGGAAGACAGGGAGCTGGCCAAGAAGATGTCGAGCATTGTCTCAGGAACTCTGGACCGTGTTCTGCCCATCTGCAAGATGATCACCGATGTAAGTTTCATACCACTCTGACCAGGCCAATTAGCCCTTTTAAGACGGTTTACTGACCCTTGTATAGCATGTCGACAAAGCAGAGAGGACACCAAAGGAAGAGCTCGACGAGGAGCAAGTGGTCAAGAGCGTGAAGCCATTGCTCGAGGAGGCCGGCAGCATTATGCAAGAATGCAACGGCGCAATTCGTGCTCTCGACCCTGATGGACGTATTGCCGCCAATGCGAAGGCCAGAGCTGCCTCCCACGAGGCATCGCCTGAAGAACACACGCTGGCCGAGAAGCTGAAGGAGCTTACGGACTCGGTTCTCAGGACAATCGAAAATGGAAAGAAGAAGATCCAGGACATGCCGCATGCAAAGAAGGCCCTCAACCCTCTCTGGGGCCTGCTCAGCGAGCCGCTCTTCCAGATCATTGCGGCCGTGGGACTCCTCTTGACTGGTGTGCTCGGCCTAGTTGGGCGATTGCTGGACGGCCTTGGGCTGGGTCCCTTGGTAAATGGTCTTCTCGGTGGCCTGGGACTTGACAAGCTGCTTGGAAACCTGGGGCTGACATCCTTGACGGACTCCCTGGGATTGACCAACAACAAGAAATAGAGTGAAACATGGAGGATTACTGAAAGAGGTTACTTGGGTTATGTTCTTCAATAATGTAAATATTAGGTAGTTAATAATCCGATTTTAATTCAGCAGCAAAAGCATCCTAGTAACATGAGTCAATTTCCAAATACCTTTGATCGCAGCAAATATGTGCTACGCCAATGTATAGCCTCGGTCAATGAGATGGTCGGCTGCAACTGTCAGACACCAATCTTGAAAGCGCCCGGATTGTGGTGCATATCGAAAGAAACCTTGAACTTTATGGTCGTCGTCCCATATAGCGGAACCACACACACCAGCAGGCATCTGTGCGCTGGATCCTTGACCCATGTAATTCCAGTGGCACCGAATCCAAGCCTGCTCAGGTTCATCAGGGTCGTTTCTCGGGACACGCACAAGAGTATGGATGCCTATAGTACCCTCAATAAAACCTGAAAATGGGCTATCCATGTAAACATTGTTACCAATGCGGGTGTCACTAGCCCTGGCAAATTGCCTTAGTACAAAGAGTCCCCCGGGGAGGATGCTGTTCTCGAATGGTTCGTTAATAAAAGTGACATTCTCCTTCAGCTTCACGAGAGCGACATCACTATGGCTTGACTTGACGACAACTTCGCCAATTTCCTTTCCGCGAAAGTTGGGGTGATGCACCTTGTTTGTGAAGGGATATCCCGGGAAACCATAGGCTGCAGCCGTCATAAATGTCTGCCCTGAAGCGTCTCTGACCATGACGCCTGACGAAGTCGTGAAATCACATCCTTCGGCGGGGTGCCCTCCAGAGTTGACCATAACCCCTGGTCGCAGTGGCTCATACTCACTGGTGTCAAATGAATTCCCGGTTGGCTGTGAAGCTCGAAGGGCGGACAGTTCCGCAGGCCAGTCCATATCCGATTCTTTCAAATAGAAGCAGGGACAGCCCCCAACCGACTTAGGGACATTTTCCAAGCTCTCATGTTCTGCGGAGACTAGAACAATGATTATGACACTGCGCCAATATTGGATCTCAGTTACCTGTATTGGAAACTGATCAAAAAATTCTCGGAGAATGTTAAACACTTGATCGACCAGATGCTCGGCATCTCGAAGGTATAAGCCGTCACCCAAGGTAATGCGAGCACGGCTTCTATGCACAAGGGGGACCATAGGTCCGTTGTCAGCTGGGTCTGTCGTAAGATAGCAAGGGACGTTGGCAACCTTTAGAGGCCAGGGCTTCGGCGGCAATGTTTCGAGAACAAAAACCAATGCCCACTCATCGAAGTCTACTCTAAGAGTAGATGGAAATACTTGCTTGAGTAATTCTAGGTTTCCTTTTTTAAAAAAGCCCTTCGGGTCTTCATGAAGGTCGAAAGGCAGGGCGATATGTTTGGCGGATGGGAGGGCGTGGCCATGGTCGGGGTGAGGAATCTGTGATTCTAAAGCTCATTAGAATCCCTGAACTTGTAACTATTTTTAGGGAATGCAGTTTGCTTACCGATGCGCAGCTGAGACCCGGGGAATGTGCCCTGCGGGAAAAGAGATGGGGTGATCTTTCTCTTATTGGGGGTCTGTCCTTTAGTGAAAGTCTTGGGCTGTGGTGAAGCCATGCGGTGTAGTGATGGAAGAGAATATCATGAATGATAATAGAGGTGTATCTAAGACGCGGAAGTTGGAAATAACGAATGGTACTGAGGTGGAAAGTGACGGAGTAGGAGGTGTGTGAAGTTCTGTTGTGATGGAGGCGAAGTATATAACAGGTGCGTCAGGTGACATGGACACAAACTGAGTCACAGCTAAGTTTTACTGAACCTACTGGAAGATCATAAGATCAGTTGCTAGCAGAATACTTTACAGAACGTAAACGTTGAAAGTGTGGGATTTAATCTAGGCACAACCATTCAGTACAGTGCGGGCATGGTCTAAGTTAGGGTTATATCCTGATTTCATTTCTGTATATTTGGAATCTGACCGAGAGTAAGTATCAACAGCAAAGCCCACTGGCGAGGCTATTCAAGGACCGCTAACAACACAGATTTCGCTCAAACACCAAAAGATTCTTATAAAGTTGTGTTTTGATAATGTCCACATCTTAGCGAGTATAATGATCACCCCGTGTTTATACGTAATTTAGAACGATCGACTCGTTGGGGTTGCCCGAAAAGAAAAAAAATAAAAAAAAAGGGGGAAGGAAAGAAAGGCTTCCAGTTCATTGGTTTAGAGCCTTTGGTTGGTGAATACCGTTGCCTGATTTGAGGATATTGGTTCGGGCAGATAGCCATCCGACAACGGAGGTGCCAAATGGTATATTTTGTATACACGGATTATGTTCACTCCGCATTGGTATTGCGCGTCTTGACGGTTCCCGGATCTTCGTGACGGGGTTGGGATTCATTATCATCGTCGTCATCCATAGCCACAGCCTGATAGTCGTCCCTTGTTGCCTGTACAGAGAACAGAGGGTCTTCTTCTCCCCAGCCGGGTTGGCGCTCACGCTGCTCACGCTGGCGTGTAACAAACCAAATCCAACCTATCAAGGTCAAAGCAACAACAGAGATTAAGCTGGCGGCAAGGGAAACCAAGGACCGTCCGTTACCAGCTAGAAGTAATCCGAGAATGATGTTTGCCCAGCCTAGCAATAGAAACAGACGCCCGAGCCATATATGGCCGTGCGAGGCCCACTGGCGTGTTTGTATACGAACGAAAACAACATGATGACGCCATCCTAGTCCTATTTGGACAACACTGCACAATGCCACAGTAATCCCGATATAATAATGAACCGTGTCGATCTTATGTGCTAGAATAAGCCCTATAGCTGTGCCGATCAAGACGAAAATCGAGGCGAGGAGCTGTAGGATCCAATGATAACGGAACGACCTAGGTGACCCTGACCGTATGGCAATTACACCAGCCGGGAAGAAGATTATAAAGGCGGCACTCATGAGAAATCCGTGAATGTAAACAGCCGGATTCATCCAATCCCACCCACCGGGGATATCCGAGGCGCCAAGTGCAGGGATACCAGGGCGGATAGGAGGCAACGATGGCGTGGATGTGATGGAGCGTGCCATGTCAACGTAGAAACGACCCCAGCCGCCACTTGATCCAGGGTGTTGGTGCGCTTCTAGATGTGCGCTGTCTGAGTAGTCGTCAAATTCCTGCTTATCATTCCACGCCCAAACCCAGGGCTGGGCAGTAACTTCTGCACTTATTGGAGTACCAGGCCACTTCCCGCAAGAATAGCATACAAGAGCTACTTTCGCAGTAAAGACTGAGGCTATGTTTGAAGAGGTGGTATGCGAATCATCAACGTCTGTGACATTAACAGGGTCCCAATGGGCCTGTAGGAGACGGATGTTCACCCCTCCAGTGTCGGCTTGAGTGAGGACTTGGGGTTCATGATAGCCGTCAACCGTTCGGACGCTCACTGTCGGGGCCTCATGGCTAGTAGAAAGAGGATCGCCGTAGACAATAAACATTAGCGCACCTGCCATCGTGGACCCTGTCCCGAGTGCATTCCACCCTTGCGCTGAACTTTTAGTGACATGCATAGTCATATACATGTCATAGTCGTTTGAAGAGACATTTTTGTATGTCGTAATTCCTACGCAAAAGTCGACGGAGGCATCGGGGCCATTCTCATGGCCGAATCGGCAGTATTGCACGGGTTCACTCGCTGCCTGGGAGACGAGTATGAGGACCGCAATCAACGTACTCAGACATGATACAAAGGATGATCGCATAATGGCAACCAATCTGTTATCTCGAGGTATTATGAGGGGTAAGATGCAAAAACGCAAAAAAAGGTGCGAAGGAAAGTCAGGAAGCACAACATGCATGCACGTGACCACGATGTCGAACAGTATTCGTTGGGTCAGCAAGGGGACCTTCAATCTGATTGGATGTGATGTATCTCAGATCACATTGGATGTGGCTTGTCACGTGACTTTGTTATATTTGATATGAGTAATGATCGGCGGTACCATCTTCTCCAACTCCGACTCCCCCCCCGCATTCCTCCAACAACAACGTCCATTGACTACTGCTTCTACAAACCCATCGATATGGCCGCCTTGTTGAAAAAACCCCTTAAACTTGCTTTGGTACAGCTGGCGTCAGGTGCGCCTCACCCCCGTAAACATACATATTGTTTCGAGCTAATCCATATGAGAATATAGGCGCAGATAAGGCTGCTAACCTCGCCCACGCCCGCACTAAGGTCCTCGAAGCTGCAAAGGCCGGCGCTTCACTCATCGTACTTCCGGAATGTTTCAATTCTCCGTATGGAACATCGTATTTCCCTAAATATGCTGAAACTCTTCTTCCGTCTCCTCCAACGAAAGAGCAGTCTCCGTCTTATCACGCTCTATCAGCCATCGCTGCAGAGGCAAAGGCATACCTCGTAGGGGGCAGCATTCCTGAACTCGAAACAACGTCGAAGAAATATTATAATACATCGCTCGTATTTTCACCATCGGGCGCGCTCATCGGAACACACCGCAAAACCCACCTATTCGACATTGATATCCCAGGAAAGATCAAATTCAAAGAGAGTGAGGTCTTGTCACCCGGCAACCAATTGACAATTGTCGATCTGCCCGATTACGGCAAAATTGGACTTGCTATCTGCTACGATATCCGTTTCCCCGAGCCAGGTATGATGGCAGCACGCAAAGGTGCATTTGCACTTATCTACCCCGGTGCTTTCAACACGACTACTGGGCCTCTGCACTGGCAGCTACTCGCTCGCGCTCGCGCCGTCGACAACCAGACATATGTGGCCTTGTGCAGTCCTGCACGGGACATGGATGCCACCTACCACGCGTATGGTCATAGTCTGGTGGCTGATCCTAGCGCGGCGATTTTGTCGGAGGCAGAAGAATCTGAAAACATTGTTTACGCTGATCTGGACAACGAGACGATTGAAAGCACACGGAAAGGCATTCCAATTTATACACAAAGGCGGTTTGACTTGTACTCGGATGTGAGCAAGAATTAATGCCGGCCATTGAACGCCAGACGAAATGCAATTACTAGATATATATTGAATTGAATGTTGCAGGAACTGACGGTTAACAAGTGATGACCTCAAAACCTAATTCATGGTCTCGTGAGCTGTAAAGGTTCCACCTAGAGCAACACTTTGTGTAACCTCCAGTCATAGTACGTATGTAAATGATGCCTATTGTTGGTTTATAGAGCAACTAGAAAGACGGCTAAATAAGCACTAGAGTTTTGACGGTCGAACGGTAAAATATACTGTTTTGATACCTGTAATGACCTGTGTCCGGCCATAATAGTTATTAGTAGTCCAACCAAGACATCAGGTTGTAAAATCGATTGTCGTAGTTCAGCTAGATTGGGGTAGCTCAACTAGATGTGGCTGGTGCGTCCGCCGTCGTCTCAAAATGTGCCCTAACTGCCCTGTCTGAACGACTCACGAATTACCCGTTGGCCGAGAGTCGTGAAGTTCTGCCGGGCCTTGGAAGCTGTGGTGTACTTCCTGAGACATAGAACGAGCCAATTTATCGGTGTAACCTGGGCAAATCAAGGTGGTCATGCGACATGATACTACTGGAGATTTGCACCCGATAGAGCCTTTAAATTCCTTCAAAATAAAAAAACTATCCGATTAATGAATATTTCAAATTAGAAAAATAAAAATTCGAGTCTCATTTTCTCATTCTCTTTTTTGTTAATGAAGCTCAAGTTCTCTAGGGCTGATGGATGTCGCCGGGTGAGGAAAGGTCACATGACTTGAGGCAGCCAATCAGCGTGAGCCCACAACAAGCGAGCCCGCACTTGGAATTTCGACCACCACGAAAAAAGGCCATCTCGAAATCCTCATTCTCTCGACAGTCGACACTTTCAGCCAACCACAGCCGAACACCCTTCAGTGAGTTTGTCGCGATCATTCCCAGCTTCTGCGTCGAGATTGTTTCTCCGCGACGAATTTAATTCTAACAATCTGCCTTCTTTCCATAGAAATGTCCAACGTTCAGCAGACCGGCAAGAAGCAGCGTTCGGCCATCGCCGACGTGGTGACCCGCGAGTACACCATCAACCTGCACAAGAGGGTATGTTGAAGCGCGAAACCCGTTTTTACCTCTCCTTTACCTTGATTCTTGCGGTCGACTTTCGAGCGACCGAAACCTGCGAACTGTTGCGGAAGTTAAGGATGAAATACACCTTCTCTTTTGGTAAAAACCGTGAGGCATGGATGGAGAACATATAACACAGTCGACATCAAGCGAACGACTTCCCTTCACTTGAGAAAGGTGGAACACCCTATTACCTTGCCGGGGGGAAGTAAAAGCAAAGTCGCACAACAGGCCAGATATAGGACCAGCGCTGGAACATCTCAATCTGAGAAATTGGACTGAGATGAAACGGCACGGCTCTGAAAACTGGGATACACACCAAAAACGAAAAAAAGAAAATGAATTAGTTTTATGAAGTCCACCTCATGGCCGCAAACGCAGCAAGAAAAAAAAAATTTCCTCTTTTTCAAGATGGCATTCGGGCGGAAGACTGATTCTTCTTTTTTTTGTTATTCAATAGACGCACGGTGTTTCCTTCAAGAAGCGTGCTCCTCGCGCTATCAAGGAGATCCGCGCCTTCGCTACCCGCTCCATGGTAAGTCAAGATTTAACCTCCCCTCTCATCCACTTTGGATGAACAAGGTGAAGGAAAGAACACAATTAACCATTCTTTCTTTTATTGCAACAGGGTACCACCGATGTCCGCCTCGACCCCCAGCTGAACAAGAAGGTCTGGGAATCCGGTATCAAGGGTGTTCCTTTCCGTCTCCGTGTCCGCATCTCCCGCAAGCGTAACGACGAGGAGGGTGCCAAGGAGAAGCTCTACTCTTACGTCCAGGCCGTCAACGTCAAGGAGCCCAAGGGTCTCCACACCACCGTTGTCGATGAGGAGTAAACGGGTGTCTTTTCTACCGGTTGAGTTGGTTGATACAAAAATGAATTCAAAAATACCTCTTCTGTGATGGCAATTTCTCTTTTTCCTTGTTCCTGGTTTTGTCTTTGTACTCCCGTAGAAACTCGCTCTCGTGACCCGACCCATCGCACTCTGTCCTGGGGATTACGTAGATGTATTTTGTGGCGGTAGCTTTTAGGATGACCGTCCGTTCACATCTAGTACCTAATTTATGGAAGTGATTCAATTAATTCCAGGTGTTTTACGTCAATATCAGCGAGAACTACTGCATGAAACATCATACCCTCAGTAGATGCAAGAGGTCAATTAACTACAACCCTATGTATGACCACCGCATACAAAAAGCGATCAACGCGTGCTAAGCGTCATGCTCTAAGAACAGGGTGAGAAACTAAAACAAGTGTGTATTTAAAAAGCAAAACTCCCAACGTATGCATATGGGCCATGGCCTGGGTCACAGAAGACAAGGGGGAAGAAGAGAAAATGAGACGAAAACATGCAATTCTCAAATCAAACAGCAAAGTGGTAAGTCGAAATGGTGACAGATAATACATCACAAGTCTTCGAAATCGGAAGCCTGCGAGTTCCCATTGAGCCCAGAATGAAAGGATGATCCGGGAGGTCGGGATGGGAAAGGTAGGTTGTTAAGTAGGGTAGCCGGGTAGTAGGTAAAAAAGCTGTTGAAATTCACATAATGCAACATTGCCATGTCCGCGTCTGTTCGTTCGTTTTAATAGAGCAATCTTCCAACTCTGAGATGAGGTGGTAGTCAATCGGTTATGATTTGTTCTCTTCCATTGCAGTTGCAAGTTTGGATACATCCTCTTTCTTGCAACGGATAGCCCACATTTCGGGAGCCCCCTCGGGTTGGGGAACAAGAAACTGGATGCTTGTTCCGTTAACGGTGTAATTTATCTCCTTCATCAATCTTGCGTTCAATACCACGTTACCGCTAGGGTTAGCTCTGAGCAGAACACGACAGCGGGATGTGGTTCGATTCTTTAAAATGCGGACGGAACCCACGCCTTGACTAGCCCAGCTGCCGTTGGCCATTTTCAGACCACGCGCTCGGACCTCAACAACAGCGTCTTCGTCCTCTTCGCCAGCGCCACTTCGAGAAAGATCAACCTGGGGCAGAGACTCTGCAGCATCACCGTCGCCGGACTCGGCTCCAGTGTCGGAAGTCACCCCAGGGGTCGATGCACGGCTTGGAGTTTCAGAGGTGACCGCTGACGGAGCCAAAAAGGACGAACTGGTTTGCGACGGGCCACCGAACGAGAAGCCAGGAGTTGTTCCCTGAGCACCGTTGGAACCAGATTTGGATCCCGCAGACGAAGCCCCAAAGAGCGTTGAGAAAGGGTTTGCCGGTTTTTCAGAGTCTGACTTTTCTGCTGAGGCCGGAGCCGTTGTTGTAGAGTCAGATGCGAACTTAATGGGCGTGTTGAGTTTCCACGTGTTATCACTGCCAGGCTTTGTCGGGCTGGTTCCGGTAGCGAAGATTGAAGGGGAGCTTGCGGCCGATGCTGCCGTCGAGCCCCCGAAGATATTCGTCGAGGCAGGCTTAGGCGTAGCGGTTCCATCAGACTTCTCCGCCTGGGGCTGAGATAGGGCACTAAATGGGTTTGGAGTAGATGCCGAGCTATTGAAAGACGACGCATACTTGGAGGAGCCAAGAAGTGAAGAGACCTTATCATCCTCGCCCTGGCGCTTCGGGTTTCCTTCTTGGTCATACTCAACACGGTCGAACAAACTGCGACCACCCGAGCTGTCCGCCGGCTTCGAATTCTTCAGGGCCTTGGTGAAATCACCTTCGTCACTGCTTTCAGGAGCAGAGGAGTCACGGGTGCCATTGGTTTTCGAATTAGCCTTGTCGGCCTCAAGATCCTCAGTTGGCGCGAAGGACGATTCTCTGGCAGCGTCATCGCCCGAAGCGGAAGCTTCCTCGGTGTCATCGGCGTCGTCATCATTCTCATTCTCTCCACTTTCAGATGGAGTCGCTGACAGATGACCAAAAATGTTGCTAGGCTTGCCTAGGGAGCTCGACTTGATATCCAAGATCGACGAGGCAGGGCTAGCATCCGACTTTTCCTCTTCTGTAGCGCTGTTCTCTTCATCAAAAGAGAAGCCCTGGCCGGGAATGAATACAGCACGTTTTTTCTTTTGCGCTTCAATCTCCTCACGCTTCTTGCGTTGGTTTTCCGCGTCTTTTCGTTCCCATTCTGCCTCGTCATCTTCGTCGGAGTCAAAGTCTTCGGCTTTACGCTTTGCTTTCTCCTTCTCGGCCTCCTTGTCAGACTTGGACTTGAACTGGGCGAAAAAGTTGGTGTTGCCAGAGCCAGAGCCAAACTTAGGGATAGCCAGAGGGGCAGCCGAAGAGCTAGCACCAGCATCGCCCGATGGCTTCAAAACAAAGGGGTTTGCTGGTGGAGTGGCACTTGCGGGTGCGGCGGATGCAGAGAACATAGGCTTAGGAGGTGATGCCGTTGGTGTTGTGGAGAACAAAGCAGGTTTGGTAGACTCCGGGGTGGACGGCTTAAAAGATGGAGCATCAAGTTTCTTAGGCGAAGGAGCACCCGCGGGTTCATTGGCTTCAGAGGTCTTAGATCGTGAAAAGGAGTTTGCAAAGATGCTCGCCGTCGTGGAGTCTCCGCCAGTACGGTTGGCAGGGTGTGGTGAGGATACGTCGTTAACGTCGTCCTCAGTTGCCTTTCGTTTGTTACTTGTTGCAGGAGTAGATTGGCTGGCGCCGAAAAGTTGGGGTGGCGTGGTCTTGCTCGGAGACGCTGCTGCAGCAGTAGAGTCTCCAACATCGCCGAATACTTTAGCTTTCTTGGAGGGCTGAGCAGCAGTTGTTCCATCGCTGTCGGTAGAGCCTTTACGCTTGGTGCCCGCGCCTTCAAGCGGGGCACCAATAGTCTCACGAGTGCGCAAGAAAAACTCAACAACGGCGTCGAAACTATCAGTGGCCGGGTTCAACTTCGCAACGTGGAGTTTAAAGCACTCATTCAGTAGGCGAATGCGGGAGGCCATTTGCACATCCTCCTTTGTGCTCTTATCTAGCCCAGCTGGCATCTTCGCAGGTTGTAATTTCTCAAATCTTGGCGTTTGCGCTGTAGAATTAGACGGGGGCGCCGCTTCTGCTGCTGGTTTAGTGTCATTGGTCTTGAACGGACTTTGAGGAGTCAATTGGGGAGCAAAAGAAGGAGCCGGAGAAGCAGCCTGCGGTTTTGAGATCGAGAATGCAGGAGATTGAGGTGCAGGAGCTGAAGGTTGGCTAAGGGTCGAAGCGGAGAAAGCTGAAGTGGAAGTAGATGCTTTTGAGAGCTCGTTCGTCTTTGGTTCTTCGTTCGACACAGGCTTCGAAGCAAATAGATTGGGTGATGCCGAGGGTTTCTGCTCGGTCTTAGGTGTCTCTGTAGCTGCTGGCTTTGGAACAAATAAGGTGCTGAACGGGTTGCCTCCGGCAGGTTGCGGTTTCTCTTGTTCTGAAGAAGCAGTCTTCGGCGCAAACAAACTTCCCGTTGATGGAGGTTGCGATGAGCCACTAAACAGAGTCGGGGCTGCTGTTGAGTTTTGAGAGAATGATGGTGCTCCAGTGGAACCAGAGAAGCTGAATGAGGGTTGAGATGGCGTAGGCTGGCTGGCTTTTGTTTCTTCTTTGGCTTTTTCCTCAGAGGATTTCTGCAATGTAGAGGGGGTAGGGGCTCCAAAAATATTCGTAGACTGGAACGGACTTTCTGCCGATGTTGCAGGTTTAGGTGTTGATGTACTGAAGAGCGAAGGGGTTGCACCACCAGTCGTAGATGCGGCACCACTAAAGGACGGCGCTGTTGGGGCCGACGATGTAGGTTGAGTTGCAGCACCGAAGAGAGACGGCGATGAGTTCGCGGGCTGCTCTGCTGGCTTTGCTCCAAACAGTGGCTTTGATGGCGATGCCGAAGTTGTGCCGCCAAAAAGATTTCCACCTCCAGAACCGCCAAAGTTTGTCGAAACCCCGAAGCCACCACCTCCGCTTCCAAACATTGGTTTCTGAGCGGCAGACTTCGCATCAGGGGAAGTTTGCATCGAGTCATTTCCGAATGCTGTAGACTGCCCAAATGCGTTCGGCTTGTCTTGCCCAGATTGGGCGAAAATACCTGTGGAGGGAGCACCGGTAGTAGACTGGCCGAACATGTTTCCATTTGTAGGAGCTGCAGTACTCGGTTGAAATGAAGGTCCACTGCTAGCAGCGTTGCCGAACAGAGAACCCGTGGAGCCACTTTGTTGGGAACCGGCTCCAAACAGTCCTCCGGAAGGCAGAGGTTGTTGGGCAGGAGATTGGCTTGTGGAAGGAATGTTGAACATATTTCCCTTGAATCCAGAGAAATTGCCCCCCGCCGGCTGTTGACTAGCACCACCAGTGTTCATAGAGGCGAAAGGATTGCTCGCAGGAGTTGACGATGTCCCACCAAACGAGGTGGAAAAATTGAAATCCGATGAACCACCTCCAGAACCGAAGGCAAATTGTGAACCCGTGTTCTGGGCTGGAGGTTTGGGAGCTGGGCTAGCCGGAGGAAAGCTTTGTGACTGTCCAAAGCTAAAGCCATTCGACATCGGCTGCTGGCCTGGTGATGGAGAAGAGACTGTGTTAGGATCGATGGAGTTGAATGGTCCGCCAAAGGACGCACTCGGAGCAGCTGCCGATGCGCCAGGAGCACGCGGCCGTCTTCGAACATCCTTGATTCTAGGTATGCTGTTAGTCAATGCACATAACGATATGATATGTCAAGAAAAGGTATATGCAGGGCTATTGAACGCAAGGGAAACGGGGAGCTTTGCGGAATGGGAAGAAGCGCAAGAGTAACACCAAAATTGAAAATATAGAAAAGGGCAGAAACCAGGCAAGCATGCGTTCGACATGCCGCTAAAACTCTAGCTGCTGCAGGGTGGATGTGCAGGAAAAGGAAATAGAGTTGCTCGCAAAGGTCGGTCAGGTAACACTCACTTTCTTGCTGCCATTTGCGCAGCTGTGGCCCGTTGGGGCTTTTCATCTGGGGTACTCGACATATTGAATTGTAATAAATTGCTGTCTTTGTCCCCTTGAGGGCCTTGGGCGGTTCTCTTAGACATTTACCAACACAACAATACTGCGCCCGCGGCGGTCACCCCTTCTTCAAATGCAATTCAAGTGGCCCAGGGCGCGGTTATCATTCACTGTTCTTCGCAGTTTCCAACGCCCAGCAAATATATTCCACTTCAGTAGACCTTGAGATCGTTGGTGATTCGTTACCACGACAACAATGAAGGAGCGTCGCGATGCAAGTCGGAGAGCCGGAAAAAAAAAAGGTTATGTGCGGACAAGCTCACGAACAGCGCACGACGGGGAAACCGCGATATTAGCGTTCGGAAACGATGTCAATGATAAAGGACAATACAGAAAATCTCCGGTTTCCTGTTGTCGGTAATCGTGGATCGAAATGCGCACGCGCTGGATCCGTTCTTGGGGGTGGGTAGGGTCGCGATTCGCGAAGCAACACAAGGAGTAAGGAGGATGCGGCGGGATAAGATGAAAAGAAAAGGAGAAAAGACAGAGCTAGGAAAGAAAATTGTTCATCGAAACCAGAGGAAAGGGCGTCTCTTTCCGATGTGCTCTGCCTGGGAGTGATGGGAGAATGCTGGCTGGAGCTACTCTTTTTTAGCCGTTGCTCGTTCCGCTCGCGATTTTGGCTGGGAGGAGGGACGGGGCCAGCTGAAAAAATCACGGTCACGTGATACATGCAAGGCCAGGTCTTGGCATGTGTGCAAACCATGAAACCACCTTTGCCATTCACATTCTATTGAGAAGAAAGGGAAATTTAGTTGCAGTCCATACACATCTATTATCTGCGCTCTTTTTATGTCTATGGCCTACCAATGATTCTGTTGTCTACAATAGACTGTATAGTCTTGTGTTACTATTGTCGAGAGTCATGTGATTCCGTGCTTGCTTACACCGCACCATAAGAGAATAGCAGTGGTTCCATAGCATGAGGGAAGAATGCACATGGAAAGCATGGGTATAATGTCCCACACCCTCACCGCAAGGTGATTCACAATCACTTCCCAGCACTCTTTTAGGAAACACTCAGTTTTCTCGCGGGACAGACTCTCTTTCGATGCGCCGCCTTCGGCCCCGTCGCTCACTTAGTCATACGCGCGTCGGCCGAAATGTCTGAAGACGGCAGGATGGGCGATCAAGCTTGAAGGCTTTGTATGGAGTACATGGTAGAAATCGACAGGCGTGAGAAAGCTTAACTACCTTTCTCCCAATTCGCGTTATTGTGGATTTAACGTCTACGGGTTTGAACTCCTAGTCCTGTGAAAACAACCCTGGCGGCTCCGGTTATCTAGCTGTCGCTGTCCCTTTGAAGTCGGATCAGGAGTAGATGTCAGCTGGCTCTGAGTCCTCTCACTGCACCAAACCCGGCCTATCCGGCATAGTGAGCATAGTGAGCATAGTGTTCGGAAATTATGTCTTGTTCGGAGATATACAAGTGAAATTGGAAATCTTCACAGGGTCTTATTTTTTCAAGAACTCAGCAGATCGCCATACAGCTAGCAAATACATGGGTGGAAATATATAAAACAGGGTATCTATAGCTTGGCCTTGCCCTGGGCCTTCTTAAGAACGGGCTCCATCTTGGTAGCCTTCATGATGTTGCCCTTGATCTTGAGCTTGCCGCCCATGAAGAGCTTCTGGGCATTGGCCTTGCCGGAAACAAGGGAACCGAAGTCGGCCTCGGAAAGCTGGAGGGTCACTGTTGGTCGAATAATGTTAGCACTCTCTCTTAATGTGAGATAAAGCCGCTATAGATGGTTAAAACTGACCATCAGCCTTCTTGCCAGCAGGAGCAGCACCCTTGCCAACAACGCCCTTCTCCTTGAGGTCAAGGTGCCAGCTTTCTTCCTTGCCCTCCTTGTTCTTCAGAGTGAAGGCGACAATAGTCTGAGCCTTGCTGATGGCATCCTTGCGCTCGGCCTCGTCACCCTGGAGGGTAGAGTTGATCACGTCGAACGCGGCGGAGGACTCGAAACCGTCTTCATGAGAAAGGTCGAGTTAGCAGGGGGATGTAAGGGGGTCGGGCCCAGATCAACTCACCAACTTTGAGAGACATTGTGGATAAAAGTGGTAGATTTAATTGTACACTTATGAAGGAGATGCAAACTTAGGTGTAACAGCAAAGCAAACAGAAGACGAGCGAGGGGGGACAAATATTAATAGTGATCGCATCGATCTGACCCCGGGATTTCGGGGCATGTGAACCAGGCGGTCGCAGGCCCGCCGTACCGAGGCTTCTTGCTCTTTTTGGGGCTGGATGTGGCTCTCCTGTGCTTTCCGCCAATCGAGTAAGCCAGCACACGATCCACTGCGATGGATCAAGCTCATCGAGGGTTTCCGTTCTCTTCAATTCTTGCGAGCTGTTGAGCGGAGGCGACGAGAAGCTCGGGCCTTGAATTCCAAGGTGGGAAACGCATTACGCGCTGTGGTGCTCCATCCACATTCCACACGCCCACATGCAAGCCATGGCGTGCCTCGCTCCCCCGGACTTTGGGGTTCTTCATATGACGATTGACAATATATCCCTGAATTTGTTGGCACTTTGATGTGAAAGAGGTTTAGTATCTCGTGTCATTCTCTATATACCTTTTATCTCAAGACTCTTCAATTTATCCCAGCTGCTGTGTAATATTCCAACCCCCAAAAACGAAGTCTAGCCTAGTGCCTTATCCCAGCCTCGAATACTTTGCGCCTCTTGCTCCGTGAGCGTAATACCGAAATAATATTTGAGAGCCTGCAATCTGCCTTCTTCCGAGTCGAATGAATGCACGATATTTGTCTTTCCTCCCAGGTTGACTTTGATCACGTTGTCCACCAACATGACTTTTCCGACGATCTTGATGTCATCATCGTCAAGCCGGATGTTGGGGTTGTCAGAGAACTGAACATCTTCGCCCTCCCGCAAGAATCGAACAACCAGGACAGTCCACCGGTGCAACGTCCTTGCGGATCCCCACAAATTCAGCACTTCAAAGTCCTCCTGAAAGAACTCGAGTTCTGCGAAGCTATAGAATGAGTTCCAGTCATTCTCCGGCGCATTTCGGTACTGGTATATCCAAAGTTTGGTATCCTTGATTCTATGTTTTGGGATATTATCATGGATAAGTCGGACCTCTTGACGGCCAAGGTTTTTCACGGCTCGTCCCTGCTCATCAAGGGGAAGCGGACTTGTTGGCCCATCCCCGCCGAACGCAACGTCGATGGAGAAACGTTGACCGGAAGGGAGGTGTACAATGTTGTTGATATGAGTGCTATCTCATATCAGCATGTGAGTCAAAAACTACTTCACGGAGCATGGTTGAGTGCGATTCACCCGCACCTCTGGTAAATGGATAATGCCATTGGTACTTACAATCCCTGATATTCTCCTCCAGGCACCCCGTTCGTTCTCGAACGGTTCCTGACTCCGGTCATATACGCGCGAAACCCCAGGGCACGAAGCATATGGTAGAAGAAGATGCTGAGCTCCATGCAATACCCTCCTCTTCCGTTGGCTCCATCTTTTCCTGGGCCCATCAACTTTTCATAGAGGACTTCCGGGCGAATGTCCACTAAATGTGTCGGCGAGTAATGGACAGAAAGATTCTCGTAGGGAAATTTCGAGATCTGGCATCTCATCAACGTACTGAGGGCCTCGTACGTTTTCGGGAAGATGCCATGATTCACGGTATATTCCGAGTAAGACGTTGGAAGACGGATATGCTGGAGCCATGCCGTGACCTGGTCCGTAGAATAGGCGGATTCCTCCACCATAGCGCCTGGGTTTATTTTCTAAGAAACCACTAAGAATGAGGCAGGTATTGAAAGCCAAAGCACTCGTTGATCCCGGGGTTTCTCGTACTTTAATGCCAAGACACTGCTACTTGACTCATTCGGTTAATTCGACTCCATCCTGCCATTCCTATTGCACCATCTCTTGTATTCGTTGCGAATCAACTAGACTAGATCGGGTATACTCAGGCCCAGTCCATGATCCAATTGGAGCCTTGAGCCTATCTGATGGGCTAAATCTCCAGACCATGGATCAAGACGGCTATGCGATCAACTCAATCAGAAAGAGGCTATCTCTGTGAATAGTACGTACAGTTCCTTCCCTCCAAGCTGTGTCGGTGGATTACCTCTGTTGGTTCTGGAAAACGAGCAGGAGAGCTTATTGAACAGGTAGTTTAACATTTGAGTAATTGCAAGGCAAATCTGTAACAAAGATTCTAAAAAATAGGAGATAGCAATAAAATTATGAAAGGATGGCTTTCATTGATCTGTAGGTCACTATTCTGCTGTCTGTCTATTGAACGGGTATAATATCAGAAGTTATGGCTTGAATGTGCGAGTGTTAATATATATATTGCCGTATATGGTAATATATTACTTTGGCCCGGACCTGACTCGGTGTTCTTGAAAGTTTGGAAAGTTTTTTTGCCACCCGAAGCTCAAAGATTTTGTAAACTTTTTTTGAACACAGTCAGTGGAGATAGAGTTCTCGAATCTTCCAGGCAGCATTGACTCTCCAGAAGGCAAACATTCACTAAATCTGCCTCGGGGCGCATTGTGTTATCGTTATCGAGGCGCAACACGCCAAGAACGAATGATCGCCCGCCGCGATTCTCGAGCCTCACAAGTCAACCCCCGTATCTGTCGCTACTCATCAGTGATTCTGCCTCACTCTCTTCTCGCCTTTTCCTCGAATCTGACTTAACACCCGCCTATCGCCTGGTGCTCACACCACCGTCTCTCCTCCTGCTTTCCCATGGACTCGTCGTTTGCCCGAAGCCTCGTTCGCGGCCTTTCCACCCGCGCATAAAGGTTGCCTTTCCGACACGCTTTTCGCGCCGTTGCATGCACCACTCGGTTCCAAAAATGGCGTCATCAGCTGATGAGACAATTGCTGAGATCCAGGAGGAACTGGAATTGCATCGAGTTATTTTACAGAGCCTGGACGACTCGCACTGCTCTCGTCCTGATGCCGCAGAACAAAGACAAGAAACACTGGATGTGATTAAAGAACTCGAAACGAAGCTCGCTGAACTACGCAGCAGCAAATCGCCCAGTCGCTATTTTCATCACCCCATAAGTTCAGCAAGTCCAGTCCCACCGCCAGCCCAGCTTGATGGCCCGAGTTCTACGAGACCTACGATTCCCTCGAGCCCACCCCAGTTTGGCCGTCCTGCGTTTTCCTCGTTACCCTCTCGACCTCGAAACTCGCAATCAGATATGCCCCGAGAAAACTCCTACGCTCGAAAACGCCGATTTGCCGATGATGACGAAGACGATGTAGGCCAGGAATCATCCAAGCGAGCGGCCATGTTCAGGACTGATTCTATTTTCAATCATTCCAGCTCGTCAACCTCGCGCGATGCTAGCAGTCCAAGTGATAAGTCAACCAGCGAGGATGATGGCGACGATCTCTTAGAGTTATTGGGACTTGATACCCATGATATGCGTGCTCTAAAAGAAGAACAAAGACAAGCGGAGAGATGGTTGGAAGAACGGAAGGAGCAAGAACGTCGCGATGAGCAATTTGCTCGCACTCTGTTGGCGCGTGATGAGCCATCACCTCCACGACAAGCCCCTTCATCGCCGATTCGTTCACAGCCCTCTTTCCCTGGACGCTCATTTCTTCCACCCACTATACAGCCCGAGCCTCAGGAACGCACATTTCATCAACCAACTTTTCCGACCAGCCACGGAACTCTACCATTGCCAGTAGACACAAGGCCAACTAATTATGGACCCGCTCCATCTTTCGGCATCAATAATAATTTTATGGGCCCGCAATTTGATTCTCCAAGGATCCCCTCCGACAGCGATGAGGATAGCGATCTTGCCGAAATCACACCGGGGGACTTCCACCTCCATACGGGCATAAGACCGACCCAGAAGCCTTCTCTTTCGAGTAGGGGGATTTTTGTTGGCCCAGACAGTGGCGCTCAACCCTATTATGGTGCCGTACCTGGACCGAGTGGCCCTGGTGGTCCTCGATCTATTCCGTGGGCGGATTCTATGCAATCAGCTATGGCGACACTAAGAGCAACTAGGGATCATTTCATGGGAGATCCGAGCAAATTTAACCTTCTCCCATCCCACAGTTCTTTCAAGAGTGCGTTTAATGGGCTCATGGGCAATGATTACCCTAATCCTCTTTCAAGACACGATTTACAGTAAGTTGCCCTATTGATCGCTATTTCGTTTCCCTCGTTTCGCTAATATAAGTACGTGCAGAGATTTATACGATCATGGAACAGACTCGAAGCAACTCAATGAGGAAATCAAGCAGCTACTGGAGACTATCCGGCCTGATGCTGATATCGCGGAGCAAGACCGTGAAGGAACCCCGGAGGCTCTGAAGTACTCGCTACTAGACCACCAAAAGCTTGGATTAGCCTGGATGAAATCCAAGGAGGAAAGTGAACAAAAAGGTGGTATTTTAGCCGATGACATGGGCCTGGGAAAGACCCTCCAAGCGATTGCGCTTATGGTATCTCGTCCGCCAACTGATTCCGAGAGGAAAACAACGTTGATAATTGCACCTGTTGCTTTGATGCAGCAATGGAAGCGAGAAATCCAGAAGATGCTTCGGCCGGGTCATCAACTATCAGTCTACGTTTTGCATGGTGACAAGCGAGCCGCGAGTTTCAGGGACTTGAAACAATACGATGTTGTTCTCACCACGTTTGGAACCTTGTCCTCGGAGTTGAACCGCGTTGAGAAATACGACGAGCTGCTCAGGTCCGGTGCAGAGGAGCCAACGCTGACCAGGCAGTACCTGAAGACTTTACCCTGTCTTGGACCTACCAGCAAATGGTATCGAGTAATAATCGATGAAGCTCAGTGCATCAAGAACCGTAACACCAAGGCTGCCCTTTCGTGTTGCCGCCTTAATGCGACCTATCGATGGTGCATGAGTGGGACTCCCATGATGAACAATGTTGGAGAGTTGCACTCATTGTTAAAATTCTTGCGCAACCGTCCTTATGGGGATCTAGAGAAATTTCAAAGAGTACGTATCCTAACTTATGTGGATTCTCTACGGGATTTTACTAACTGCTGAAATCAGGATTTTGGCCGGCCATTGAAAAGCAACAGCCAGAATTTACAGAACAAGGCAATGACGCAGCTTCGCGTTCTGCTGAAGGCTGTTCTCTTGCGGCGGACAAAGGACTCAAAAATAAACGGCAAACCCATCCTCGACCTAAAACCTCGGATTTCAGAGAAAGTGCATGCTGCGTTTAGTGACGACGAACTGGAATTTTACAGGTCGTTGGAAAACCGAACTCAACTCCAATTCAACAGATATCTTCAAGCCGGCACAGTTGGACGAAACTACTCAAATATTCTAGTTCTTCTCCTTCGCCTCCGACAGGCTTGCTGCCACCCTCACTTGATAAGCGATTTTGGCGTCAAGCTCAACGAGACTACCGAGGGGGTAGATTTCATCGCGAATGCCAAGGAGTTCAGTGGCGAAGTCGTTATTCGTCTGAGGGATAATGATGACCTTGAGTGTCCCATCTGTATTGATGCAGTGGATAACCCTATAATCTTTTTCCCTTGTGGACATGGAACATGCTCTGAATGTTTCTCCAGAATATCAGACCCATCACTCTCCCTTCAGCAGGGCATTGATGGAGCAATGGCAGTGAAATGTCCAAATTGCCGTGGAGTTGTCGACCCCAAGAAAATCACGGATCATGCGTCCTTCCGTAAAGTTCATTTTCCCGAGTCCTCTGGAGATGTGGCTGGATTGGATGGCTTAGACTCCGTGGTCAAACCTACCGGCGATGATGATGATGACGACGCAACTGATGATAGTGATGACGATGAGCAAGGCACACTTTCTGGGTTCATTGTGAATGATAGTGACACTGACTCGACCCCTGCTCGGAGATCGAAAGGGAAGGGCAAAGGCAAAATGGTTGACAGGCCTAGAAAGACACTCGCCGAGCTCAAAAAAGAAGCAGCGAAGAACCAAGCGTCGAAACGCAAGTATTTGCGCCGACTGGAAAAGACCTGGATCACGAGCGCGAAAATTGAGAAGACAATGGAGATAGTACGCAACGTTGACCACCGGGGGGATAATGAGAAGACCATTGTTTTCAGCCAGTTCACATCTCTTCTGGACTTGCTCGAGGTTCCAATTGCACGCGAAGGACATCACTATCGTCGATACGATGGAAGCATGAAGCCAGCGGATCGTAATTCGGCCGTGATGGAGTTTACTGATAATCCTGACTGCAAGGTCATGTTGGTATCCTTGAAGGCAGGCAATTCTGGGTTGAATCTTGTCGCCGCAAACCACGTGGTGATCTTTGATCCATTCTGGAACCCTTACATCGAGGAGCAGGCGATTGACCGTGCTCATCGGATTGGGCAGTTGCGCGAGGTGTTTATTCATCGAATCCTCGTCCCGGAAACCGTTGAAGACCGTATAATTGAACTTCAAGATAAAAAGAGGGCTCTCATTGATGGCGCCTTAGACGAGAAGGAATCGAAGAACATCGCCAGGCTGAGCACCAGGGAGCTTGCATACTTATTTGTACGTGTCCCCAGAAGACCCATTGAAGATTTACAAGTGACTAACATATCTGCTTTAGGGAATCAACAATTAGGCATTTTATATCATCTACGGACGGCGTTGGGGTATCTGGGCTCTCTTTTATTACTGTTTTCAATATACCCAGGGCAATCCGTTAAGTGTGTTTCAAATCGAGTTTTATTCATGTTGTTTCTCAACATATTCTCGGGTTCTACTTTTTGTCAGCAATATTCCAGAAGCGAGGTGCATATATCTTTGTTTCTCTTGCTGGGGCTTCCTTTCCTGTAATGATAGTATGGTTGCGTAGGTGGATTTCCTTTTTAGACCCCCATTTAGATATCTGGATTGTCTATTTGAATAGCACTGAGCCCATCAAGCCCCATCACACCAACAAGGTCGGGTTAGTAAAAAACCGACTGCTGCTTTCCCGTGTAGAACGTAGGTTCCAGCAGGCAACCATTCCTTCACCTTGCTTAGTCCTTCCAGGCGAGGACGACGCAAAACAGGGCACAATCCCTCCCATGCCAGCCCAATGGGTGGATAAAAATCTCCCCCGGGCATCGCATAGACAGACAGACAGGTGCTGCAAGGCTCAAAGTCCCTCACTGCTGCCTAACATTTCACCTCAATGCACCCATCCGGGGTACATGTATAGCTGCCCAATGATACAAACCTACCATATCAGACCGACTGCATATCGAAGCGCCGGAAGAATTAATAATCACAGCCCTGGCATTGTCTGATAACCTGGAAAAGCCCCAGTGTTTACTGTAGATAGACCAGATAGGTCCGTGCACACGATTGTCGCCCAACGATGACGTCGTTTTCTCGCTAAACTTGCATTGGCTTCACCGTTTTTGCGCATGTCACGTGGGTCTTATTTGGGGCGTTTGTGGGAAGAGGCTCTTGCTCAATAGTTCTGCAGTGGCGATGGACTATGTGCCTGGGCTGCTTATGGCAGGTCAATGGATGATACCTACTTGGTTAGGTGGATTGTGTTCGCGCTGCCTGGTCCTGATATCGTGGGGGCGTGCTTTGTAGAACATAATTTTCGATATTCAGTTCTATATCCAGTTCCTGCGGGTAAATCGTTTACTGTGGTTTTTATAGTTCCTGCGCATTAATTAATCTGACCGTTTGTATCTATATACACTCTTATTTTCATCCCTGCTTCCATGATAACATAGCAGTGTGTGAATGAGCACTTGAGTTTCCGGCAGGTCAAGTTTTAAAAAAGAACTGCAAAGATGAAGAGTAATAGATGAAGAAACTTTTCTTCCCGACAACTGAAATAGCTGCGATTTTTTTTTCTCATATAAACTTTCGGTGTAGGAATGGAGTCTAGACTACTAGTGGTAAATATTGAATGGAGGGAAAAAGAAAAGGAAAATCAAAGCAAATATCATGCCAGCCCTGCTCAGACCAATTCCACCGACCGCTTATCATTGTATCGTGATTTGAGACTTTGCGTGCATAAACGTTCCAAGTTGTGTTCGTTCTATTGGAGTTGGACGACGGGCATAGGGGTATGACCCGTGGTCCGATCCAAAACCCTCTCCGATCAGTGATGATCTAGAGGTCGGGGTCTTCCTCATCGGGGAGGGGCTGAGCGGCAGCCGCTTGCATCTCTGCCTCGTATGTTGCAACGAGTTGGGTATCGACCTGCACCTCAGGAGGTGCAAGGGCGGGAGCAGCAACGAATTCCTAGAGAATTTCTGTCAATACTTTCCTGAGATGGCGGGGGTTCGGGATTTCCACTGACCAGAGCGGCATTGCCAACCAATTTCCTGGCGAGCCACAGGAAGGGCTTCTCGAAGTTGTAGTTGGACTTCGCGGAGATGTCGTAGTATTGGAGGTTCTTCTTGCGGTGGAAGGTGATGGTCTTGGCCTTCACCTTACGCTCCTTGACATCGACCTTGTTACCGGTGAGGACAATGGGGATGTTCTCGCAGACACGGACGAGGTCACCTGTAAGCGGTGGTAAGCGATGAGGCTTTGCTAGGAAATGTAAATGTTGTCACATACGGTGCCAGTTGGGAACGTTCTTGTAGGTGATACGGGAGGTAACATCGAACATGATGATACCGCACTGTCCGTTGATGTAGTACCCATCTCTCAGACCACCGAATTTCTCTTGACCAGCGGTATCCCACACGTCGAATTTGATATCGCCCAAGTTCTGTTGAAAACGTTAGTTCAAGCGACAAGAGAAACGGCGAAAGGCCGAAGCGGGGTTACCAGCGGGCGGGGCATACAGTGGTGAAACCGACGGGGTGAACCTCGACACCGAGAGTAGCGATGTATTTCTTTTCGAATTCACCAGTAAGGTGGCGCTTGACGAAAGTGGTCTGTGAAGAGAGAAATTTTGAGGTTAGTTGAAGTTCTTGTTGACGATCTGGAAGCGGCGGGACGCCGGATTCTGCCTCATTGTTGATGGTCGCTTGCGAAGGAGCAAAAAGACGACGGAAGGACGTCGGAAGATCGAAGATGTTGAAAATAGAATAATAGCTATAGGGGCTGTAAAGGTCGCGGGATATCGATGGAAACTTGCCTTTCCAGTACCACCGTCACCGACAAGGACGAGCTTGAAGGTTGGGACTTGCTGCTCAGCCATTTTGTTGTTTATGTGAAATTAAGGAGGGGAAAATAGAAGATTTCAGAACGGAACCCGACACAAGACAAGAAGGGTCAGAAATCGACGGTCGAAAGACGCGACAGACGATGGGGATAGAAGGGGTGGGGAATTGACAGGGAGAAAATAGAGTGAGCGAAGAGATGAGCGACTCAAGTTTTGGTGATGGAATTTTTGCCTCCAGTCGGTCACTGTCTTTGTGGTCACGTGCCGATCGCCTTAGGCAACATGCCCCGCGTGTTTGAACTCTCTTTTTTGAATAATTTGAGGACGGAGATGCCACTACTGCTGAGTATAAATAGGATTGACTTCATGTCTCATTGCTATGCCCAGATGTCCGAGTTTTAATACATAGCTAACAACCTGTAAATGAGTAACGCCGTCCATGCTACTTCATACAAAACTCATTATCAAATCATGTCACATTCCTGTCTTCGGCCCTCATTCGTTTGATAAAGCGTCATACATGAAAGACGCCTATGTCAGACCTTATCATGTCTAGAGCCCAAGTTGATGCAATTGAGGTGCCTGAAGCAAATTCACGGTTGCTAGATGGGCAGAAGATGGCAACCCAACAGCCCACGACCGCCCCAATCGCGACGTGGCACAAGTTGCAGGTCCAAATTTGTGGTATTTCCGGGAGTTGCATCGGTTCGTGAAATTTTCACTATGATTGTGCGCTGAACGATACCAGTCAGCTGGGCGTATACTTGTTGGCTCGCACTAGATGGCAAGCCCACTGCAGGGAGACAGTCACTTACTCCTTCGTTCTGTTGAACCACCTCTGCCACCTTGGAGAGGCGCTCATGGTTGAGCCAATTAATATTGCCAAAGCTGCAGATAGAATCACCAGCTTGCAACCCGGCCTGGCTAGCAGGACTTCCGGCCACAACAGTGTTTACCTTCGCAAATGGTGTTAACCCACTCGTATCGGCCGCTGATGAAGTAGCTTCGGAAGACAAAGGAACGGAGCCGTTTGTAGTTCTGGTGGGGAGTGTGTTGTTCGTTGCGCTCTGAAGCCCGGCGAAATGAGAATGAATGCCTTTCTCAATCTCGGTCATGACCTCTTTATGATCGTAACGAAGTCGAATTATTTGTGCTCGGATGGTACGAACTGAACCAGGTCTCAGCGACTATGGTAATGGAAAGGAAGAAGTTTCTTACTTTGTGCAACATCGATATCATCCCGCGGAAAGCCGTCAAATGTCGTTAGCGAGGTGCTCATATTAACACCGTGCTAGTAGACGAAAGATAAGTCATTAAATATGATCATGAAAGGCAAAAAACGCCAATAAAGTCTTGTACTTACAGATCCAAGCACACTGCTAAGAGCTGATAGTTCTTCTTCGATTCGTTCCTTGTGTTTCATCAGGTCGTTCATCGATAGCTTCGAGAGATCGTGGGGAACCCCTCCGGACATAGATCCGGAGGATACAGTCGGGGCATGCAGATTGTTGGCCATGGGTATACCCATTATAAAGGGGTCTAGAACATGATTCAGGCAATCGAAGCGATGGTTGTGGGTGTTATTGAATAGTGAGTGTTTGGTGGCGGGCGGGGAAGTCTGTCGGAGTTGGAGGAAATCTGAAAGATGATCTGGGGTGCGACGCTTGGCATGTCCGCCGTGTCTTACAAACCAGATACTATATCCATCCCCTACCCTTTATTCTACCCAATACCTTATTTTACTCTAAAGTTTGAATACGGTACACAATCATAAGAGTAGGATAAAACATACTTTCACAGTCAATTGAATTTGAATGTGTTCCTATTTGAGGAGACCGCAAATTGTTTCTGGATGGCATTCAAGAATTAGTAGTCTATCATTCGAGTTTGGTGATATTGCACGGCCGCAGATAATTCCGTATTAGAATACAGAACATAGTAACCAGAACTATCATGCTTGACAAAGGATGCTTTTTCAATGTCTACCTTCGCAAGAGTCGAGGGGTAGGTTGACCCAGACGCGCTCCCTCTCACTCCTTCCCGTTCTATTGTGTTGATCAGCCCGGTCGTGGCTTCCGACTTGCTATGTGAGTAATACACCCAGAGCAAGACCTTTTTTTCTTATCACTGAGCATGTAAGCTTTTGTCCATTGGCTTTGACTGTGTTTGACAGAACGTACCTCCACATAGTATGGAGTTGTCCATCGATTCGCTCGTTAACCTGGATCTAAATTCCAGGAAGGTGATCTCTGAGTCCGATATCATTCAAACTAACTCCACGGAACCAGATGATGAGAAGCTTCAGTTTCAAGACTGCGTGGAAACTACCAGTAGTATTGATCGAGTTCCTTCTGACCGAAGTCCGATTTCCTCACCTTTCAAACGATGGGTGAACAGTTTACGACCTAGGAAGACGTTTGAACCACAACCATATATTGAAGGCTGGCAGTGCACTTCCCAGGAAAATGGCGGGCCAAGATACCTTTCACCTCATCAAGGCTCTTTGGAACAGCAATGGGAGAAGAGCTCTGGCAAATCTTCCCACCTAGGTACCATCAAGACAGCAACAATGAGCATTACGAGTCAGAGTGTTATCAGATCAAGGAGAACTACACAGAGTACCACAAACCAAAGCAAATCCGACATCCGGAACTCAATTGATAGTCTGAGACCGACTTTGACCACTTCAATTGACGAGGAGGCCCAAGCCCGTGCTACCAAACGACGGCAAGTGCTCCAAGAGATCATCACAACGGAGTCTGATTACATCTTTGACCTGAAGGCTCTTACGAATGTACGTACCATAGCTCTCTTGTACTTGCGCACTTTCCGAGTTAATGTATGTTTGCCTCTGTAGTTGCTCTTGATGGTATCAGCGCGCCCCGAAATATACTACAATGTCCAAAGCATCCGCGAAGCCCACGAGAAATTCCTGAGCCGGATTAAGAACCTGATACCAACGTATAATCTCTCTCGAATGCAGATCGAGCGAGTAATGCGCCCACACGCCGGTGATTTGAGTGCTACGGCTTTCCCTGGCCGGTCACTGAGAACGCAAAATCTAAAGGTGTTAGTTGATCGCCGCTTGAAGGAACTAGCTTCAGAGGCAAACGAAGCTCTCATAGTTGCTCGAGAGATTGGATGCTTGGTACGTCGCTTGCCCATTCTCGTTCCCGTTCCAAGACTGAGCCTGGACTGTAGTCAAAGTCTTTCATATACTACAAAGAGTTCTGTGAGAACTATGAACTCCTAACAGAGGATGCGTCCATTTTACGCAAGTCAATTCGGAACTGGCAAGGTTTTGAGCAAGGTTTAGAGGCTTTGATGAGATCAACCGCATCCATCGAGACACGTTCCCTCTACAGCAACAAATCATTATGCCTGAATGATATCCTTATCAAGGTTCGTGTCTTTGATCCATCTGTTAATTATCAGCCCTGGTTTCACTAACGGAACTTTAGCCCGCTCAGCGCCTCTGCAAATACCCGCTTTTGCTTCAAGAACTGTTAAGATGGACTCATATTCAGGATGATCCATCTGCGCACGATGAAATTCGGCGGGTTTTGGGGAGTGTCCGCGACCTCCTAGCGGAGATCAACGATGCTACCTCGACCACACTAAACAGAAATCTTATTGAGAAGACCTTCTTCCTCCAGGAAATGCTCGATTTTAAATCTGTAAATATGCTGTCTATATCTAAGTAGGTAAGATGTGACTAACGCTGTACTGATAGATCACCACTGTCGATATTTATAAACAGCTAGGACCTATGACTCTCTGTGGCGTATTGCATGTCACTTACCGAGCGTCTACCCAACCCAGACAGGTAACTGGAGCCTTCATGGTATGCGTTTTATTTAAACATCATTTTTTCCTTGCCAGAATGAACGGCGAAGACCGAAAACTTCGGCCACTTGCCTGTTTATACATTTCCGACATGAGAATAGATAGCTTAACGAATGGAAAAGGTATGTTGTGTATGACGGTATACAAGGGGGTTCCCTCGTTTACTAACGCCCTCATAGGTTATGATTATTACTGTATATTTTCCTGGAAGTTATTGTTCCAGCTTCATGACGAGAAATTTGAACTTGTTCTGAGTGCTTCGTCTGCGGCGGAAGAGAAGCAATGGAAGACAGGCATTCTCAAGTCTGTGGCGGCATCGGTTGAGGTGCCGAATGCAATATCGTCCGAACAACGGAGATTCTCATTCCTGGTTCTAGACGTTGTGCCAGAGGAGGAGGTTCCAGAGTTTGTACCTCAACTATCACGCCGACCTTCACTACAAACTCTGGGCACCACAGGTATGCAACGAGCCCGTTCGAACTTACAAGCAATAATCATCCGGAAGACACATTGCCCGCACAAGCACGGTCAGCCCCAACAGATTGATGGTGAACTAGAACGCTATAAAATTCCCTCCTTCGTCTCGCAGCCCTTGACATTCATGGCTAGAAGACAAGATAGGATCCGTCTAGAGCGCGTCATTCTGCACATTTACACTCGGGATGCACTTCCATATCCTGGCATGTTTCTAGCAACGGGGGAACTTTTGTTCGGGTCGAGTTCGATAATGAGGCATCTAAGTCTCCGGTCAAAGCGATATAACCGATCTAGCTCCATAAACTTACCGGCCACTTTGCAGAATATAAGTGAACCACAAGGAATCGATGAGGCTGACGAAAAACAACAAAAGCCGAACAAGCGAAAGAGACGGGATGCATCTGATTTCAGCCATAGCCTGGACCATGATAAGGGCTGGACCCTGCACAAAGATAGCGCCCTGCTCTTGGGCCGTTCCAAAACGATGCGGGTGAAAAATAGCCCTAGGACCAGTTATAGTCCTAACTCGCAGCCAGTAGTCAAGGTAGATAAGAGCCTCGAATGTTCAGAAGTTCCTCTTCCGCGCAAGGGTATCTGGTCGATATTCAACTCCATGTCATTGCGGCGATCAAAGAAGAATGCCAGCTCGAATTTTGGTGGAGCGTGATGATGCAACACACTTATGGATTGGAAGAGTCAGCGGCGGAGCGCCAGAGGCTCAGAGTGGGCTATATGAGATGATGTTTTACTCCTCTAACGGAACCGTCTATTACTCCGAATGTATGTAATCGTACATGGTCGCTGTGGGGATGAGAAGGGGCACCTGGATATTATTAGACTTGGCGAGACGTAATGAGGCATTGAGACCACCACCAAGACCGAATAAAGATGAGGGCAAGTCTCCACATGGGGACACATAACAAGGCAACCAGAAAAGGGAAAGAATGACATACTACAGAGCTTGGATCAGTGCTGTCAACAACGAGAACCTTCGGAGGATACCGATGACGTCGAAGGTGCTGATGGCATTGCGGGTTTTACTCAAGGACCACAGGGACCTATATACACCGGAGGGAGGTAATAGGGAGAATGGAGTCAAATAGCCCAATTTTCTCAAGAAAAATAAACCCCTGAACATCAAAAGCCCCAGTCTATCGTCAACTGCTGCTTAGCCTTCGTCAAACAAGCTGAACTCACCGAAGCTCAAGCCCCAGCACACCCGAGTGACGTCACCAATACTCATCACGCCAGCAGCTCCTCCTCTCCACTCCAGCTCTTTATATACCTCACGCGACACCCCTCTTTCTCTCAATTCTTCATACTCTCTCTCGATAATCTATCCTCCTCTATCGAATATACGTCTAGACATATCTCCAACCAAACTCTCAACTCTATACACTTCAAATACACCTCATATACTCACCACAATGCGCGCCAACGACCCTACCAACAAGATCTTCTACAAGGGCAAGTCTGACGACTTCATCGTATTCGTCAATGATGCCACTACACTGAAGAACTGGAAGAACGATTCCACAATCCCACTTTCCGACGTCGTGAACGGGTGGAAGATCTTCGTCACTCACAAGTACGTCTCTTCAACCACCCCACTCTACATGCAGCACACTGCAAAGACAAAGAAAGAGATTCGGAAGGAGAATAGTACAGTACTAACATAAATGCAGCCACGGCTCTCAAGGAGTCCTCGATGGCGCGAGCAAAGCCAGCCTTGAGAACGAATTCGGCACTCACAATGACGAGGAGTGCGTGAAGAAGATCCTCGAGGGTGGGGAGCTGCAAGGGTATACTGTATGTGTCATCTTCCCCGCTTCTGATGAATCCTTCTTTGTTTGAATTGGATCTTCATTGGCTTGGCTTGCATTGGTGATTATACGGACATGATGCTGACTATGACTGCTTACAGCAACGGGAACGAGGCGGAAATACCAACGTCCAGAACGGACCTCGTGGTGCCGGTATTCAAACCTGATGGCTGTTAGCGGAGCGGTTCTCTTTTTACTCTTGTTTTATTGCATGATAATGGATGAATGAGATGGCTTTGATGCCGTGGGATTGTACTACCATACTTTATCTAGGGCGTTAGTATGAGCCCTAGATTGACAGAAATGAAATGAAATGACATGAAAGGAATGCTTTCCCCCAGAATAATATATATCTATATATCGTAGAAATCTCTGGCTATAATTTAGGTTGTAAAATAATTTAATCTGGAGCCTAAGTCCGATCTTGAGCTTCGGCTTGACCCTGAAGGGCATTCCTACCCTGAGCCTGTCGCCTACTCACAACCCAACTCCCCAACTCATTCCACACAGCCTGCTTCTCCGGAAGAGACATCGTCGCAGCCAGCCCGCTCGTCGTGGTAGCCACAAACACAGGCGCCCCATTCCACTCACCACTCTTGCCCATATTCTCCGACTCATCCTGCCACCCATACCGAAACTCCTCTTTCCGAATCGCCCTCCCCTTCCGCGCCCTCCACACAGACTCCCATATACTCTTGCCCACTAGACACACCGCCTCGGGCCTCTTCGCGGCAACCTTGGCTTCAAGCACGGGCACACCGGCGTCCATCTCCGCTTTGCTGAGCATGCTCGCGTCGCGCGTGGCTCGCTCGACGATGTTCGTGTTTCCCACGTTGTATAGTTCCGGGAGCTTGTAGGTATCTGAGGGTGGGTGTCGGATGGTGGTTATGCCGGACCAGTGGAGGAGTTTCCAGAAGAGGTTTGAGGGGTGTGCGTATGCGAAGCCCGTTGTGCCGGTCATTATGCCTGGGTTCACGCCTACGAGGAGTAGGGTGAGGTTCTCGGGGATTGTGTCTCTGAGGAGGGAGGTTGGGAGAGAGGAGGGGGAGGATGTCTTGCGGTTTAGGGAGCGAGAGCGGGAGGCCGGTCGTCGTTCGGGCGTACTTGGGAGGGCTGGGGTTGAGGTGGATTCGGAGCTAGGCGTGTGAGAGGGTGAAGCTGAGGTTGGTGTTGTTGTTGATGAGCGGGATTTGGAGCGGGTGATGCGGCTGGGAGTTGTCACGTCTGATGATGGCGACGATGCCGTGGTCATTGATGATATAGGACCCTGTCTCCTTCGCTTGGGTGTCGTTTGAGTGTCGATGACGGTAGTATCTAACTGGCGTTTTGTCTCCTGGGTTGAGGAGCTTGTCGTTTCCGAAACGTGTACGTACTTATTTAGGACACCGTTGAAGCTTGTAATCTGGTTAACAGGGACATCGTCGTCGCCAAAATTGGAGCCGTTGTCCTTTATCGCCTCAGAAATTTGGGCCTCCATGCTTGCTGCTTTGCCCTTTGCTTGGTGAGCTGGATGGCGGGTTTCGGGGCCTGTGAGAGACTGTTGTGAAGGTTAGCAGTCACGAAGGGCTATTTATTTGTTTTGCCGGACTTTCTGCGGGATTCTATGAGGAATCCTTGGGCTAGAAATCTCGTATTCAAAAAGCTCTGGGCTTTGGTTGCTGCAAGACTTCAAAACCAAATTTGAGATCAACACGATGGCAAATCACGTGCATCAAGGCACCGAGGCAGAAACATCGCCAGCAAGTAGTATTGTTGCCTACAGCTTAGTTTGAAGAGGAAATTTGTTTAATCGTGCGTTAAGCAAGTAGTACCCCCATTTGTAGTATTATCAACGGCGATACTGATGCACAATTGCGGAGGCGGCTAGGTGCGGTGCATACGCAGAGAAGCATCAATTCCATGCTTGTCGATCTCCAAACGCCCGTCAATAGTAGAGGCTGAGAGACGGAGATAGAGGGGGCCATTGAAATCTAGACTTAGATCTTGACCATAGTTGAATTGACTATTTGACATGATGCGGAACTAAGCCGTTTGCATTCATATTCATTATTCATAGGTAAGGGCCCTCGTAGCCCTATGTCCCAATGCTCCGGTTATAGGGAGCATGCATGGTACTACCAGTTAGGCTTAATAGCTATGAATCGGGTTCAAAATTGTGAATTCACGGGCCTGGTTTCCTGTTCACCTGTTGGTCGCTACATTCACTCGTTTGCTAAACTTCCCTGACACCGAAGGGCGTCAAACTATATGGCCGCCAGACGGAGAATAAAAGGCCTGCAATTCCCAGATCATTTACCTATCTTGACCACATCACTCCCCAGCCTCCAGCGGAGTCAAATCTTCACATGCAACATGGCGTTCCTAATTTCTGGGAAAACCCCGAGACTCGATACAGAAGTCACCATTCATACTACTACAGACCCTGAGAAAGGCCTTGCAGATGGCAGCTTTTCAAGCGAATGCTCTACGCCCACATCTAGCTCGAGCGAGTCCTCCCAAGAGAGGATAGACAAGGGTATCGTCGACTGGGATGGCCTCTATGACCCAGAAAACCCCGTTAACTTCAGCTGCCTAGCTAAGTTCACCAATGTTGGTATTGTCACCACGTTGACATTCATCACCCAGTTGGCATCTTCAATGCTCGCTCCTGGTGTACCAGAGCTCATGGCGGAACTTGGAAGCTCAAGCTCGTTGCTGGCTTCGTTTGTGGTGTCGGTGTATGTGCTAGGGTTTGCCGTTGGGCCGCTGGTCCTGGCTCCTGGCTCAGAGCTGGTGGGAAGAAAGGTCATCTATGATATTTGCAATCTCGGGTTTACTGTCTTCTCTGCGGCCTGTGCAGTTAGTGGAAATCTGGGTATGCTTATTGTTTTTCGGTTTTTACAAGGCTGTTTTGGCTCTGCGCCACTCACCAATGGTCAGTATTTCCTCCTTTGTCCTCCTTAATGCACCCTGCCGGTATACTAACATTGAAATTTATAGGAGGTGGTACAATTGCAGACCTCATCGTCCAAGAGAAGCGTGGAGGAGTCCTTGCCCTGTATGCACTGGGCATCTTTCTAGGCCCTGTCATCGGACCCGTAGCAGGGGGTTACCTCGTAGCTGCACACGGCTGGCGCTGGGTATTCTGGGTCCTCACCATCATCGAGGGAATTCTCACCGTCCTGTCTTTTCTCTTCCTCCGTGAGACATACCCACCGGTGCTTCTCAAGCGCAAAACCCAGCATCTCATCAAAAAGACACGGAACACCAACCTACGTCCAAAATGTGACAATATCAACAGCCACAACCGCCGCTCCTCACAGCTCTTCATCCAGGCAATTGCCCGTCCCACCAAAATGTTTCTCTTCTCCCCCATCGTGTCCGCCCTCTCCATCTACGGAGGCATCCTCTACGGCTACCAGTACCTCATGTTCACAACATTCACCTCCGTATTCCAAACCCAGTACCACTTCCCAACCAAGTCATCCGGCCTAAGCTTCCTCGGAATCGGCATAGGAGCCCTCTTCGGCCTCTTTATAATCGGCATCATCTCAGACCGAATCGTCAAGGCAAAATCAAAACCAACCCCATCTTCCCCATCCGGAGGGGCTATGAAGCCCGAATACCGCCTCCCTCCGCTGCTCATCGGCGCGCTTTTCACCCCCATCGGCTTGTTCCTGTATGGCTGGGCGGCCGAGTACAAGATGCATTGGGTTGTCCCGGAGATTGGGACCGCGCTCGTGGGTGTGGGTAATGTTGCGGCGTTTGTGTGTATCATGGGATATGTTATCGATGCGTTTGGTGTGTATGCGGCTAGTGCGTTGGCGGCTATTATGGTTGTAAGGAGTATTATGGGTGCGTTGTTGCCGTTGGCTGGGCAGCGGATGTATGATGTGTTGGGATTGGGGTGGGGGAATAGCTTGTTAGGGTTTATTGCGGTTGCTTGCATTCCGGTGCCGTGGGCGTTGCTGAGGTACGGCGAGAGAATGAGGATGAGCTTTGATGTGAGGAGGTTGGAGTGATAGATGGTAGAAATATTTCATGTACTTGTTGCACCATAAAGCGCTAGCTAGGCCTATGACATATCCATTTATGAATACATGGTTTGGAATGAGGAGATATGTCAGGTAAAGTTTGTAATAGTCATTAGTTCTCGTGGGTATTATGTCTAAATATGTTAGGTCGATGTAGATGCAAGAAGCGCTACCAGAGCACCAGTCCCAAAGCCATATCAAAACGCCGCGTAATATCATGCAATGCTATACTTTCGAAGGTATTCGCCTGGGTAACGTCCAAGGCTCGGCACATATAACCTAGATCGCAGATCTATCAGCCAAATTATCCCTCAGCGCTAAAGTCCAAGACACCAACTCACCTCGCCTTCACTATACGCCCAGAAGTAAACCGCGATCCCAACGAGGTAGTATATAGCGGCATTCGTGCCTTGGTATATAAGCGCCGCCAGAATCGAGCTGAGGGGATAGAGTAAGAGGCGGAATTCGATGCTGCGGTGCGGCATTGTGCCGGCGAAATACTTTAATGGCCATTCCCATGCGACGCCGAGCAGGCCCATTAGGAGGTTGAGTATTTGCAGGACGGGTACTGGTTTGACGGCGCCGTCGAGGTTCTTTGTCCAGGTGTCCCAAAATATTTTCGGCCAGATGAAGGCTTCGATTGCGCTACCTATTTGGTCTGGGTTTTGATTGTAAGCCTAAGTCTCCTGGTTTGACTAGAAGCGGGACACTGAGGATTGTACGTACAGACTGACGCTGTGAGGACTATGAGGCGAGCCCAGTGGTTTTTGATAAGCCTACCCATCTTGGGTGGAAATGGGTGTGTTGGCGACGAGGATGGTTTGCGATACTTTCGTCCAGCGAAAGCACGTTTTTTGTCGCAGAAGTAGGCTTGCTGGGGGAGTAAAGAATCGAGGATCGGGAGCTTGTATTTCAGTTGTTTACTTCGTTGAAGAATCTCGTTCGCAAAATCGCCGTCCAATGTGACATCGCAGATGGAGTCGCTAGTTGTTGCTCTTGTTGACCCTTCGCCTATATTTGTGGCTTACAAGACTTGAATCAATGGGATTCAGTTTCGCCAATATCACAATCCGGCCGAGACCAAACGGAGAGGGATCGTGCGAAGATGGTGTCAAGTATCATGCCACGCCCAGGCAGCTTTGTTCCGAGGAAATGATTGTGGGAGGAGAGCCGGTTACATAGCTTTGCATGGCGACGAGGCGTGGCGCCTTGTATTTTGTCATCCATGAGAGGCTTGGGAAAGGTTGGACGGTCTTCGCCTACAAGGATTCTTAGCTGCAAACCAATCAGGCGCCAGGAACTCGTCGATGGCCCGCGACCCCGCTTGGCTTCTTCAGAGCACGAAGGTCAAAAATCAATGATTGGAGAGGGGCAGCGGCATCTGAACGAGGGTCTCCCCAGCCCGGCGCTTAGGGGAGTGACGAGAGCCAGGAGCAGAGCAAATAGGCATCGAAGACAGCGGGGACAGGAATGATTGACTGCATTAGTGCGATGCACGGGTGTGACGAGTGGAGATATTCTCCAGCAGATTCGCGGGAAGACGATCCAGCGGCCCGCTGGGGTCTGGCCGTTTAGGCCCTCTGATTGATCAGTCGCAAATGCGACGAGAGCAAACTTCTGAGGCCTGAAGAATCAGTCTCAATTCCCCATGAAGCGGGGGGAACCTATCGTTCAGGCGCATGTCCGCACGGGTTTCTCTTTGTATCTCTGGGCAGTTTCAATATGCCGGGTTGATCTTGCAATAATTTGAACTGAGGCTGATAACAACCATAAGGGGTACAGTACGTGGGAACTGCCGATTGTGGCCTCGCCCTTCACACACAGAGCGGATTCCTTCGTCAATCCGATTGTTCTCTGCCCGAGAAATCAGATCTTATCATCTGGCTCGCGTTCACCGTCTTTTCAACGTCGTCCGTGGGTGACCCATCCTTGGAGTCATGCCTCACGGGATCAATGCCCACTTCAACCATGGATTGACTGTGACGAGATTGCAGAGCCAAGGTGATACTTTTTTGAAGATTTTCAAGCCCCTCACACCAAGGGCCAACTCGCAATGTAGCTTTCACTAAACGATATGCGCAAGTTCGGAGATGATTTCTGCTTAGGCCTAGTCCCTGAAGCTGCGAGCTATATTTGGCAGCAACCAAGACCCGCAAGCCTGGGCACAATATGTCGTCGTAGTATCTTTTCGGAACTTCTTTTGTTTGTGGGGAGGACGAGAACTTGGCAATACGATGGCTGGGTTGTGGGTGGGAACGGCGCTTACAGGATCCCGTTTATAGGACAACACCCCGACAAGTCGCAGAGGCTCTCGCAAATCATAGAGCTGAAAGCCTGAATGAGTGGCATGAGGAAGATGCAAATATCCTCAGTATACCAATCATTGTCGTTTCCAGCTTCGTAAATTCTTCTCGAGCCACATGGCATCTCCATTTTTAGTCTCACAAGGATAGGAGAAGCACGGTCGAAGGTTGACAGGAGGCAGCACCAGCTTCTGCATCATGTCCAATCGTTAGATATGACGAAAGTGCCTGACTCGATCAAGGTTCGTGGCTGGTTGTGATAGCATCCATCGGGCATTTCTCCTTCACTGGGTCGGACAAGGAGAGCAATAGTCACAAAACAGCCATCGAATGATCCCGCGTATCTCCAATGGGAACCACCGCATTGACTCGGAGGAGGGTCATATCATATGAAGGTTTTGGAGCGTTTATTCAATCATCATCGCCAGATCGAGGGATCCGCTCGTCAGGAGAGTTGGATGGGCTTGCAGAGACCGTTGATTCGTTCCGTCCAATAAATAAGCACGATCGCAATTAACCCTTCGGTTGTCAACAATAGAATGTCTTAGCGCTGTTGGCTTGCCAGGTTGCCAGTTCCTTAAACTCGCCTAAGTGTTGCAGAGCTCCAGACGCTGAACCTCATCTCGCAACTGGCGCCTTTCCCTTTTCTCCCCCTCCTCATCTTTTCTCATCTCTCCATCTCCCCTGCAAATCACTACGTACCACATCGCTGGGTTCGCAACTCCACAGTATTTTCATCATTCGATCTTGCTTTGGAAATCATCTCGATAGTATGGTGCGACGGACGCTCGTCTTTGTTTGTCAATTACCCGCCAGTCTCCTCTGCTAAGCAAACAAACTCGCTGTCTTGGTCTGACAACAACACCACCACGCCACTAATTTATTAAAAAGTCTTGTCAAGCGGTCCGGAATTAATACGAGAAACAGGGAGCTCGAGTTCACGAAACCTTCACCCCTCGGGGTTCTGGCTCCTAGCACAGCGCTTTCCGGTATCTCATGGTGCCTCTCTAGAACGATATAAGGATCTCGTTTGCAAGTCAAAGGCCTCAAGACCGTGGCCGACCTTGAACTTTCCTATCGTCTTCTTCGCACGTTTAATCGATAAACAGTACCATCCATCGCCGGTCGATGGCCTAGTTTCCTATCAAAATTTCCATTTCCGCTCTTGTTTGCTGCGTCGACGCATTTCGGCGCCGCAAGCTCGTCGCCATGGGCCGCTATCCGTTGAAATCCTACTTTGCTCCCTCAAAGCTGTTCTTCTATTTTTGGTTTTGGGGCCTACATTTCGCTGTCTTTGGGATCGGATGGTTTGTCTTCCGGTATTAATTGTTAGGTTTATTGCTAAACTCTTCCAGGAACTATCAGGCAACGAGCAAGCCGTTGGCACCTCTGAATGCGCTTTCTTATTCAGTATACATTTCTCGAGGTTCTGGACTGGTATTGACTTTTGACGGGACGCTCATATTGCTGCCCATGTGCAGAAATATCATGAAATTTCTACGACCGAAGTTAAGATGGCTACCTCTTGACGAAACGATATGGTTTCATCGCCAGGTGGCGTATGCAATCCTGGTGTTTACAATTCTCCATGTTGCAGGCCACTATGTCAAGTATGTCAATTTCTCAAATGAACAAGAAACATAGTCTGACCCTTTGAAGTTTCTACCATGTCGAACTGAAGCAGCTGCGCCCTGAATCCGCTTTACAGATACATTATACGCAACCCGGTGGAGTAACCGGACATGTGATGCTTTTTTGCATGATGCTCATGTATACAACTTCACACCATCGGATTCGCCAGCAGTCGTTTGAGACCTTCTGGTACACACATCATTTGTTTATCCCATTTCTGTTGGCGCTCTATACCCATGCTACGGGCTGTTTTGTCCGAGACAGCACAGAACCATACTCACCGCTTGCTGGGGAGCGTTTCTGGAATCATTGTATAGGTTATCAAGGATGGCGGTGGGAGCTCGCGGCCGGGGGTCTCTACTTGTGCGAACGTCTTTGGCGCGAGATTCGTGCATTGCGTGAAACAGAAATCGTTAAAGTGATTCGTCACCCATACGGTATGCTAGCCATTTGACACAAGTATATCAGCTTTCACTGACCCTGAGCCCTAGATGCCATGGAAATCCAATTCCGCAAGCCAAGCTTCAAATACAAGGCCGGACAATGGCTTTTCATCCAAGTCCCCGAAGTGTCAAACGCTCAATGGCATCCCTTCACCATTACCTCCTGTCCCTTTGACGAATACATCAGCATCCACGTACGTCAAGTCGGTGATTTCACGCGTGCACTCGGTGACGCCCTGGGGTGTGGTCCTGCACAAGCAAGGGACTTGGAAGGACTCGACCCTATGGGAATGTACGAAGTCGCACTTGAAAACGGACAGCAGATGCCAAAGCTCCGAGTTGACGGACCTTACGGTGCTCCGGCCGAAGATGTTTTCGAAAACGAAATCGCTGTCCTAATCGGAACTGGTATTGGTGTGACGCCTTGGGCCTCCATCCTCAAAAACATTTGGCATCAGCGCGCCAGTCCCAACCCTCCCAGACGACTTCGCCGTGTCGAGTTTATCTGGGTCTGCAAAGATACGACCTCCTTTGAGTGGTTCCAAGCCCTCCTATCATCTCTAGAAGCTCAATCTGCAACCGACGCCGCTTATGCAGGGATAACAGAGTTCCTGCGCATCCACATCTACCTCACACAACGTCTAGACCAAGACGAAACCGCCAATATCTACCTCAACTCCGTCGGCCGAGACCTCGACCCCTTGACTGAACTCAAGAGCAGAACCAACTTCGGCCGCCCCGACTTTAAGCGTCTCTTTACGGCCATGCGGGATGGACTGCAGGACCAGTCCTACCTAAGAGGACTAAATACGCAGTCGAAGACCCGTATCGGTGTTTACTTTTGCGGACCTAATCTTGCTGCAAGGCAGATTAAAGCCGCGGCAAAATCTGCGTCTACAAGCGCAGTCAGGTTTAAGTTCTGGAAAGAACACTTCTGATGTCTTTCTGCTTACGCCCTCCGCCTCTTTCTTTTTGTTTTTCCCTTTGATTTTAAGAGCCTTATTATACATCTTTTGGAAAGCACCAGGTACCTGTTCTATATATCTTTGATATCCCCTGATGAAGTCACGACCTGATTGAAGCATATCGTTTGGATTTTGCCTGTGCATCTCTGTACTTGTTCCGTGATGCTTGCATTATCCGCTGTAATTTACACTACGCACAGTATATAGCCTTAGAGTTTTGATTGAGCGCAAAGCAAAAGAGATATTAATCAACCTGATAATATTTTATCTTGTTTCTCACTTATCTTGCCATATGGTAATACATATAACCATAACATGTATGGAGCAAAATCACCTAGTATTCAGACCCATTTACATCTGCATCGCCTCATCCTCACCCCCGCTATCAACGTCATCCGGCATAGATATAGGCATTCCCAGCGTGACACTTTTCTGTTCCATCTTTGCAGCAAGCTCATCCAGGTCACGCTCAATATCAATATGAATACGCAGCTCCTTCTCAACAAGGACATTGTAAACATGGCGCAGTTCAAAGAAATTCATTCCCTCGCCCTTCATTGACCCTGGCTCATGGTGTGCGCCGATGACATCTTCGCGGAGATGAGTGAATGCAAGCATGAGGATATCCTTTGACCAAGGACAAGCGCGCATAGCGCGGTAAAATACACTCTTGGCGCGCGCGATTTCGTTGCGCGACAGCTCGAAAAGGATGTAGAGCTTCCAGAGAGAGATACTGGAGCGACCTGTGGAGGTAGATGTAGTATGCGATGATGATGAAGCTTTCAGGTCGCCGATGGCTTTTTCGAAAGCTGCACGTACAGAGTGGAGCGTTGAACCAGCGTATGTTGGGCGATTGAGCTCAGTGTAAATGGAGAATAGGTGAGATGTTATTGGGATTGGGTTGTGGTGGGACTGGGTTTCTGTCGAAGTGGTGCTAGTGGTGATGTCTCTCATAATGTCGCGGACGCGCTCTTCGATACGGAAACGGGATTCGTTCCAGGCGAATAGGGAGAGAGTGATCGTGTTGTGTGGGAACGAGGCTACACTTTCCGTTAGGATGGTGCGGATGTGGGATGGTTTGTAGATGGTGCTCGTTCGGATGTGGTAGTAGAGGAGTCGTGCTCGGGCCTGATGGAGGAGTTCAATGGTGTAAGACTTGAAGGTCTCTGTGGAATCCGAGCTGGGGAGAGTATATAGTCTGTCAATTGAGGAGGCGTATGCTTCGAGCGATTTATCGAGGTCTTGGGCATGAGTCAGATAGGTTAAAATGGCCCGACAGTCCGTACACGCCTTGATGATGCTAGGCTTCCGGTTTGCGATTGCGCTTTCCTGGGTCTCGGATATATACTGGATGAGTTAGCCATTTGCATCGAAAGCGAAAAAAAGGTTTTACTTACGTTACGTATTTTCAATAGATTTGCCGCGCTAAACGACGGGAGACATGATATATCAGGAAACGCTGTTAGATCGATGTTGTTCTGCGGCATAGAAACTAGGAGATGGGCCGCATGGGCTATGCTTCGAGCCTCCAGAAGTTCCCAAACCCAAGTATGCCATAAAAGAACACCATCAACCTTTTGTTCACTGGGTAATGGTTTGCTCATGGAAATAGCCGTTGCCCACACATGGTCAGCGGCTGCGTCATTGTGGCCCCGGCGTTCCATGAGTGCGTATGCATTATATAACCGAAGACTAGACGGCCGCTTTTTAAGGAGCGATTTAGCATACTTTTTAGCCTCCTTAGCATTGCAGACAAACTCAACCGCGACTGTATATTCCGCTAGGTCCTCGTTTGATGGTGTAGCGTCGACCAACTGTCTAAGGGTTCTCCGAACCCAATCACGGACGACGTTAGATGTTGGGTCAGACGTCGCCTTGAGCCAGGAACTAAAGGAAAAGAACCAGGCTTCAGGATTCCCGAAATAGGTGTCGAAACTATGGATGAAATGTTGTGGCGAAAATGTGGTTGGAGGTGATATGCTAGACTCAGTCTTGCCGTTGGATGTCGGAAGCCAATCATCTAGGCTCGCATAAGACATGGCTGACAAGTCGTTTTGCAGGAAACCATCACCCATCCAGGTTCCGGTACTCCTAACGTTGTTGAAGGTGATAATAGGGGGAAGTTGGCAGAAATAAAGAAAGCTATCAACAAGATCAGATGTCGAATTTGGTAGTAAAACTAGAGGAAGAAACTCTCTCAGATCGGCTGGGAGAATGACGCGGTATGGGTCATCCTCGGGCTCATCCAAACTTCGCGCTGGAAGTTGAGCGTTGAGCATACGTTCTCGTTCACAAGCTGTCCACGATGCCAGCATCGTCTTCTGGTTGAGTTGGCACCTTGGCTCGAACACCTTGGGACCGAGTGGTGGTGCGTTGCTATTTTTCCAACCCTTCGCCCCTAGCTCACCAATCCGCGGAGCCTCCGACTCCCAGAAATCGGCAAAAGCAGCAAGCACTTCATCTGCGTTGGCGTTAACGTCTAGACCTTGCGGCAAGAAGAACGCCAATTCAAGGATGCCCTGCCAAAGACCTATTGCCTGCTCCATGTAACCTGCTTCGCGCAAGAATAGAGTCAGTCGGAGGAATAGATACATTTGCACACGGGTTTTGTCGGGGCCGTCAGGAGAGGTCCTATTCAGACGCAGACATTCAGTGAATGTCGCAAGGCACCGGTCATGTGTAAAATTTAAGAACTCGGTCTGGCGAAAGTCGAGATATCTAACCCAGAGATTGATGTATTGGGAATTAGTTTTCAGTGTGGAATGCCATTGTGAGAGCAGCTTTTGTGTATCCCAAAGCTTCGAACCCTCTTCCAACAGTCCAATGAGAAGGCGGTCTCGGCCAAGACTGTGCCCGACCTTCTTCAGTGCCTTTTCGTACAGGGAAATCCTGATATCAGCCAGACTATTCTGCTCGGCATTTGTCAAGGAGCCTGTTTGCTTTGCGGAGCCCCTAAGCACGATTTCTTGATGGTCAATAAGCCGTAGCCACGCCTCAAAATTTCCTGGATGCTGTTCCACATCTCGAGATAGTTCCACGTTGCGTTGTTTAATTTCTGAATCTGGGTCTTGTCGAGTAGCCTCTTCGCCACTCAAGTCGGAATCGGACACCGCTTCCAGGTCGCTAGGGAGACCCTCATCGGGTTTTAGCTTGCCATGAATGGATCGATACCCATGTTTATCATCCTCTGAGTCTGACGCCTCGGGAATATCCTCGTTCTGCCTTTGACGGGTCTCTCGCAGAGGTACAAAGTCTCTCGACGAAGCGATAGGATCACTTGCAAACGATGTTGGTCGGACTCGTAGGAGCCTTTGCGGCGTCTTTTCGGGCTTATATAATAACCTCTTTGACCTAGACTTCGCAGAATCTGTGCGGTTTGTGTCAGCTCTCACAACTATCTCATTCTCGCCGATCGTTTCACGGTCGATCCTGTAGTTCGGAGGAAGTCCTAGTACACGGCCACGGCCAATGCGATAGTAGCGAGGCACACTATATCGGTGTATCGTTCCGTATATCAGGTTGTACTTGTCCCCTTTCCGGTCGACAACATAGAAGTCTGACGAGTCCTTTGTCGGTTCCTTCACGACGTCCCTTGGCGGCGGCGTGGTTTCGCGAACAAGCTCCTTGTCGCGACGGCTTGTTTCCCTCCGGGAACGATGGGTTTCTCTGCGATCGCCCCTCCGCTCCCTTGACCGTGAGCGGTGGCCATGATGGCTTCTATGTCTCGAACTGTGTTTCGACCGATGTCTAGGCTTGTCTTCGCTTTCAACTCGTTCACGGTTCGGGAGCTCGAGAGGCCGATCGTTATCGGGCGGAGCTGGTCGGGGTTTGAAGCTGGCGAACCGCGGGATAGCCTTTTTTTCCTGTAAAGAAAAGTCAATAAGAAGAAGGGTAGAGTTTGGCCTTTATAGACATACCTGTGAGCCAGACGAATCCATGCTCCCGGACGTGCGACATTGTTGATGTCAGAGAGGGCGTGTAGATAAGAAGGTGGTGCTGGAAAAACTCCGCTCCCGCTTTCCGCCTTTCCTGTTGAGGAGTAAAAAAAAAAGTTGCGGAGCTTTGAAGATTTCCGCTCGAGCATTCCTCTCAACCCACCCAGTCTTCTCTGGAGTGTTACTGTTTCTATCATCGTCAGGGGATGGACAGAGTGCTCGCATCTCAATAAGGATCTTCTTTCCCTTCGAAAATGGCGTCGTCCCTCGCCGCGCAGCTGTCGCAGATTGCGGCCAACTCCACCAACCAGTTGAATCTGAAAGCACAGAGAGTCGCGCATTCGCAATCTCTGATTTTTGACAAAAAGGTTGCCGGATCCCAGGACTTTGATACGATTTACGACATTTGCTTTGACGGTTTCCGGGAAATATGCGAGCTAGATCCCCGTTTTGCGCAGTTCGAGCGTTCGATCTTCAGCGAGCGAAGCAAGGCCCAGGATCGGACGGAGATGACCGCAGCGGAAAACAAGGAATTGGATTCAGTATTGGAAGACTTCATGGCATTAATTGGCGGGAGGTTATTACTGAATCCCGCCGTAAAGGCTGCTGAATGGCTCATCAGACGCTTCCGGTACGTATCCGACACGAAGGGCCAGGCTTTTTTTTATGGCTAACAGTTGTGCAGAGTACATGAGTATAATACTGAATTCACCATCCTTACATTTTTACCATACTACCCTACACCTCTATTCCTGAACCTACTCTCGATACTTCCCGAAGACCTTCCATCGGCGTTCAAGGTGCTCATACCATATAAACGGAGTGCGATGAACCCTGTTCGACAAGCCCTCGTGCAAAACGCCATCTCCAACCGTGAAGTTATAACCGCCCTCAACAACCATGTTCTTCAGGTTAGTCGAAAACGGGCCCACCACCACGCACTGCTGTCTTTCTGGGCGGGGATAATCACCGAGGGTGTTGCTGGGATGCTGGATTCAGCACGCTCGGGCCGACGAAATGTTGAAAAGCAGAAGCACGACGGTGTTATACTCCATATCCTTCCAGTTCTCAACAATGGCTTGTCATTGAAGGATGTTTCAGAACTGGTGATTGGGTGTTACATGGTTTGCGTTGTGCTCGCACAGAAGGCTGAACTTCAGGATCAAGTCCTGGATGGGCTGATGGAAGGTGTTGCCGGGTCATGGACGGAGGAAACGCTGAGTTCTGGCCTTATATGTATTGCGGTGCTGGCACAACAGAAGCCCGAGCCCGTATTGCCGAAACGGGTGTTCAAGGCTCTGCTTCGCTTGGATGACCCATTGAAGCAAATAGCTGAAATATCAACGGAGTATAAAACATCTCAGCTGCTTCTTGGGCTTGTGGCTGGCTGCGTTTGTGACCTCCCAAGCCAAAAAGACTCGACCCGCTTGGATCTATTGTCCTTGATGTTTGAGAGTCAGCTTTTGGGCGATGCCGAACTGAAAGAGGCCATGGCCTTGGTTCTCCGAGCCGCGGGCAGCATTGATGGGTCAATAACCTTGGATGCTCAAACGCATCTTGCAGATCTTGTCCAGCACTTCAGCCGGTCAAAGTCGCTCCAGCCAACCTTCCAGAAGTTGATTGAAGAGTCGTCGCTTGACCTCAGCGTACTAGAGCACAACTTGCAAACAGCCATCGAATCTATTCCTGTCAGCAAAGCGATCGAAGATGTGGAAATGGAGGATGCAGATAAGGAAGTATCACAGACAGACGCTTACCCATCAGCCCTAGAATCTGTGGCGAAGGAGAGCGCGTTCAAAACTTCATTCCTCAGTGGGCAGTCCATTCCGGTGTTCGATAAACTTGTCCAGGTCTTCGCACTATCCGTTGGCTCTCAAGAACGAATGAGGTCCTTTACCGAATTGCCTGTTTTATGCATGGCAAACGCAACAAAATCCCCTCAATTCCTTTCGTTCTTCATCCGAGTCTTCACTGGCCCATACCCAGCCGGCACAAAGGCCGCCGCTTTGAAGACCATTTCCTCCACCCTCAATTCCGCGGCCTGGGCTGACCTCGATCTTCAAGCGGTATTGCCTTTCATGCTCGTTGCCCTATCAGACCCCGTCGAAAGGGTGCGCTCCGGGGCTGTTGATGCCTTGGCGGTCATTGGAAAGTCGGCTGGAAAGAAAAAGAAAAACACCGTCTGGGCTCGCGATTCTCTTTATGGGCAGGACAAGCAATCGAAGGAAATTTCCTGGCTTGCCGCCGGCGATTTCCAGAAGGTCTTGGAGCGGGCTGTGCTCCCTGAATTGGAAGAGTGTCGATCTGATGGTGAGCACATTGGTCGCGCTCTCGAGAACGCCTTACGAGGATCAGCAACCGATTCTGCTTCTGCACTCAAGAAGCCCTTACGACTTGCTTTATTCTCGTGCCTCTGTTCACACGCTGTGAAGATTCCTCTCTTTGCCCCCAAAGCCGGCTTGCTGAGCTTGCTCAACCGGGTTGACAAGGCTGGCGGCACAACTCGGACTAAGGAGCTCGAACCGTTGCTGAAGTCATGGCGAGGTATGAGTGACCAAGAGCTTAAGGAAATCCACGAAAGGGAGCATGTTTCTGTGTCTGATTTCGAGGATCAAGTACTCAAAACAGTTACGCCGAAGGAGAAGGATTCTGTCCATCTCCTTCTGTCCACCGTCAACCCTTATTCGGCGTCACTCAGACCCTCTTTCGTATCTGCTGTATTCAACCGCATTCGCGACGTCTGGGCTAAGGTCCCAGAGGACCGCCAAATCGCCGCCGCTGAAGAGCTGTTTAATATCTCCATTCAAGATTCGGAATCGCCTCTTGTCCTTCACTGTCGGGACATTCTCCGTAGCGTAGAGCTTCCTGGCTCTGTGCTCCTAAGCTATCTCCAACAAATTCCTGTTTCAATTACAGACATCGACTCCCTCGGCCCTGCGCCAAAGCGGAGGCGCACCAGCCAGAATAACATGGTGGCAATGACAACTAAGGACGAGGCCAAACTCAGCAAACTGATGGACAAGATGACATTCACCCTGGAACTTGTGGACGGCTCCAATCCAGAGTCTCACCCAGAACTCACAGAAGGCCTGTTCCAAGCTCTGGCGGCTCTCCACCATTTCAAGACTCAAATCCAATCTGGCATGAGCTACCTACTCAGCTTAACGCTTGGTAGCCTCCTTGCCATCGTCAACCGATCGAAAGGAAGTGTCAAGGCACAATTCGATACGTCGGTTGTGCGGGCTGATATGGTCGTTGATTGTGTCCGCACCACGGAGAGCCCCCAAGTTCAGAACACAGCTCTTCTTCTAGTTGCTGGTCTGTCTGTCATCGCGCCCGAACTGGTTCTCCACAGTGTAATGCCCATATTCACGTTCATGGGCTCTAGCGTTCTCAGGAAGGACGATGATTACTCGGTTTCCGTTATCGACCAGACAATCGATCAGGTTGTCCCGGCTCTAATTCAGTCGCTACGACACCAAAAGCGTGATGTTGTTTCCGGGACATCAGAGCTTCTACTCAGCTTTACTGCGGCTTTCGAGCACATTCCTTCTCATCGCCGTCTACGACTATTCCATGCTCTGATCACCAAGCTAGGGACGGAGGAGTTCTTATTCGCGGTTTTGGCAATGCTCGCCAACAGATATTCCACAGACAAGGCAGTTCTGGTCCTCATGACGGGGTTGGTCTCTGATGCTGATGCAGCTGTCGAATTGACTACCTACAGTAAATTCCTCAACTTGGTGAGCGACTCGCTCAAACCCAAGCCCGGAATCTCGCAGGTCCTTCTCGGTATCGGCAGCGATGACGGCCGCGAACCTCACAAGGTGGCTGTAGATCTGCTGCGCGCGTTGGCTTACCTTTTCAAACATTCATCCTTGAAAGTCAAGATCGCCAGAGCGCTTACAGCTGAGACGAGCGACGCAGACCAGATCCGCGCTCTGTTCTCCAAGATCCTCGAACAGGTTCTGGCAATTGGAGAGGCCATGCAGAACGTTAAGCCCGTTCACCAGGCTGCAGGTGATGTGCTCAGTGGGCTATTCAGCACCCTCACCACTGTGGACTTCCTCGACACGATCGAAGCCTTGCTTAAGCGACCTGATGACGCTCTCCGCCGGAAGGTTCTCAGCCTCCTTGCCATTCGCCTGCAACAAACTCCTGAGCGGGACGGCGACTCCCAGATGCGCATGCTCGACTTCGTGACTGTTTTGGTTGATATCGTGCAATCGTCTCCTGACATCTTGCTCAAACACGCGGCGGTGACTTGCATCGACCGTATCACGGAGAAGTATGGCAAGAAGGAGCCGTCCAAGGTTACGCACGCCGCACAGGTTGTTGCCAGCGCCTCGTGCATTGGCCAGGAGGACGACCGCATCCGCATCAACGGCGTGTTATGTCTTGCCTCGATGGTGGAGGTGCTTGGACAAGCAATGATCCCTGCGCTCCCAGAGGTTCTCAACCGCTCGTTGTCCTTGCTTGAGCTTAGCATGGAGAGCAACAAGCTCAACACGAGACTTCACGATGCGGTGTTCACCCTCTTTTCTTCCCTCTTCGTCCACCTCCCTTACATGGTCTCAGCATCCCACCTCGACCGCTTGCTTGTTCTTTCCTTCAAGTCAGCCGCCACAGAGGATCTTGACAACGACAACAGACAGGAATCACTCCGCTTTATGGCCCGAAAGGTCGACATGGGCTCAACGTTTGCGTCCATCGACCGCAACTGGGAACAGGCTGTGAAGGCCGGGCCGGCGGCTACCCGTGAGGTCCTAGAAGCCGTTAGCCTCAGCATCGAGAAGCATCCCAAGTCTGCGACGATGAAGAACCTTTCCGTCCTGACAAGCATCCTCTTCCGCGTGTTCGACTTGCGTCGGGAACAACTCTCGCTCTCTACAAAATCCGTGTTCGATACTTCGGACCTCGAGGAGGTTGAGGATCTTGCCAACGATGTCACGATCAAGATGATCTACAAGCTCAACGACACGATCTTCCGCCCTATCTTTTCCAAGCTGGTTGAATGGGCAACGGCGCTCCCGAAGAAGGATACTCAAGGCAGCTTGGCTAGGTTAACTACCTTCTACCGCTTCCTGCAAGTCTTCTTCAGCACTCTCCAGGTACGTTTCCCCCAAATCCTGCTCAACCCTTACTCCAGAAACAAAAAACTAACATCATCTTTAGTCCATCGTCACCGGCTACGCCAGCTACATAATCGAAAGCGTCGTCTCCGTCCTCTCAACCGCCAGCCCATCAAACCCCAACACCAAATCGCTCTGGCTCGCAACCATGCGCATGCTCCAAAGCGCCTTTGAGCACGACCAAGACGGTACGTCCCAATCCCCCCCCTTCAAAAAAAAATAAAGTAATATAAAGCTAACGCCCCACAGAATTCTGGCAATCCCCATCGCACATAACCAAGATCTCCACACCGCTAATCTCGCAACTCCGCCACGCCACAAACGCCCCCACCGCAGCCCTCATCACCGACGAAGCAATCCCCACAATCACCGAGCTGGCCGTCGCCGCAGACTCCACAGATAATCACAAGGAGCTGAACTCGGTGCTTATGCGGTTCTTGAGGCCCTCTTCTGCTGCTCTTACTAGCGGTAGTGGTGGTAGTAAGAAGAGTTCTGTTGGCGGTGGGGACAACCCACACACGCGCATTGCGGCTCTCAAGGCTGAACAGGCGCTTACTGATCATCTTGGTGAGGATTGGCTTGCGCTCTTGCCGGAGATGTTGCCGTATATTAGTGAGTTGATGGAGGATGAAGATGAGGGAGTGGAGAGGGAGGTGAGGAAGTGGGTTAAGCAGATCGAGGGAGTTCTTGGGGAGAGGTTGGATGATATGTTGACTTGAAGTTTGCTTAAAAAGAATACCTTACTTAGATTACCTGCCTTGTTCTTCGTCTCCTGCCAGGGCGTTTTGAGGTGTTTTGTGTTGTGTGTATATAGGTGCTTTCATCTACCTACCAAGTGTTGTATGTATTCAAAAGTTGCATGTTGTATAGACTTTTCAGTCTTTCCCTTTGAGGAATTGGATTTTCATCTCCGTAATTTCCGTTAGATTATCTATCTATGACCTGCATTGCATCTTTCCGGCCAGCAGGGCGTTAGGAATGCATGCCAGATATCTTGATAAATAATTTGTATAGTCCGGCTATGTTGGAGTGAACAAAGGACGGTCAACTAGATCCTGCTAGTAGGGTATCGCCCAATTTCTCAACTTTTTACCTTGTCCTTCGTTTCAAACCCTCACGTAAACCCCTTCCGCAAATTCTCGTATCGCGAAGCTGGATAGTCAAGGTGGTTCTCGGATTTGTCGAGGCCGTCCACGCCGCCGAGTGTGTCGACAAGCTACAACGAAGCCCTCGTCAGTCCCACATCCACACTCAAAGCAAAACCACAGAAGGGGGTAAAGCGGAAAATAAGAACACCGGGAAAAAAAAATGAAAGTAAACGTACCGTTTCAATCAAACTGCTCCCTTCACCCACCTTCCGATCCCCACTACTTTCCCACCACATCCCACCCCCCAGCCCATTATCCCTCACATAGTCACCTTTCCTCCTAGTAACCCCCACAGAATCAAAACTAACGACCTCTCTCTTTGCGGGATCATAACTAAAGCTCGCACCCACATCTTCAGCGTCCACCACATCCGCCCCCGCCTTCGGGAGCACCTTATAATCCCAGATCCCAGGCTCGAAGGACCCTTCATACCCCACGCTCTCAAAGGGCGTGCCGGGCCCATCTGTGCCCGTAAATGCGCGGCCATAGAGCGGCATGCCAAGGTTTATTTTCGAGGGCGGGATTCCGGCCGCAATGTACGCGGTTATAGCTGTGTCCGTGTTGAAAGGCGTAGATGACGGGTTGGAGGTGGAGGGAAACAGGTTTGCGCTGTGTCCTGTTATATTGTCCCAGCTGCCGCTGTAGTCGTAGGCCATGAGGTTCCAGAAAGAGAGATGCTCGTCCATGGACTTCAGGTGGAGGACTTGGTATTTTGCTGGGCCTGTTTTGGGTTGTTAGTATAGATGGCATTTAGTGGATGGATTGACTGACCAGCTGGAGAGGCGACGCTGAGGAGGAAGTGTTTCCCTTGTGCGTGGGCTGCGCTGTACCGATCTAGTTCCTGTTGGTCGTGCCTTGCATTAGTACAGCCGGGTTATCTTGGATGGAAGGCCTCTGGTCAACATACCGCCCTCGTCTCACGCAAGAGCTCCACAAGGTCGTTTGCCTGCTCGTCGTTCTCTGGATACTATACATATCGCCCGTCAGGTTAGCTCTCTCTCTCTATATCCTTTTCTATCGTATTGACCCAGGAGGCACCATAGAAATCGCCAATAATTGCCAGGACTAACCTCCCAATCAACATCCACTCCATCCATGCCCAAATCCCCCATAAGTTTCACAGCAGAGCTCGCAAAAGCCTTCCGCCCCGACTCTGTCCGCGCCGGCGCGGCAAAATTCTTCGAATAAGTCCACCCGCCAATACTGAGGAGCACCTTGAGGTGTCGATTCTTTTTCTTCACCAGGAATAGCTGCTTGACGCAGCCGTAGACGTTGTTGGTTGCACCGCCCGGCTCGTTCCACGAGTCGGTTGGGTAGTGTTTCTCTAGGTCGGAGTAGGTGTCGGAAAGATAGACCTCGCCGGTTTCGGGGCGGATGTTAGCGAAGGCATATAGGATGTGGGTTAGGTGGGAGGCTGGGAGGTCTGAGGGGTTATGGTGTCGGGCGTAAATAGCCTTTTTTGTAAAAATGGGTTGTTAGTGGAAGAGGTGACCTTGATGAGTAGATGGATGAAGAAGACTTACCCAGTTCACGAAATAGGCCATTGAGCGGTAGTTTCCACCGGAGGGGTTGAGGCCTGGATTGGGAACCCTGTCGGTAACATTTCCTGGTGCATGGTTGGTGCCATTGGTATGGGTGCCATTGCTGAGACCGGTGGTTGGACTACAACGGGATCCGGGACGAGAGTTCTCGAGACCAGAGGGCGAGGGAAGAGCAGCTACTTGGAAGCCGAGAAAGACAGCGGGAAGAAGGACCGTGAAGAGCTTCATGATGAAGGGGTGGGGAGGAAATTAGTTGTTGAGTGGAAAGAGAGAGAAAAGGAGCGGAGAAGAGTGAGAGCGGAATTCTTATAGCGGGATGGAAGATTTGTATAGTCAGAGTGAGTGAAGTATAACAATTCTCGTTGAGATGCAGTGAAAGCAAACATTCATGCTGTGACACAGAGGCTGATTCAAATCAGCCCGTGCCGTATTCACACATAGCCTTTATCCCTATAAGATTAACTAGAATGGATCAAGCCAATAGCCATAGCGTAGATAATTCTGTTTCACTCTGTGGCTCGAATATCGTGTTGGTCGAGTGAATATGCTCGAGATTAAGGTAAGTGAAGAGTGAGCTTGGATAACCTCAAAAGTACAGTATAGGTAGGACAATCGGAAGTAAAGCATGACATAGACATTATCAGAGATTACTATGTAGGACTAATTCTAATCTAGAACTCTATAAACAAAGCATAACTCATTATATAGCCACGGGATTTCCGGATATCAGTTCCAAACGCCATAAAAAAGACCACTTTTTATTCCAATCATGAACATCGGACCTCCTGAGGCCGCGTGCTAGGTAGCGGCGACGCCAGGTCCGAATAGCTTGGTGGAGCAATTGCAGTGTCCATTGGAGGAGGAGCGACACCACGCGGGCTGAAAAACTCGGCATCGACCTCCTCTTGTGTGATTTCTGCTGATTCCCGCCTCGAAAGAGACAATGACTGACCAGATATCAACTGAATGGGAAGTCTCAATGATACCGTCGGCGTGAGGATGTTCATGTTTGGGGTATGGTATGACATGCATAGTTCTAGAACATATGCGCGGGAGAGCAAGCACGAGTTAAAGGTTGGAAGGAAAGCTTTGCTCGTTGGAAGAGACACAGGGATGACAAGTGAAGCTGTATAGTATGTCTCTCCTGAGAAGGATGCTGACGGCCCAGTGATCGACTCTGAAGAAGAAGTTGACTGGAGTGAATCGCGGCGAGCAGTATTTGAGGAATGTTTGGTCCATTGGGCAGAGGCGACACACATATTCGACAAGGGCACTGAGTCCTGGTACAGGCCCCTCCCCGACATGTCAGCCGTATTAACAACACTCGAAGTCGGATAGTCTTCCCAAGGGTTTACAGAGTAGTAAGTCGAAACACGAAGCTTGCTCCAGACGGTGCCCATGCTGGGCGGCTCCTCATTGCCGACAGGGTCGAAGCGCAGATGGACCGTCGCAGCTGTACTCACCGACTCGGCGCTTTTCTCTGGAGGACTGATCTGTAATGGCCTGGGTTGTGCTGCAGCCACAACGAGCCGGCCCTGCTTCGGACGCATTGTACCGCGCCTGACATCTTTCTCCCTCCGTAAGCGGTAAACAGGATGGTCATCGAGAACAGTCAAGGGTGGCTCCTCCTCGACAGCTGGGATGACGCGAATCTTCTTCTTGGCTTCTCTCAGGGACTTTGTAGGGCCCACGACGGGTTTCTGTAACACTTCGGCGCGGATGTGGTATGTGACACGCGCCATGTCAGGCGACATATCGTCCAATACGGACTTGCCGTCACTGGCGAGTGTGGGCTCGCCCAGAGAGGGCACCAGAAGAGTGTGGGAGTTCTGAATGTGGGCGTTTGTCTTGTGGTGGGTGCAGACGTGCGGCAAGAGACGCTGGGGCACGACAAAGGTGAAGGGGAACTGATAGCTGAGGCCGGGTTCGATGACACGGGGGGTTGGATAGAGAGCTTCTTCAATGGGTTGGCGTAGTCGCAGGAACGTTTGTGTTGCGCCTGTACGGCCTGGAACTGCTCCTCGGTCCACAGTAACAGTCTGGTTTCCTGCTGGCTGTTAGTATGTTGTATATAGTCTTCGCATTTAACGACGGTGCATACCCTCTAGTTGGATTTCGATAGCGTCAAAGCTGATGAGATGGGAAGCGGTAACCGTGACAGTGCCTTCTATGGAGTCTCCTGTGGTGTAGGATTTGATGAGGTTGTCGACCTGGCCGTTGAGGTCGATTTTGACCTGAGGGCGGGCAAACGGAGACAGCACATCAACGGCGCCGGAGCCACGGGAGAGGATCGAGGCAGCCATAGCAAGGGAAAGTGTAAAGTTTTAGATGAAAGTTTCCAATTGCTCGGCGAGTATAGCCGTCAAGTAGCTCGTAGGGGCGAGTATTAAACCCCCGGCGGAATGCCACGAAGAAAGGGATGGGGAGAGGGATATATGGAGTGCAGAGTGCTGGTCAAGTCATGCGCCGATTGTATACACTGGAATTCCCCGGAGTCGGACAGTCATCTGGAGAAATCCAACGATGTTGCGGGGAGAGTCTTTCTATATAGTACGAGAGCTGAAACCGTGAGTCACTCCTGCTGAGAAATAGTATGTTCATTTTTTTTTTCTATTAATTTTTTGACCCTGAGCATGTTTACTAGAGTGGAACTGGGTAGCGCGCCCTTGGGTTGACAGGATGGATCAGATGGATCATGCACTCGATGGAGATGACAAATGGGGCCTATGACGCCCTGCAGCTTTATTGCAGAATGACGCCAACAAGGATGATAAATCAACCTGATCAAGCCCGTATCAACTCAAGCATCAACCGAAAAGATTAGATGGTGACTCAGTTGTTCGTATTCTCATTCCGCATCCTGACTAATTGTTCTTTGAGTGACGCCAAAACCCATCGACGACACCGACTCCAACCTCGTCAAAGGCCTGGACTGTCTAAGCCTCTAAAGGTGATCCGAGCGATCGCTAAGCCTCTTAAGGTGAATCGTGTCTTCCTCTAAAGGTGAACCAGAGCGAAGAACATTCGCAGGCGTCTACTAGTGAGGAGAGTGGGCCCGATGACCCCGTCCCCGACCCCGTTCCCGCTGTTTGTCTCGTTTGATTGTTGTTTGATTGCACGCCCTTTGGCAACGCTAACTTTCGTGGGTCTCTGATTGGCCAGTTTCACGACAAGAACTGAAGCCTTGACTCTTGAACGCCTTTTGACAACATCTTGGCTCCATCTCGACGCCCTTTCCTGATGCGCTTGTCAGCAATAATCCGACTCTTGGCATATCGCATTACGTCCGCCGGTGAATCACTCGGGTCCTTCTCCCGCATTTCCACGGATCCTACATCTGTCGCTTCTCTTCGCATGAAGCACATGCCGACTTCCGTTACCGAAGGCTAACGGTGCAAACAACCCAAGAATCCTTTGAAACCCAAAAGAATCACTCAGTTACGAGGACTCCGTATACTGTCTTGTGCTGTTCCTCCAGGGCCCACTTCCCAAGGTGCCATGTGAAGAAAAAACAATCTCAATGCAGTATTGTAACTTCTCTCCATCCATCTTGGCTTGAGCACTTGCCAGCAAAACCATTGGATCAAGGATGCATGGACCGCAACATTGACAGCAATTTCATTCATCTGAATCAAGAGACGTCATACCTTTATATCTCCGCGGTCCTGCATATTTATTTTCGAAGCCATCGATCGTCCTGTGGTTGGTCCGGGATGGAATGATTGATTGGCTTTCCAAGCTCAGTCTTTCCCGTCTTAGGCTGTCTCGGCATGCCTCGTTTTCCCACCATTCATTGGTAGCTACCAAGTATAGGCTGACGCATGAGACAGCCGGAAATTCCACTACAATGGTCGAGTATAATAATGAATGGACGGTAGGTAGGAAGGTCAGATTCCATATCAGGTGCTAGTAGCCACTTCAAATTTGTTTAGTGTCACTTATGACTATTAAAATTCTCTCCGGACTTGCGACCTAAAGCCACACAGGGAGTCGAGTTGGAAAGATAGTTTGAGATCAAAATATCAAATCTGTCCATCTGGAAGGCGCCTTGAATCTCACAGATGCCTCTTGCAGGATTGTTCAGCTTGAGATTAGTTCTCCCCCCCCTCTTAGTCTCATACTCTGTCGTAACCATCTGCTACCTTACTCCCAATGAACCTTGTTGATCCGGGCTAAGGATGGCATTCCCTCGACTGCTTCTTCGACGCTATTTGATACGCCGGCGGCTCGTACTCATCAGCCCCTCAAACCGAGTAACTACCAAGGGCCAGGACTAGGTCATGGAGCGCTAATCCGTGGTAAGCATTCTGAATATGTTCTTTCCCCCGAAGCAACAAGATTTTCTGGTTGCATTGGTGGCAATGCTGAGACGGCGCACCCGATATGAGTGCACCGAACAGTTCTTCAGCTCTGCTCGGTGCTCCGCTGTTACTGTGTCATTCTGGAGATGCGCCACTCGATTGTTCCTTGAAGACACTTATAATCGTCTGGAAAAAACAAATGTTGCATTAGCATGGTGGCTGCATCTCTAGGGGTAAGCCCTAACTAACTAAGCTTCTCCAACTGCGGCACCAGCATCTGCCTTTCTTACTCTACACAGGCGTTGCCCAATGCCACGCAGCCCAGGATGATTATTAGTAGAGCTGTTTATATTGATACCAGCTTCACGCTGGCCGTAGGCCCAATCCAATATAGCAGGCCTAGTGGAGACAAGAAAAGAACCTATGTAGGCGGACCAGGTGTGTCTAGAGAGGCAGGCAGTGACATCAGGCAGTGACTGAGTGACTTTGAATGACAAAATTACGCGCTTGTTGGCGAACTTGCGCAGGGTTAAAACAGTAAAAGTACTCGAGGAAGCAGTAAACTCTGTTCCATTAGATTATATTACTTATAAGTGAGTGTCCCAACTATAAATTACGATCATACCCGTAGCAGGCGGGTAAAATCGTACTCAAAAATCGTTGACGGCGAGAAGCCTTCTTCTTGTCTCGTACAGGGCCCAGTACTTGGAAAGTGTTTGGACGCTGCATCCAGCTCAAGATCAACCGAGGGGTTGCAGAAGACCGAGCGAGGCAGGAGACATCGACATCCACTAGGGCAGTGGCTACATCCAGGCTCAGCTGTGTTATGCGGCTGCGCTCTTGGTATATTGTGCTGGGACCGGGGAGGGAAATGGTATACAATTAGATTGAATAGGCTATAAAATTCAGGTAAGATTCTCGGTGGATCATGCGCCCGCCAACGCCGCATTCGCTTAAAATCAGTACGCCACTCTGGTTCGCATGTCCTGGACGAGATTAGTATATAATTCAAATAGAAAGAAAGGAAGGCAAAAAAACGTACCGAAATCTTTCGCTCTATCTCCCTGACGGAGCGATCCAGTTCCGCAGCAATCATCATCTTCGTATCATTAGACAGGAGGAAGTACATTTCACACAGGTCTCCGTCGATAACCCCCTTCACAGGCGCGTAGTAGCCCCGGTAGATGAGGTGATCTCGTCCAGCAAGGGGCGGGCACTGCGAGGCAAGTTGCATTTCCAGACTCTGGAAAAAGTCGACATCCTCTCGGCCAACAAATGGTACCAGCATTCCAATCGTACCTTGGAAACCCGTCCACACAAGAATATCACGACCACCAACTACTAGCTGGGTCTTGTGCAGGCTAGTGGGGATGTCTTGGGTGTAGACGTGGATCATCAACTCCAGACGGTTGGGCGTGCCCTGAAGATATCCGCGGTCGTGGATGAGATGAGCTCCAGAGCCTTCCTCATCCGCCTCCTCGGAAATTTTCTTAGGACATCGCATCAACCATAGGTTTCCGAACTTGTCACCTCCCGCAGTCGTCTCATAGTCCACCATGGTCGTCGCAGTCGTCCAGCGAGGGATGGCGTCATCCACAAACGGGATCAAGACGTTTTCTTGATACTTGTACACAACATATGTGATACTCTCACGGACATCACTAACAACAATCCGACTGCCCTGCGTTTGAAGACCCACAATGGTCTTTGGGACCACGATGGCCTGGCATTTCCGAAGTAGCTGCTTCATTCCCAGGTCGTAGATTCGGAGTACAGGCCCGACCCCAGCAACTAGACGACCTTGGAAGCCAAGAAGCGCGAGAGGAGGCTCCTCGACTTTAGTCTTGTGAATAAATTCGAGCTCTTTCCCGTCCTCTTGGAACCGATAGATGTGGATGTATCCTCCCGCAGAGGAAGGTGGGCTGACAGTCATATCTTTGGCGGTTCCCACAACCAAGAACGTTTCGTCGTCCTGGCTAGTGAATGGCACTGCGGCAATACTGACAGCTGCTTCATTCTCCTCCAGCTCAATCGTCGCAATCACGGATTTCGTCTCCACTGGGTCGATCACTTGAATGCATGAAGCCCAATGGCCTGTGCCACGAGGATATCCAAAATCTTCCGGTGGTAGGACCGTTGTGTAACCATTACGGGACTTGGAGTCCTCGAGCAACCGGCTTCTTGTTGTTGGTGACAAAACATTATTGTCAGCCTCAATAACATAGAATAAAGGCTGCTCAGGGTGCTTTAAGAGACGACGAGGGGTATATGAAAGAGGTATCGACTGTTGCAGCATGTTGTTATCCAATTTCTCAATCGAGAAGATTCTAATCGCCAGTGTTAGCGAGTGGTCACGATACATGTTTCGTAATGCATGCAAAAAGGGTATTGCGATCTCAGTAGGAACAATTGGAGTATATAATAAGAATGATAATCCACATGGGCGTTCAGGGATGATTCCTTTCTCATCATACGATCACATAATCAAGGCAAAGAGGAAGAAATTAAAGCCACGTACCTTAGGTTCTGTCCCTGAATACCCACCATACCCTCGACACACTGTTCGCTTGAAAAGTTCCAGCCCCATTCGAGCCCGACATAATCCAATGGCGTAAGCATGAAGCCTTTGGTTTGAGTATCGGAATAACCAAGCCAGGGGCGTGAGCTCAGTGCGAGCACTGCGGTCTGCCCTGTTACGAAAACTTGGAATAGTTTCACAGCCTTGGATCCCAGGAATCGAGTTCGCGTGTCAGACAGTTCGCCGGTTACTTCATCAAGAGCCGTTCGCAGATAGACACCGGAATGAAGGCCAATATGAAGATAAAGAGTGGTTCCCCCGGAGCTAGAGTCGGCCATGGGAATGATGTTCAGGGCAGACGGCGCAGCGGTCAACGCTTGGACAGATTTGTTCTCTAAAGTGGTATCCGGGTCTAAGCTCAAGATACGAACTGTCGAATCGTCGCAGCCAACGGCCAAGAATGAGCTTCTGATACGACCTTCCGGTACCTCACCCAGACTAAGACATGTCACTGTCCCAGTCATTTGACGTCGCTCGTCATATTCAGCAAGAGACCCATCAGCGTCCAGTTCAAAGTACACAATTTCACCAGAACTGAGGGCAGCGGCAACTTGACGCTCGTTTGTCGCGGCAGCTACGATAGACCGGTGTTGCGGAGCCGGCCACTCGTTCACTCGTCGATCTGCGAGAATGTGGCGGATACCTCGAGGGTGGATCTGAATAAGCGAATCTTCACCAAGCTGTTGAACAGCCAGGGTGGGTGCGGATGAAAGAAAGCCAGTATCGGTCACTTCTTCTACTGTCTCTCCAATGCTTAGAACAAGGGTTCCGTTCGCGAAGGACAGCACAATGTACGCATCGTATTCATCGGCCCTAGTCAATTTCGTAGTCCAGACCGCAGACGGCACGCTGGGGAGCTCTGACTCGACAATTTCGGAAACTTCCAGCCCATGCTTCAGTGTTCGAAAAGTGCTTCGGGCTCCCGTTCCAGAGACGGTGAAGATCTGAGGAGCGTCATCCTCGGCGAGGTTCACGATCTTACTATCAATCAAAGGGTTAAGCGAGTTGATTGAGTCCACAAGGTTGAGATTCTCGGCGCCTCTGGGCCGGAAATAGATAGGCTCGTACGAGGCTGTAGGGTCTGCAGAGAAGTCATCGCTAGTGAACTCAATCTCCTCATCATCATCGCCAAGTTTCTCGAATTGGTAAAATTGATGGTTTCCACCCTCCCCAGCGACGTAAAGGAAACCGCTCTTAAGGATTAGCAGGCTTGAAGCCAAAGGTACCGTGTCGAAGTACTTGATCTTCAGGCCCTTGACTTCACCAGTAAGCTGGCCGTTGTCGTCCTCGGCCATATCAAGTGTGAGTTTGAAAAGATCCCCATCCTCGGTCTGCAGGAGAAAGAAGAAAGCACCTCGCATCTTGTGCATCACACCGGCTGTAATACAACGCTTGCGCTCAGGGTTTTCCATCGCACCTTGCCGACGGGGAATGGGCACTCTGAAAGCATCTTGATTCGAGTGTCGGTAGGTAATGTTGTCTTCTGCACAGACCAGGACACCACTTGGACCATCAGCCCCACCGGGTACCTGGAAAAGCATCGATGCTGTGCGGTCAACAGGGTCCGCCCACTTGCGGACAACGTGGTTAAGGCCGAGATCGAGCTCGTAATACACTAGAAGTTTTTCAACCTCTTCGTAGGCCTGACCCGTTGGGTCCTGGTCAGACTCCGAGTAGTCCACTTCAAGGGCTGCAAAGACAGGGTTCTCATACCCAGCATCTAGCGCAACTACAGAAAACACCAAGGTCTGTGGCTTGTGCGCTTCTAGCGGAGATGATATCGTAAGCTCGGCCTGCGAGTTTCGATTCAAGACATAAACAAGTTTGTTCTTCTCCACTGACGCGATGAGACATGCTCTACCCTTGGGGTCCACCGCCAGATACTGGCCAGGTATAACACGACGCACGCCCGACTTGCCAAATGTTTCAAGGTGGATCCGGTTGAATCGATTCTGTGAGGGAACATACTCGATAATAGTGATGCGTCCCGAGTCCGAACCAATAATTATATAATCTATAAGCAGATCTCAGCACTGTTTGAGCCAACGAGCGTCCACGTCGCCGACCGGGGCACGTCCAACCTCCAAGAGGAGCTCGTTCGGCAGTGAAGGATCATGTTGCCCGGGAAGCTTAACAAATCACTAAAATGATCTTGGAATTGCGCTGAGAGGGAAACTCAAAAACATACCTTTGTTGCTTCCAGCCAGTCTAAAGGCAGCCAGTGATCGAATGATGCCAAAGACATCTTGTGTGTACAGCGGCGTGACCTTGCCCTGGGTGGGATCGGGACGATGGATGGTCAGCTTCGAGCCGGAGGCTGTGACGATCTGCTGCTCTTTTGTTCCCGCAAATTGGCCTAGGATAGCCTGGGTGATCGCAGTGGGCGGCTGGATCGTCAGGGAGTACATAAACATATGCGATGTAGTAGCCATGCTGGGCGACTGAGCCGTCGATGCTCGATCGATCTAGGGGAAACAAGCTGTTGTTTTACGACGCAGTTGCAGTCAAAATCGGGTGACTCTATAGCGAGAGCACTCCCATTGCTGCAGAAACAGGCAGCGAGGTAGAGGGTACTCGAGCACGAGATATCCTCGCGAAAGAGGGGAGATTGAGAGCTGTTAGCTTTGTCTTGCAGAAGAACGCGAAGGTGAAAAATTGCTGTGTGGAGCTTTGGCAGAGGACAAGCGCATGTTTGTCATGTTTGACGTACCACGTGACTTTCTTTTACCAAATAATACAGGTATGACAGTACGGGCGAGTGTTAATGTGGCAAAAAGCAGCTATACGTGAATTTCCAATACAGCTGCACCCTCCTCCATTCCTTTATGACGATGGGGTTCTGCCCGCTTCTGTCTGGCTCAACGAACAATTGGCGCCAATTTGTTGCAGTGACTTGACTGTGTTAAGTTACAAACTTCTCCTTAACATCTCATTCAGTCCTTCTCCCCTGAGACTTCCGTCTGATTTCTTCTTTCCCATTTATTTGAAGCAAGACACCCTTTTCTCTCTGTTCAAGCTTGTGACGTTACCTCGGACCCCTCAACTCGCCCCTCTCTCCAACGGCGACTTCACGTATCATCATGGCTGATGATACCGCCACAGCGGAGGATTCTCCGATCACCTTCAACATCAAAGCATCTAATGATGCTAAGTTCACACTCACATTACCTCTCTCGACGCCAGTTTCAGAGTTGAAGGAGAAGCTCTCGTCATCCGAATATGCCGATACCCCAGCGGAGCGCCAGCGCCTGATCTATTCAGGGAGGGTGCTGAAAGACAGTGACACTTTGGCGACCTACAAGATAAAAGATGGACACACTATTCACCTCGTGAAAAGCGCTGCCAGTAATCAACGTCAGGCTGCCGCCCCTGCACAGAGTGCTTCCACATCCACGCCAACGAGCGCTGCCGCGAATCCAGCAGCCGCCGGAGTCCCGACAAATCTCGCCGCTGGCACAGGCAACAACCCTCTTGCTGGCTTAACTGGTGCGCGGTATGCTGGGTTCGCACAGCTTCCAGGTGCTGGTATGTTCGGCCCAGATGGCGGGGTAAGTGGTCTACGATCGATCTCCTATCCATTCCCAACTATGCTAACACATCGGATTTTTCCAGATGGGCCCTCCACCCGACGCAGATTCGATGCTTCAGATGCTTGAGAATCCGCAATTCCAATCCACCATCAACGAAGCTCTACAGAACCCTGCCATGATCGACATGATGATGCAACAAAACCCGATGTTGCGTGATATGCCCGGCGCCCGTCAAATGATGCAAAGTCCAGAATTCCGCCGTATGTTAACTGACCCTAACTCGCTTCGCCACATGATGCAGTTTCAACGGGCAATGGGAGGCCTTGGTGGCGGTGGTGCTGGTGGCGGTGGTGGTGCTTTCCCTGCCCCAGGCGTTACGAACACGACACCTGAGGAGAACAGGAACGCGCAAAACGACAGCAACGGCGCCAACACTACGGCCGGCGCACCACCTTTCAATCCTTTCATGCCTCAGGGTCTAGGCGCAGGCAATCCGTTTGCTGCTCTTTTCGGAGGTAATCAAGGCATGGGCTTCAACCCAACGGGCGCTGGCCAGACTGGGCCAGGGCAGACAGAATCGGGTGGGGAACCTGGTGGTGATGCTGCTGCCGAAGGTCAAGCTGCGCAAAATGCACAGAACCCCTTCCGCGGGTTGAATCCTTCTCTGTTTGGTGGTCAAGGGGGCATAAACCCGTTCAATCCCGAACAAAATCCACTGCTCCGCAACCCTGCGTTGCTGGAACAGTTGATGCAATCAATGGGGGGACAAGGAGGGGAGGGTGGTGCTGCTGCTAACCCTTTCGCTTCTTTGTTTGGGGGTGGAGGTCCCGGTTTCGGTAGCCCGGCTCCCACAGACAACAGGCCACCGGAAGAGCGATATGCGGACCAGCTGCGCCAGCTCAATGATATGGGGTTCTTCGAATTTGAACGAAACATTGAAGCTCTTCGCCGAGCAGGAGGCAGTGTACAAGGTGCGGTGGAGTATCTGCTGAGCCATTCGTCCTAATCACCATTTCCTATTTCATTGGCGGCTTGAGATTTTTGGCGGGTTTCTAGCGGTTCCGATGACTCTTTCGTGTCCACCTTGGGTTTGAAGCATGCGGCTCAATGGAGAAACCTTCCTGGAACATTTGTCTCCGTTGTAGTTTTGTAGATCGAGGCCTTACAGTGTACCTACTCCCATCAACATATTACGTGAGATATGAATGATCATATAATTTCTTGTGCTGTTTTTTTTGCTCTTACGATATGACTGTTTGATTTCGGAATAGACATAGTCGAGGTTGAGGTCGCTTTGTCGGCTGTTCTAGATTGGGCGGTACTTCGAAGTGCAGCGCGTAAGCCACCTGCGTTCATACGGTGTAGATAACTTGCTTCGTCGTATGAACCAATAATAGACATAGAAACTCAATAATTACCTTAGACGTAAAGTAAGTACATTGATCAGGAGAGTAAGTTCAGGTACAAAGTGTTGTCAGTTGTCGGTTTTGGGCGGGTCTGGAATGTCAGTCAAGACCCGCCAAGTCTCCATCTCGGCCTCGACAAGCGGCCAGCAAGCAACATCCCTTCATCTTTCGCCCTTCCCAGCACCTTCGACTGTACAGTTCGCTGTCAATCCCGCTCGCTATACATTAGGGACTGCACGTATACGATCTTCATTTATTCTCTTCATTGCCACTCGGCGCTTCGAGGAGACTTTTTGATCGATCCCCTATCTGGTACACTCCAATCCGTGTCGCTAGATTCTGGAGACGACTTTCGACCGCGCGCCTCTCTTTCCCTACCGGTCTCTGTCGATCTCACCGATAAGAGAAGACTCAACTCCTTTCACAGTTGTTTGTCTGCCTGGCGCTCTTGTGGAAGGCAACGTCTGTCTTGAAACCACCTATACCCGCCGCGTTGGCAGATACGACTTTTTGAATTGAACTCTGGACCTTTGGCCTGAGTCCGGCCTTGGGTCTCGTCAATGATGATGGGGCCGCGATGGCTTAGCTGTCCCCAAATATGGTCGCTATGGCTGTTGCTTGTATCCTGCTCTTACGCATTTTACTTGCCCGGTTCGCCCTACCCCCGCAGTTTGTGCCACCTCAAAGCTATACTGACATGTTTTATTTTACACAGGCTATTCGATTAAACGGTATAATGACGACGAATCGATCCCACTCCTTGTGAACAAGATATTTTCAGACAACACACAGCTCCAGTATGCCTATTACGACCTACCTTTCGTATGCCCGCCTAGCGGACGGACGCACGGCGGATCACCGTTTGGGTCTGGACAAAGCGTATCGCAGAATCTGGGAGAAATTCTGCGCGGCGACCGAATCATGACCTCGGATTTCGAGCTTCATATGGGCCAAAACGCCGAATGCCGCGCGCTGTGCACGCGAGAGATCGAGCGCAAAGATGTAAAATGGGGCCGCCAGCTCATTAGGGAGGGCTATGTGGCAGAATGGATCGCGGACAATTTGCCTGGAGCAACAAGCTTCGTGACGGTTGACCGAACCCGGAAATATTACGCATCCGGCTTCAAGTTAGGGTACCAAGAGTTCTCACCCGTCGATGGAAAACTGCGTTATTTCATCAACAACCATTTTACCATCGTTATCCGTTGGCGCGCCGCACCCGAAGGGGGTAAGACTGTTGTGGGGTTCGAAGTATACCCGAAAAGTATTTCCGCCAAGGAGCATGGAGAAAATGGGTGCCCTGAGCACGTTCACGATGAGCATGAAGGTCTTGAGCTGTATATCCCGCCAAACATTGAGCGCCTCCGGGAGAAGTACCCTGGTTCCTCCTACCTTCCAGAAGACGATGATTATGATGACGGGGCCAAATTGAAGGTCCCAATCACGTATTCCGTCTATTTCAAGGAAGAAAACGGAGTTGACTGGTGGAGCCGCTGGGATCTCTATTTCAGCAAGCAAGATGATAGTACAATGACACACTGGCTAGCTGTTCTTAACTCGTTGACAATCTCTGGTGTTTTGGGCGTCGCAGTGTATGTCATCTGGAATAGAACTGTCCAGGGAGATATCAAAGGCCGAGGCGACGGGGCGATGGATGAGGGGAAAGCAAGGAGAAGCGGGGCGAGGAAAGAAGGGCTTTTGGACCAAACCACAGACGTTGAGAGGGAGGGAGACCTCTCCTCTGACGACGAAGGCATAGAGGATGTGAGCGGTTGGAAACTCCTGCACGGTGATGTGTTCCGGGTGCCCGAGTTTAGCGGACTCCTTGCGCCTCTTGTTGGCTCGGGGATGCAGCTCTTCTTCATGGCTTCCGGATTACTGATTCTCAGCTGCTTGGGTATTCTGAATCCAAGTTTCCGCGGTGGCTTCGTTAGTGTCGGTATGGGTTTGTTCGTTTTCGCCGGAGTTTTCTCTGGATACTTCTCTGGAAGTCTCTACAAGACATTCGGCGGAGTGAGCTGGCGGAAAAACACACTGATTGTAGGTTGCATATGGCCCCGCACTGCCTTGTTCTTTGCTCACATTCAGTTAGACAGCGCTTTTCTTCCCTGGCCTGGCATTCTGCCTCATTTTCATTCTGAATCTTTTTGTTTGGGCACAGGCATCCAGCACAGCGATCCCATTCCCTACGCTCATCGGAATTGTGCTTCTTTGGCTGGTGATTCAGGTGCCTCTGGTGTATGCTGGTAGCTGGTATGGTTTTATGCGAGCCAAGCCTTGGGAGCATCCTACCAAGACCTCCTCGATTCCGCGCCAGATCCCGCCACAACCTTGGTACTTGCATAGTGTCCAGGGGACCATCCTGACGGGATTGGCTCCATTTGCAGTCTTGTTCATTGAGCTTCTTTTCGTATTCAAGAATTTATGGCAGGACAAGAGTGGATACTATTACGTGTTCGGTTTCCTGAGCGCCGTGACAACGATCCTGATGATCACAGTCAGCGAAGTGACGATCATTGCAACGTACAGTCAACTATGCGCCGAGGTAAGTTCTCCTGAAAATCGAGACATAATCGAAGCATCGAGATCTCGACGCAAGAGCAGAACAGATAAGAACAAAGAAAAACTGACTCCAAAAATAGAATTACCATTGGTGGTGGCAGAGTTTCCTTACGGGTGGAAGCAGCGCTTTCTGGGTCTTCGCCTATTGCATTTGGTACTACTATTTCCACCTGCACATCACGGGCTTTGTATCGAGTCTGCTCTTTTTCAGCTACAGTTTCCTTGCTTGCGCTGTGTACGGCCTGTTAACAGGGACAGTTGGGTTCCTGACTGCGTATGCGTTTATCCGTCGCATTTACAGGTAAGCCGCTTCTTGTAGGTTGTTATACAGACCCGGCAATGCTAACCTGGAACAGCTCGGTCAAGGTAGATTAATGCGAGCTTCAGCTCGAAGCCTCGAACGCCACAATGCCAGATGTGCTTCTCTCCTGAATGCTGGCTGTTTCGGGGAAATCACTTAGCCTCTCACGAATTTCGTTTCATCTCGAATAAATCGGACGCTGTTTTAGGAGTCGACTGATGCCGAGATCTACAGTGCTAGCTTTGCAGTAGTGATTTAAATTGATTGGGGTGGATTGGAGTACTCCTTAGTATATACCTTTGTTACTTAGCGGGAGTCAAGCAAGCGATCGTATAAATAAACAAATATATCTTATCTCGTTAAGTTTTGGTTTGTCTCCATACTTCATGTAAAGTTGGAAAGCTGGAAAGCTGGAAAGCTGGAAACTCCGCGCGGGTACTAAATTAGAGCGAAGCGAACCAACCTTAAATACCACGTGAAGGTGCGGAATCCAATCCAATCCAGATCATCGTCCGTCCATCCATGGAATTGCCTCGGCCTTGGGTGGAATCCGCAAACGGTAGAATCGAACATGCGGTCAAGCCAGAACCGCCCCTGTTGACGTCAGAGCGGACGGTGTAGAATGTCCATTCCCAGTCTGGACAGAGTACGTATTCAAAGGCGTATACCATATCTTGGCAGAGCTGGCAAGGGAGGAGACTAGTCACTTGAGAGTCGAGAGGAATGAAGGAGAGAGAAGAGTCAGGAAATAATGACTCGGTTGCTCAGTATACATATCGCCGGCCGAGTCAGAGATCAATTGTACGTTCTACAGAGTACATCTCCTCACTGCACGCAAGTCAAGAGAAAGAGTCTATGTGTTATAGCCTGTTGTAAAACTGTAGATTGGGCAGCCTACCTCTTTCCATTTTCTGCAAATTGGACAAGTCAACACCGGCTCACAGTCACAAGGAGCCTGGAATCACGGATACGTATCCAGCACGGCAAACAGTGGGCGACATCCACACCCCCTACCTTAAACCATATCAATGATTGACGTTGACATCCAACGGGAAGGACCCCGCACTGATCCAGACATTGAAAATGAAACGGAGCTGCAGAAGATCAAGCGGGAGCGGGACGGGAGCCTGAAACCGGGCAACTGAGTTCAAGGCGATGTCAAGTTGTCAACCGCTGTCAGCCCATCAGTGTCCGTGTCACAGATGGTGCAATTACGGAGCCCGTCGAGGCCATCAAGCATCAATCAGTAGCTAACCCGAAGATCTGGCGGAAGGAAACGATTCGCAAGATCTGACGTTGCCCGCAATTACCCGTTACGGAGTGACGACAGACAACTCGACCAGGTTCAATCGCTCACGAATTCGCAATGCGTGCGTCTGCGCCTGCGTGTGCGGCCTGTGCAGATTGCGGGCAGAGCAGGCAGTGCAGACAGTAAAGGACGGCGGTGATTGGTAAGAGTGGCGGAATTGCAGGACTCTGGTAGGCATGCGATTGCGTGCTCGGGAGAGAAGATGGTGCCAAATTGCGCTCGTTGCTTTTCTCGGAACGGAGCCGGCGGCACTTAGGGGCAACTTAATAATAACCTCGCAGGCCTTCAGCGGAAGACGGACGCTGTCCAGATAGCTGAGTGAGGGTTGAGGTTGTCTTTAGGGATGAGACGATGGCGAGTGGGAGGGACATTCGATTCGTCGTCTGCGATCGCACCGGGGACTCGGGAGTCGGGACCACTAGAGCTCTCCGCATCAGGCTATCCGGACAGGAAGCAAGATGTTGCATGGACAGAACGACGCCATCGCAGTCAAGAGATGATTTGCCGGAGATCCTCCACGATCTTCAGGAGAGGTGAGGTTAAGAAAAGCCGGAGATGTCGTGCTTAAAATCTTAGCGGGGATGGTGCAATCGACCCGCAGAATTGGGTGGTAGTGATGACACAACAACGGCCTGACTCGCTGGACAGTGGCGGCCGCTTGCTCAGCAGTGCGCGAATTCCTGTTTCACTAGCAGGCACCGGGTGTGGGCATCTCGGGCTGCCAAGCTTACAAGCGGGAGACGGCGATGGCTAGTGGCAAACTTAGGCAGGGATGAATCCAACGACACCACAGCAGCATCAACGTCCGATTGCTGGTTGCTAAGTGTACAGGAACACGCGGTTAGCCCTACCGGACCCAACGGAAGCAGGGGAGCACCTTGTAGAGGCAGAATCTCGCGGTTTGACGGTCATTTCAACGCCAGAGCCCGGCACCGAAACAGCAGGCGGGCGTAAATACATGTATTCCGCACCCCTGATCCCCTCCTCCCACGCTAGGCTGCCACTACCACCGCGACAGCACGACTCCTCCGTAATCTCGCCTGTCTGCTCGCTTCGCCAGCGTTCCATCAGCTTCACAGAGCGCATTCACCGCTCGTCGGTGGGATATCCCCACGGTGAAAGGCATGGGGAATGCCAGACCCTTGTGGAGCTGAGCGCAATTGCAAAGCATTTCTTACAATCACACCATCGCCTCCGCCAATGGTTCCATTGTTGCGGTGACATAAAATCCGTAGATCTGGGTCGGCGAAACTTTTTTTTTTCCTTTTTCTTTCTTCGTCTCTTATCAAGTCACAAGATCTTCTTCCTGGCGGATTTTCCTGCTCGCTGCCACTGCAACTTCTCCACATACAGGCCGACTTACTTATAGCTGCTTGTTCGCCTCCGTTCCCGCTCTTCCTCTTCTTCCTTTTCCTTCCTATGCCTGCTTCTCTCCACACCCGTACATAATAATTTATACTTTCCATCCCCTCTAGAACCGAGAAACGCAACCGAAGGGAAAAAGCATCATGGCGGCCAAGAAGCCTAACATCCTCTACATCATGGCAGACCAGATGGCTGCCCCCCTTCTGGCCTTCCATGACAAGAACTCCCCCATCAAGACCCCCAACCTGGACCGCCTGGCGGAGGAAGGCGTTGTCTTTGACTCTGCCTACTGTAACTCTCCGCTATGCGCTCCGTCCCGGTTCGTCATGGTCACCGGCCAGTTGCCCTCCAAGATTGGGGCCTACGACAACGCCGCCGACCTGCCCGCCGACACCCCAACCTATGCGCACTATCTGCGCCGTGAGGGCTACCACACTGCACTTGCTGGCAAGATGCACTTCTGTGGTCCTGACCAGCTGCACGGCTATGAGCAGCGTCTGACGTCTGACATCTACCCCGGCGACTACGGCTGGTCAGTCAACTGGGATGAGCCCGTGAGTAATTACCCAAAGAAGAAAAAGCTCTGGGAAATATTGACTTGATTAGGAAATCCGCCTTGACTATTACCACAACATGTCTTCAGTCATGGAGGCTGGTCCTGTTGTGCGTACCAACCAGCTCGACTTTGACGAGGAGGTCATCTACAAGTCGAAGCAGTACCTGTTCGACCATGTCCGCCAGCGCACCGAGCAGCCATTCTGCTTGACTGTCTCCATGACTCACCCTCATGACCCTTACGCCATGACCAAGGAGTTCTGGGACCTGTACGAGGACGTTGAGATTCCTCTGCCCACGCATGGTGCTATCCCCCATGACCAGCAGGACCCTCACTCCCAGCGCATTCTCAAGTGCATCGACCTCTTTGGCAAAGAGATGCCCGATGAGCGCATCAAGGCTGCGCGTCGTGCCTACTACGCTGCTTGCACGTACGTCGACACCAATGTTGGAAAGCTCCTCAAGGTTCTCGACGACACCGGCATGCGTGATGACACCATCATCGTGTTCACTGGTGATCACGGTGACATGCTCGGTGAGCGTGGCCTCTGGTACAAGATGGCCTGGTACGAGAACTCGGCTCGCGTGCCATTCATCGTCAACGCACCAAAGCGTTTCGCCCCGAAGCGCGTCTCTGAGAACGTGTCGACTATGGATATCCTGCCGACATTTGCCGACCTGGTTGGCGCGCCGCTCATCAAGGAGCTACCCCTGGACGGTGTCTCGCTGGTGCCGTACCTCACTGGAGAGGATGGGGTCAAGACCGACACTGTGCTCGGCGAGTACATGGGCGAGGGCACTCAGTCTCCTGTCGTCATGATCCGCCGTGGCCGCTGGAAGTTTGTGTACTCCCTGATCGACCCGCCTATGCTCTTCGATGTCCAGAACGACCCGCTCGAGAAGGTGAACCTGGTAGCTGGCCTACCAGACCCTGCGCGCGCAATCCCAGCGGACCCCAAGGCCGCTGCGTTCGCCAAAACCGTGGGACCCGCGGCCCTGCCCACTCCAGTGGAATCGCCTCGTGCAACCCCACTGGCCCGCAACGCACGCGACTATGCGTTCCCAACTCCCCCGCGGACCCCAAGCCCGGGCAAGCAATCGAGCGCTGTTCCCGACACCACCGACCCAACGAAGCTGTTGGCCTACTTCTCTGAGGAAGTCCACACCCTCTGGGATCTGGAGAGCATCAAGGAAGATGTTCTGCGCTCGCAGCGCCGCCGCCGCCTCGTCTACTCGGCCCTAATCCAGGGTACCCCTCATTTCTGGGATTGGGAGCACCGTGTCGACCCCAGCACCCAGTATGTCCGCAACCAGGGCAAGGGAGTCCTTGACGATGTCGAGTTGATCTCTCGCTGGCCTCGCGTCCTGTCACAAGCCGCCCAAAACCAGGGCGTGAAGATCTAATGATTTTGCATAATTTGTTTCTGGGTTTCTTTCCGGGGAAAACAAAAACTTTTTACTTTTTTCTTTCTTGTCGTTCGGCGTTTACAGCGAGGCGCTATACCCTGCATTATCGCGACATCATAGCATTCACTTGATTCCAATTAACTTCCAAATCCTTTTGGTCACGCTTAGCGTTAGCGTTGCTTGTGAATGCGTTTTCTTGAGGGTGAATTGTACATAGAATTAGGGTTGAGTAATATGGAACTGTATACAGTATGTACGTGCTATCTATTATCAAGCACTACATGACTACAGTATTTACTACTTATCAGATTGCACTAAGATGTATGTAACTTGGAACTAGTATGAACTACGAAACTCTGAACCACCAGTACGAGGTATGACTATCAGAAACCATTGGTTGTCGGTATTACGTAAATGCCCTACTTTCTCTGGCTATGT